CTTCGCACATGTCTCTATCAGACCAACTGCCTGGACCTGATATCGTCCAAGATGTCATTCTTCTCACCTATTATCTCGCGCAACCTCTCATTCAAAGTGATTTCAAAAATTAATGAAATATAGAGAGAAAATCAGGCAACGTGACACGCGGTTGTAGGCTAATTTTGGCAGAATCCGTCTATTAGATCCCTACGATGACTGTGAACCGGAAAGTTCGGTTTGCTATCCTCTCACCAACTCATAGCATGCACCCTAACGCCGAAGTGACGAAACTATTTGGAGCGGAGCTAGGTGAAAAGTGGATTAAGCGTTGCGCTGCGTCGGTGATAAGACGCCAACTCGTCTTAGTTTGTGCACGCTCGTTGGCGGTCATTTTTCAAGCGATCTTCAATCTTAAACTTGCTGGATAATTTGCGATCTGGGCCGCAGCCTCGCTCACAGCCAATATGAGAGATAAATCGTGACTACTTCTCCGTTAATATTTCACCTGCTCCTCCAACCGAAGCGGGGTTGCTCTATCTTCGGACTCTCTCCAAAACGCTCCAGCAGACTCTCCTATATTATCGTCAAATCTTTCAGCTCCTCCTAGAAGCCACTCTACCGTTCTGCTGTGCTAAGAAAGAACGCCGTATAAACCTTCAAGCATTGCCAAATTTCCTTTGATTAAACACTGATTGCCTATCGAATTTATGAATATTTTCCCTCCAGTTTTTCAGATAATTCTTTCCGCAATTTTACCCACTGTTTCTGAAAATTTCAAGGAAAAATATTTATAATTTTCCTAAAAGAATAAACATTTTATCGGAGGAAATTTGGTCCCTCTCGAATGCTCATACAGTGTCTCTCCTTTATACGGCAGCGTAGCCATCGAAAAAAGCCACCAGGAGGAGTGTCTCGAATGAATGCATTTAGCTATAAGCACCCTGGTAAAAATCGGCGAAAAGAGCTGCGTTTCAAAATACCATAGGAATTCTTATAGCCGGCTAAAGAAGGCTACAGAAAATCATATAGCTGGCTGTAGAATGCGGAGAAAATCATACGACCGGGCTATACGAAGTGATGAAAAATTATGCAGCCGGGCTATAGTTCCTGTCGCCTGGCTGTTGCTTTTTCGCCATCGGCTATAAAAGGCTATAAGAAATTGTGTACAAATTCTTGTGCTTTGTAAATCCTCAAGTTTGTACGGAATCACCTTAATATTTACAAAACGCACATTATATTTTCCTTTACTACATATTTTTTTTCATCAATTAAAATGAGAATAATCCATACAGAGTGTGCAAACATTTCAAAATCATGAGTTGAATAACGCTGACTCCGCCAGATCAAATGTTAGAGCCTAACACAAAGCGGAGCGGCGACGCACTGGCTGCCCGCCTGCCGCACCGCAGCGTGCCACGGCGCTTGAAGCAACTATTTCACACTATAGTCTGTCCCAGATACGAAGAGCCCTGGAAAATCGGAATAATTTGCACGATGTAGAAGCAAGGTATCGTTCGTTCTATTGTGTCCGACTAATCACCGAGCCAACTCCGCACCGCACAGAGGGTTGGTTATGAGCTCCGCGGCGCGTCGGCGTCTTACGCCGGGAATCCGCTCCTGGGCCTCGGGGAAAACCATCGCGGAAAGATGCGAAGGGAGTATGCGTTGCCTCAAGGTGGCTTGCGACCCTCTGTGCGACGCTTGTGAGAGGCGACGAGATGACAGGTGACGAGGGTCGAGGCACCCCAACCCGCCAAATAGTGCTAATTACTCTGATTTTCCAGGGCTCTTCGTATCTGGGACAGACTATAGAGGTATTGCACAGTATCATACGAAACTGAAGGCGCTCTAATATATTAGGAATGGCAGGCATCCATCAAAAGTACGGAGCTTTCCGCGCAAAATAAATCAAGATACTGCGGCCCAAAAAGAGAGCAGTGGTCCAAAAACTCACTAAGTTCTAGCATCCGTAATTAGTGACGTTTAGCATACACTTTATCGCCTGGCTGTGAGTTGCTTAATCACCATCGGCTATGAAAGGCTGTAAGAAATTGTGTAGCCGGCTATAGAAGCTATTGGACATCTCACAGCCGGCCGTAGGTCTATGGTATTTTGGAACACAGATTCTACTGCCAATTTTTACCAGGGAAACATTAATGTGATCAGAAGAAGCTGTGCTTATGCGATCTGCGTGCTTCATATCTCCTTGTGATTGAATTCATTTGCCTATACTGTCGTGCTAAGGAAAAACGCCGTATGAACATTCGCGAGTTGCCGAATTTCCTTCGATAAAACGTTTATTTTTGAGGAATGTTATGAATGTTTTTCCTTGAAATTTTCAGGAGCTTCTCTCTCTCTCTCTCTAAAAAATTATCTCTAAAAAAATCTCTAAAAAATTGGAAAATATTCGTAAGTTCACTATGAAATTTGAGTTTTATTAGTGGAAATGTGGCAACGCCTGATGGTTTATATGGCGTTCTTCCTTAGCACGGCAGTATAGGTCTTTTAGCATAAATGCGTGCAAAAGACAGACGATCCGGCAAGGAATGCCCGTCATATTTGTCGTGACAGCTGCAGCTGCAGCGCGGGCGCTGTGCGGCCCATACCGGGTATTTGTTTAGACTCCTCCGGAGGTGTTACGGATTAGCGAGATCCGACGGAGGAATTTTCCGTTTCATCGATCAGTCAAACGCTCAACACTTCGCTAAATGACGGATCGCTCTCATTTGTTGTGTTTTATCTTTGAATGCATTAGCCGAGCTGCCAGCCGTTCGCCTTTTAGTTTCACGGTGCACGAGCAGACGAGCACGACAAGACTGCCGTGGAAAAACGCCTTATGAGCGTTTAGACGCCACCAGATTTCCTTCAATAAAAACCAAATTTACTGGTAAAATTGTGAATATTTTCCCCCAAAATATTCAGACAGTTTTGTACGCAATTTAATCTAAAATATCTGAAAATTTCAAGGAACAATATGCACGAATGTCGTGAAAAATACATGTTTTATCAAGGGAAATTTGGAAACTCTCGAATTTTCATACGGCGTTTTTTCTTAGTACGACAAGATCACCCAAGAGCAAGACGCTTCTCTCATCGTCGCGTCAGCCGCGGCTTCGGCGACTGATCGATTGCCAAAGAACAAATTAATCGCCCCCTACTAGACTTTATTACACCGTAAGGAAAAGGAATTAACATTTTGTGTTAATGTTGCGTTGTGTTAATGGTGTGTTTATGAGAAGTGAACGCCAAGTAACACACATTTTTAGTCAATTTTTCTTGGTTTGCTCCTCTTTCGGTTCAATTGAAGACATATATATGTCGAATCAATCAATTTGATTTGCTGGGAAACTAGCATTCTGATACACGCACACTACCCGATACATCGACGGTGAAAAATCCTAAGCCCTGTATCTCAGTTTGCGACGTTGCACACCTCCCGTCATACCTTTATTATTTAAATGGAGAACCTCTCAACGCCAATTCTTCAAAACTTGTGTGATTTTCCTTCTCCATGCGAAGCGAATTCTGAAGAAATTCCAAGGAATGTTGTTGATTTCCTCAAATTTAAAAATGTAAAATAGGAGCAGAAATTTTGAATCACCGCAAACGAGATAAGTGGGTTTGGAGTTTCACAGTCGATATGTGGATCATGAGCCAAGGTCGCTTCTTCAGCGCAAAATTCAGGGGAGAAATGATAAAATTCTGCCGAAATTAAAATGTATATTTGAGTGTAGAGCAGAAGAAACGTATTTTTTTTTTGCACGTAAACCTTTAGTATCATGAAGCCGCGTGCTTTCAAAATTTCAAGGGGATAATAAAAAGTTCATCTATGCCCCTAGAAATCTTCAAATTTTGCTCAATACGGCAAGAGCGGACAGGCCGGCAGGACAAAAGCGCCGTTCGGCAAACGGTCATATATCAATGATACAAATCTATCGCCGAGCCCCTACAAATGCTGGCGACGTAAGGCAGACACTTGAGTGCGTCTCGAATAGCACATCGCGTGGAATGAAGGCGCAGGATACGTTGTCAGTTGCCAGGTCGTCGCCCTGCACTCCGCCCTCAAGATTGATAGCTCGATGACACCCCGGATAGGTGTTGTACTTGTCAGACACCCGCTCCTCTCCTTCTCCACCCCAACCTCTTCCCTCTTTACCCGCTTCGTATCTCACATTCCTCCAGTCGCGGAATCCAGTGCCTTCCGCGCAGGTAATGCTCGCCTCCTCGTGGTTGCCAAGTCGTCATTAAAGAATCCATCATTTTCTTGTTAATTCGAGCGATACATTTTTTTTACAAGCTGGCTGCTTCATTCTGAACGATGAGCTTGAGGAATAAATTACGCCGTGGGAGTATACCGTGTGTTCGGGACAATTCGTAATCTTTACAAATCTGGATCATATCACGTAGGTAAATTGTTGTGTGTGATAGATTCTACAGCTGATGATTTCCGGTTTTGGTCCACCAATATACTTTGGGCTCTCAGAATAACTAACTATTAGGCTAAGTTCGCGGGTTCTAATGCCGCTCGGGGCCTGCATTTTCTTGGTCCCGGCAACCCCGGAGATTATGCGGCCTCCAAAATTCCTTACATTTTTGTCTGATTTTCCAGTCCTGCGTGGTATTTGAGGAATGAGAAATGATGCAAGGTAAAAGTTCTTGAATTTCGTGTTTGTCTCTATCCACATAATTGGTGCGATCAAAGTATGATGTTTCGCATTTTTTTTCTTTGCCGATGCCATCAGATATCATCGGTATCGGTACCGTGCTTTCGTCATCGTTGTCATCGATTGAAGACCATCAGAGCCAAAACTTTGATTTCGCATAAATTTTCTCAGTTTCAAAGTTTTAATCCTCAAAAACACTTGTTTACAATACGCTGTCGGCCCTACTGATTAATCTTTCAAATGCATAGGTTGGCAGCGGCACTTTTCTAGTGATTTTCGTTTATCACGTTGTCGCCCTTTTGTATGGGTATTTGGATGTTGTATTAACAGCGAGGTGTTATTTTGGTGTTTCAGGACCGAAATGCAAGCACTGACATAAATGACAACGACGACGACCCGATGCCCAGGGACAACGGAGACAACAAGCACGGGACTCGGTGCGCCGGTGAGGTCGCCGGCGTGGCCTTCAACCACTTCTGCGGCGTCGGTGTCGCCTACAACGCCAGCATCGGAGGTACGTCCTTATCATCCGATTACGCTCTTCAAAAGCTCCTTTCCTCATTGAATTAATAAGACGTTTAAAGTTAATTAAGGTGCATTGAGAGCTATTTTACTTTTCAAGTCGCTATCGTACGGTTCTTAGGCTTGAGACGTGAATTGATCCATTTGAAATTATCAAAGGTATTGCGGAAGAGAAAACTCTGTGATAACTTCGAGGAATGATGTTGATTTTTTCTCCTTCAAAAATTGAAGTGGATGCGGAGATTTTGAAACACCGCTAGGTACGTGGTCAGCAGGCTGATTATTGAAATTAGTAGACAAAGGGATAGACAAAGAAGACATAGGGAGTATGGAGCGATGTGGTCGGTGTCAAACTCATAGCGGCGCCTGCAAGATTGTAGGAATACTTAACGCATTGCGCTAAACAATCCGGTCGGCGTCAAACGCATATTAGCGCCTACGAGACTGCATGGATACTTCTCGCTTTGCACTAGACGCAATGCGAGAGTTATTTGCGATGACTACTCGACCACGGGTTTGGTTGAAACGGGTGATTCTTATAGACTAAGGGGGAAAATGATGGACTAACTGTAGCGTCTCTTGTCGGTTGCCGTTAGTTAGTCTATTATTTACGTCTTTTGTCCATTACAACCACCCGTTTCAACCAATGGGGTCGCTACATACTCCATAAGTCTTTTTTGTCTATAGCTTTATCTATCGATTGCAATAATCAGCCCACTGGTAGTTTCACCCTCGATATGTTAGATCACGTTAGTGGAAAGGTAAGATTATCATTACCACTGCCATAAAGCTTTGCATGCAAGCTTTTAACTTTTGGATCAACGGTAAATTTTACTACATTATTCTTTTCTCGCTCCCTCTTTTCCTCCCTCTCCCCTCCTCTCTTCTCCCCTCTTCTCTCCCCCCATTAATCCCACTCCTACACACCTCTCCCTGTTTTCTCACCCCTCCCTCTTTCTCAGTGCGTGCTTTGCTTTACATTCGGGTCAGGGCTCTAGAGGCCGTGCACTATGTGTCTGTACACACAGTATTGCCATTAATTGTAAAAACCGCGTAAATATCTCCGCTCTCTCTCCCCGAAAGCCGAGTAATCCGGGGATCTATCCAAACTCGCAACCGCGTACACGAACGTCTTAATTTTGTTATCAGCGCGGCGCAGTCGGAGCGAGCGACGAGTTCCCTCTGTCTTTCAGGTGGAGCTTTCGGCGAAAGTTGCCTGCCAACTTTTCGAGTCTTTCACAAAAGGCTCATCAATAATTCCCCGAGGTATGCTCTGTATCAGTATCCTCCCCCCCCCCTTTCGCTCGTCGACAAAAATCCGCAATGAAATTAGCGGGTGTCGGCGGCTTATCAACAACTTTGCGATTCGGGGAAACGAGAAAACGTTGCGTCCGGAAAACTTCGTCGCGAGGAGGGTTCACGCGGTGCAGTGCGAGTTCCGATCGGTTTTTTATGTGTCTCTTCTTGGGGCACTTCTCGAATTTTTCTCCGGATGTTTAAGAGCAGTGGCGAGGCGCGAGTTATCGATGATCGATTTTTCCTCATTTGAAGCCGTGGTGAAGAATCGATTATTACGGTGTCCGTTGCGAACACCCTGTCTATCGATCCTTTCCCATAAGATTAAAAGGCAGATAATCGATCTATCGCAAGGCAAGCTACGCCACTGTTTAAGAGCCGCCCCTGGAACTTCCTCATTTTATCACTACATCACTAGCAGTGGGTCTTTAACTAACTTTTGCCGGAGCGAAATTTTAGCGGCTTTTGTTTAGGCTGTTTTGACAAATTCAGTATTTTTTCCAACTTCGCAAGTGAGATTTTTCCCAGCGACAAATCCCATGAAACGTCCCATGGAGACGAAACCTCAGGAAGAATTCTTCCCTTTGCTCTAGCAACAGTTTGCAACCAAGCCCATTGGTGGATCGCACCGTCCCAAACACACGGAGAAAAAACCTCGTGCGTGGGACCCGAAGTTTAGGTCATATGGATCTCTGAAGTTTTTGGATTGAGCATCTGAACACTTTAGGTCTAGCTGTCGAGGTTCAGATCACACATCTGAAACTTCAATTCTTACATCTGAAGTACTTCAGATGTGACGTTTTTTGGATGTGAAAACCGAAGTACTTCAGATGCAAGAACTGAAGTTTCAGATGTGTGATCCAAACTTCAGCAGCTGAACCTAAAGTGTTCAGATGCTCAATCTGAAAACTTCAGAGATCCATATGACCTAAACTTCGGGTCCCACGCTCGAAGTATTTTTCTCCGTGCATAACGAAAAAAATAAAATGCTCCATTGTGTCAATATGCATCACGTCATCAGTGTTTTGAGTAAGCTCAACGATACCTTCCCATTCATGTTCACTTCTCGCGACCTTTCGCTCTCACTCTTCCGCCTTGATTTTCTCCCTCGTCTCAGTTACGATCATTATTTTTGCAATGTTTTAGTTTCAAAACCAAAACAGCAGTAACTCGAGAATCCCCACTGTTTCTTTTTTTATCTGAATATCTTTTTTGTAATTTTTCCAGGGGTCCGAATGTTGGACGGAACGGTGAACGATGCTGTGGAGGCCCGAGCACTCGGACTCAACATTAATCACATCGATATCTACAGCGCTTCGTGGGGTCCTGAAGATGACGGCAAAATGGTCGACGGCCCGGGGCCCCTGGCCAGGAGAGCATTTATTTATGGAGTCACCAGTGTAAGTACTCGCTTCTCACCACGTCCTACATTCAATGTACCCCAGATTATTCCCCCCTCTTCCTCCACTGATCCCACCCCCTCCCAGGCCACTTGGTCCACGTACAGCACCCACGTTTGCATTCCTTTTCCACCCTGTTCGCCAGGTAGTTCACCGCTGATGCCATATTCCAAAAACTTGGCAAATTCCTTCCACCGAATCGTGGTACCTCTGTAGCTAACGTTTATTTGTAAGGTCGTTTCAAGCACGGAGGACTCAGGTCCCCAAACAACAAGGAAAAGCGGTGGCAAGCTGAGAAATGTATATTTCTACGCCACACCAAGGAGCCACAAGTCTGATGAGGGTCGTGACATTTTTGGAGGCATATACGCAGTGGCCGCGCCTAGCTGTAGTCCCATTCTTGTTTACCAATAGGTGGATGTACAATTCTACGTCACGATCAAATCGAATGGTGGCTGCCACGATGTCACTTCCTATATTCTACCCTTAGGGAGGACTACATAAATAGCATTATAGATTATGAGTCAATTTATGATCTTGGGAGAGGTGGCATTTAAATTGACTTCAATTCTACAGAAAGGACGTTTCCACTTTCTTGCATCAGAATAAATTATTCGGGGAATTTTTTCGGGTCTGCAATGATGGAGTGCGTCAGATCATAGGAGTCGAAAATAACATCGTATTCGACATCATGACCGAACAACTTGTCTTGTATGGTCATATCAATAGGTTGACGGAAAAAATGCTGCCCAAGAAGATACTCGATTTGGGTTTCTCCTGGAACGAGACGAAGGGGACGCCCAGTGAAATGGTGGCGACAGAGGGTTTTGGAGGGAAAGGGGGAGTGCCAACTCCTTGAAGGGCTTTGGGAGGATATGGTACTTTGGCGGTCGGGTGTCGCAGAGCGCTAAAGAGCGCTATGAAAGTGGCTTTTATGCACGTATTTTGGTTAATACCATTCAGTTTTAAGGCGTTTATGGAGATTTGTAAAGTTTTGTCCGCAAGCACATTTTACCTCCGCCAATAAACTTTTGTTTACATAAAAACGACATCGCCTATTTTTATTCAATATTTGCCGCACTCGGTAAGAGTTGATTTTTAGAAATATTTGTCATGGATGTAATTGTCTCCATAGAAAATCGAAAAGAGGAGATGAAAGTGACATGATGTCTGAACTGACAATTCTTGGACTAGCCTGCGCAAGAATAGGGGGAAATTTGGGAGGACGGTGTTTTGAGCCGTGCAGAGCGCTCGGTGCTCGGTGCGACGAGAGTTTGCACGAAAGAAATAAGGACGCAGCGCAAGTTACTCAAATGAATTAATGAGCCGATAAATCTTCCCTCCCCTCTCGCCCTCCCCTGTATCCCCTCCCCGCCCCTCCCACTGCGGTCTCCGGCCCGATGTCTCCCGCGGATGGGACAGGGACCTTGGAGTCGGGCGGAGCCGTTGAATTTCATGCTCCTCTGGTGCTGAATGCTCGTAATATTTTACTGTGTCCACCCGAGAGCTGCAACTTAAAAGAGAAAACTGTTGAAATAATAAAACTCGCCGGACGCCCGCTTAAAAAATCGGCGACGGAACGCCCAAAAACGTGAAAAACGACGCGAGCCCGCCCTGCTTCCGTCCTCTCCTCCGAATACAATTTCAGCGAAAATTGGTCTCGAAAGTCTCCGCGAGGCCAGCTTGGGCTTCGATAACGTCGTTATCTTCAGAACCGTTATTTCCCTCTAGAGAACCAAAAAATATGTATAAGATCGAAAATAAAGCATATTTCTTTTCACGTGTTCTAGTTAAAATTCACTCAGAAAGTCATGCTTACAATAAGGATCTGAAAAATCTACCCACATTCACGTTATTTAGAATGCGTTTCGCGCCGACCCTCGCTCGCACTGTATTTGGCGCAATGCGTGAAGTATTCCCACAGTCTTGTAGGCGCTAATATGCGTATTGCACCGAACGGCGACCGTACTTTATTTGGCGCAATGCGTGAAGTATTCATGCAGTCTTGTAGGCGCTAATGTGCGTCCTGCGCCAAACGGCGACCGTATTGTATTTGGCACAATGCGTGAAGTATTCATGCAGTCTTGTAGGCGCTAATGTGCGTCCTGCGCCGTGCGGCGACCGTACTGTATTTCGCGCAATGCGTGAGGTATTCATGCAGTCTTGTAGGCGCTAATGTGCGTCCTGCGCCGAGCGGCGACCGTATTGTATTTTGTGCAATGCGTGAAGTATTCCTGCAGTCTTGTAGGCGCGCGTTTCGCGCCAACCGACGGCCGCACTACATTCGGCGAGATCAGAAACGATGATATAGCATTAGATTTGAAAGAAACTGTAGGAACAGAGGAGAGATGTGATGATGTGTGTCGAAGACTCGTCGCGTCGACTTGTTATTAATCATCCGAGTATTTAAAAAAGAAGCAAATTCTTGCGCCAGTGATATCTGTAAATCTACTGGGCAATTCTCCCGATTTTTCTCTTCTTTTTTTCGTTCAGCCATGCGTCTGAGGATTTGCCAAAGATCAGGTTCGAGCCTTTGACAATCTTCGTTATAAAAGAAAGAAAGAAAAAAAAAATGATAGGCTCCGTTTACGTGCAGACGCTGGGGACCCGTTTTCTCCTTGTTGCTTTGTACGAGCTTTCGCTCCCTGCTCCTGCCACCTCTCTTGCCTCCTCCGCTTTTTCTCCCGTTGAAATTTGAAAAATTTCTCGATCGCGTTCCACATTTTTAGGGTCCTCTAAAATTCACTTGGGGCTTTAATAAGTCGTCACATTCTCGATGGATCATCTTATTTATCCAAGAGGCTATTATTCACTGAATAATATTCGGGCTTGGCTGTGCTATGAACGTTAATGTCAGTTGCAGCAGAATTTTATTTACATTATCTATGTCGGATTGACTATTTAATGTTTTCAAGAATGTGCGGAGTGAGTCATAACTTAATTTTTCACCATCGAATTTAATTTTGAACGTGTCAAATTTTATCATGGAATGACCGGAAGATTGATGATTTTTGTCGTGAAAAACGCATTCGATTTTCCATTATTGCGTAATCTTTCCATAGGCGATTGAAACTCTCATAGAGAAATGTTTTCCGCAAAAAAAAGGAGATTGATTGCAAGACCCAACGCGATGTTGACACCCGTAACTTTTAATCTGAGCTGTTGTGACAGTTGGCATCGCGCACTGGCAACCCACGCCGATGTGGGCATGTGTAGGAAATTCCAGCCTAACAAACAAGTCAAAAAATCCAGTTCCCCTTTTTCCAATTTGAAACGTAAAAATTGAATTATATCGTACAATCGCTTGTGAAGAGATTTTCAAAATCGCTATCGTGAGCATCGCGTTTTTTTTCCTTGGAGGAAGTCCTAAAGTAATTACCTAAAACTGAGAAGTTCGACAAGAATCATGGTAATAGAACCGCAGGAGCTTGCCTGCGATTAAGCAAAGCTCCTCTAGATTATATCTTTATTTCTCACTCAAGTAATGGTGGTCCTTACAGCATGAACTTCTGCTCATAACACGAGAATAACTGTTTTCAGATAGGAACGCATCAACAAATTTCCTTGCATTTCCCTTCTCTACGGATGTTAATGTTGTTACTGTCTTTTCATAGCGGTTTTTTTTTTCTTAACAGGGTCGACGCGGGAAGGGCTCGATCTTCGTCTGGGCCTCAGGAAATGGAGGTCGCCACTCGGACTCCTGCAATTGTGACGGATACACTAATAGTATATTCACTCTCTCAATATCCAGTGCCACTCAAGGAGGGTAAGAGATCTTCTAAAATATCGCCTTCGTATCGTTGCTTATGCAACCCTCTTCTCAGCTTGTAAATGCGTAGGTATTAGGAATAATGCGTGCGAGTCCACGCATATCATTTAAACTGGCGTATCTACCAATCATCGCAATGAAAATCAGATGAGAAATGCATTCTAAGATATCTTGTGAAGTTGAAAAATGGTGTCTCGTCAAGTCAGCTCTTCACGCTAATTATATTTTCGAAGAAGGGTCAGTCAGTCAGTCTCTCGCTCCTAATAACACAGTTCAACGGTCCGCGCGATTTTCTATTTCATAAAATGCATTATTACGTTTACCGGAAATTAAAGTCTCTTGGATCTACAGTCCTGACTCTTAAAAAAATTTGACAAGAAAAGATACCCTTGATTCAATCAGATTTTTGCTTCAATCGAGAGTCAAGACTCTTTTAAAGGGATTCCCTTTTGTTTCAAGCAAAAATCCGATTGAATCAAGAGTATTTTATCTTGTCGGATATTTTAAGAGTTTGGACGCTGGATCCAAGAGACTTTTTTTCCTGTGTACTTTCTGAGCAGGAGGTTTTAATTCAGCAAGTATGAAACGAACGCAAGTTTGAGTTCAACGCTAGCAACATTTTTCTATTCATATAAGGTTATTTTTTTCATTATTAATGTAGTGTTAACCATTTGAGACAAAAAGATCATGTTAAAAATTGAACTCCAAACATCAAGTGAAATGTTACTATGATACTTAAGTATTTTCTTGCAATCATCAATTTTGATCACACTCCGGATTTTACTAAGTTTTCCAATATCTAAGCTTTATGTTTAAATTTGAAGGAGATGATATTCATATAAGGTTATTTTTTTCATTATTAATGTAGTGTTAACCATTTGAGACAAAAAGATCATGTTAAAAATTGAACTCCAAACATCAAGTGAAATGTTACTATGATACTTAAGTATTTTCTTGCAATCATCAATTTTGATCACACTCCGGATTTTACTAAGTTTTCCAATATCTAAGCTTTATGTTTAAATTTGAAGGAGATGATAAGAGAGAAAATCCTCTGTAAGCACTAACTGTAAGTTGAGAAAATCCTCTGTGAGCTCTAATTGTAAGCAGGTAACATAATGTCTAGGCATTCTGTGGATGATCAAATGTCATTTCCCTCCCTCCAGGAGCAAAATTAATTTTAAGTAAAAAATCTTTGCTGCGACTGTCAAGATTATTAAACAGATTACTTACTCTCTTTTTTTTTAAACAGATACAAACCTTGGTATCTTGAAGAATGCTCATCAACTTTAGCAACCACGTACAGTTCTGGGACTCCAGGCCATGACAAGAGCATAGCCACTGTTGACATGGACGGAAAACTGAGGCCAGATCACATTTGTACTGTTGAGCATACTGGTACGTTCTAACATCGTTTCATCTCATCAGAAATGGACAAAAATCAAACAAAACCTCTGTTACTTTGTCACAGTACCTGCCGGGTTTGGGATGAAAAGGGGACTCCATAAAGTTCTATCCCATTATTTCGCTTTCTAAAAGCTTAAGTAGGAGAGACCAATTTTTTCTCTTTCTTTTTTTTTAAAAAAAAATAAATAAATAAATAATTCAGTTAATTCACCCCCTTCCTCCCCCTCCCGACTCTTTTCCCTCTCTTTCTCTCTAGTCAAACTTAAAATAAATGTATCAACACTCTCAATAAGTCTGGATAGGCAACCCTGAAATTTTAGGAAAATTCAAGAATATTTCCTCATAAGGAGAAACACGGAAAAAAATCAGGTGATTTCACAGTCAATAAAAAGGCGAAAATTGTTTATGGAACTTTTTGCAAACAACCTTATTTTTCAATTTTAGGAACCTCTGCCTCGGCACCTCTAGCAGCTGGAATGTGCGCCCTCGCATTGGAAGCAAATCCAAATCTGACCTGGAGAGATATGCAGTATATTGTTGTTTTAACTTCCAAGTCTGAGCCCTTAAAGAAAGAGGGTGGCTGGATCGTCAATGGTGTGAAAAGGGAAGGTAAGTTTCCATCATCGTTCAACATCATATTCAGTTCTGATGCAACAACATTTTGAAGGATTAGAAAACAATTGCTTCACCCTTTAAAGTTTGCAAAATCAGAAGAAAAGAAGAAGAAAAAAATTCATTTTTTTCATGAGCCAACAGATCCATAGATAGTAAGTCTGTTAGGAATGAAAAGTGGAAAGAAAACCCTGCCCCTCCTTGAAATATTTAAGATTAAGTAAGGCCAAAAAAATAAAAAAAACATTGACATCCACTTTTATTGATCAATAATTTTCAGTTACCTAAATATTTGTGAAAAAATCTATCCAAAGATGGATTCCCTATGATCTCATTTCAGTGAGTTGATTTTCTTACTTAATTTACTTTTTTTCAGTGAGTCATAAATTTGGCTATGGGCTAATGGATGGTGGTGCGATGGTTGCTCTTGCAGAGCAGTGGATTACTGTTCCTCCCCAACACATTTGTAAATCTCAAGAAATAAATGAAGACAGGTGAGAAAAAAACAATCCTCATCCCTTATTTGCTCTTCTTGCATCATTCTAGGATTTTTATAAAAAATAATTTAAATGAGTCTCACGGTTTACCAACTCTACCAACATTTCCAAGAATCTCTAAATCTTAACATTCATAAAGAACCCCGCACAGAGCATGGGCTCAGCGGCTCTCTATGAAAGTTGATGAAACTTTAATAGATTGTTATAAAGTTCATAATTAAGGGAAAGCCAAAAAATTAGCTCATTTTTGTGAGTAGAAGCCGAGATATTCGCAATTGAATCCGGACTATTTTCTATCTTGCCGCAGCATGACGGAGGAATTCCGAGTCCCCTTTCCTCTCGTTGTTCGGTGTTCTCGATCAGACCTCACGTCACTCATGGGAAGATAGGTGCTTATGCGCTCGGCCGGTGCGAATGCCGTACTGCCTCCCTCTCCCCGCATTTGTCAATTCTGTTTCAGCAACTACATTTCAGATTAAACCGGCCGGCGGCGCCGGCACGGGAGAGGTGCGAGAAGGAGGGAACTCCATATCGCACAGCCCGAACGGAGCGTCCTAATGAAAGGAGTGAGTATAAACAATGCGACATCGTAGTTACCTGGTGGGGAGGGGGGGTTTCCTGGCCGAAGCGTTCAAGCAAGGTAAGGCGATGCGGAGAATTTACCTCCACCGCACAGAAAATAGTCCGGGATCAATCGCGAATATCTCGGCTTCTACTCGCAGAAGTGAGCTAATTTTTTGGCTTTCCCTTAATTATGAACTTTATATCAATCTATTAAAGTTTCATCGACTTTCATACAGAGCCGCTGAGCCCATGCTCTGTGCGGGGTTCTTTGTTCAACCAAATACTTGACTGATTTTGTCTCGTGGGCCTTTTTTAAAGTGTTTGTCCTTTTTGCGTTATTCACAGACCAATTGACCCCACCTACGGTAGCTCCATGACTGTCACCATGGATGTTAATGCATGTCTTGGAACATTAAATGAAGTTCAATATGTTGAACATGTTCAATGCAAAATATCTCTTCGGTTCTTCCCAAGAGGCAATTTGAGGATACTGCTGACATCTCCAATGGGAACGACATCAACCCTTCTTTTTGAGCGGCCAAGAGATATTGTCAGTTCAAACTTTGATGACTGGCCGTTCCTCAGTGTTCACTACTGGGGAGAAAAAGCTGAAGGTAGATGGACATTAAAGATCATCAATGGAGGAAGCCGCCGAGTGAATCAACCAGGTACTATTCAAAGTCTTTAAAGTCATCATGAAAATGATTCAACAAGCTGCACCTTTTCAAACAAAGATTGTTCTATGCTGATATAAGATTTACTGAAAATATGTTTGAATAGTTAATTTATGTCTTAATCAGGGATTGCAGTGTAGGAAAAATTGAGCAAATATATCTGCACTACAAAAGAAAATGACAGCAAGCTTAGAAGTGATATCAGAGAGAATGACATTCTTCATATTCATATTACCTAATCAAATCCAACCAATTGTACTTACCAATTTTCTTATCTTGTTTCTATCCAGGAATCTTGAAAAAATGGCAACTTATATTCTATGGAACTGCTGTGAACCCAGTCAGGCTTCGTAATTCATATAACATTCTCTCTCAACAAGCTCAGCAGGCAAGAGGTTTTACATTCCCTTCTGCCTCTTCCCCACCTAACTTCTTTGCAAGTGCTCCAAGCAGCGAATTTTTCAGGAATCTGGACATCTTCACAGCAGCAGGCAGTGATCCTGAGGCATCTGTAAGTGTAGTGCACTCTATCTTTTCTCCAAAATGAAACAATAAAGGAATTTACTAAGTCATTCCTTTATACTAAGGAAGGATCTTGATAATTATTTATAAATTTTATGTATTATTATACATTGAAACAATATTTCTTTATAACTCAACCCCAACCTTTTGTTGTACAGTTTTTATGAAACAATTTGAATAAATTTAAGGGTGTTTGAGTGTGGTTTTTTTTTCTAATATTTTAAGTTTTCTTCCGTCCAGGAATACACTTATTCAACTTCAAAATTATAAATTTTATTGCATGAACATAATTCATTTTCAATTTGCAACCACAGTTTTTGGTACCGGTTGACAAGGCATAGAGTGCTGCCAGCTAAAATGTGGATTGAAAGGTATTCCAAAAAAAGATGGGCAGATACCAGCTTTCAGAGGATCTCTACCATAATGGATTCCTGTGGCAGTTAGGCGTCGCAACCTAGTGCGCTGTCAAAGTGCCTAATAAATACATAACAAGACAAAGAACAGAACGCTTAAAATAAGGTTTCAATAAAAAAATCTATATCTCAACAAGCAGAGATCAAGGTCCTAAATTCTGCTGTTCAATCACCTATAGAACAAAAATCCGAAAATATTATTCTTGTGAATTTATCTTTTGCAGGTTGCCTCTTTAACAGGTGAGAGAGCCTCTCTTGGAGCGACAGAAAACCATCAGCTAGCCCCGTCTGAAGGCAGACGTGTCATTCACAGCTGTGACCCTGAGTGTGATCCTCAAGGTTGCTTTGGAAAAGGCCCAACACAATGTGTCGCTTGCTCTCATTACAAATTGGACAATACCTGTGTCAGCCGCTGTCCTCCCAGGAGCTTTGCAAGTGAGAATGGACGCTGTTATCCATGCCACGAGTCATGTGAGACATGTGCAGGTCCCGGTCAAGACAGTTGTCTAACTTGTGCTCCAGCCCATTTGAGGCTCGTTGATCTAGCAGTTTGCCTTCAGCAGTGTCCAGAGGGCTATTATGAAAGTAAGTCGCATTGGTATCTAAAATGTAGTTAATTAAGCATACGCAAAGAGGGGGAGGTAATGAGTAAGATTCAAATTTAGTGTGACAAACTTTAAATCGCAATTGAAGACTGAAATAATTAGCATAATGTGCGTAAGAACATCAGTTGTCAAATCGGAGGGTATGGATTTAATCGACTTGAATCGATTGAAATATAACAAAGTAAACCATTTAACACTGAATATCAACCAGTAGGCCAGCTACTACCATCAAATCAGCTTAAAAAGGATTTAAAATTCAATACTAATTTTGGATTCTAAATGTTTATCATGAAAAGGAATATCAAATTACAATTTGCTTTTTATCAAAACTTTAACCAAGTTAAACCTTAAATCTATAGACAGTTTACCTCTCTCATCTATGGATCCATTTCCAATGCCTGCACTGAATGAATTTTCATTATTCATTTTGTTTGGTTTCCAGACACTGAGGAAGGAACTTGTGTTCCTTGTGCAGCCAATTGTGGAAGTTGTCAGGACAGTCCAGAATTTTGTACAACCTGTGATCATCATTTGGTCTTGTACAAGAATAAATGTTATGCTGCTTGTCCTGTTTTTACCTATGAAACAGACGATTATAGGTGAGTGGGTTTTAATTAGATTTAACTTCTTCCTCCATGTTCCTCAAGAGTTTTTGGATCAATAATCAACTATATTCTTGAAATCTTCGATCTCTAATTATTCCAAATATGTACTCTATTTATTCTTGAAACTTTCAGTGACAGTTTTGAGAAAAGGCTAAAAAGATTCTCTTTTTTTACTATTTCTTTTACTATTTTATTTTATTTTTATTTTATTTTTGTTCCCGCTCACTCTTGAAAATGTAAAAATGGAAAAAAAGAAAAAAAAATTATATTGATCACACGAAGGTTTTTTCCAAAACAAATTTCTTTATTTTAAAACCGTCTTTCCTCATTTTTTACATAGGTGCTCAGCTTGTCACAACTCTTGTGAAACTTGCTCTGGTCCGCAAGAAAATCAATGCATCACTTGTCGCTCCGGTTACTATGCTTTGAATGGAAAGTGCTTTAAGGCGTGTCCTGATGGATATTATTCAAATAAAAAGCGTAGAGAATGTATGAGGTGTTCACCAGGCTGTGCAACGTGTAATTCTGCCGGTTGTCTAACGTGTCAATCTGACTTTGAATTAAATAAGAAGAACAAATGTGTTCGAGCAGGAGGACTCCAATGTAAAATAGGTGAGCCCCATTTACTCATCCCTATTTTCAAGAAAGTATACACATTCCAATGTTCAGGAACAAATCAAAAAAGTTTCTGTTTTTTGCGTGTAACTTTTGGAAGGTTACCCAAAGTTTAGCCTTGATGTTGGTTGGCTGAGAATTTAGGAGGGTAAAATTCAATTTGTAATTTTCAGAAGCTAGCCAGTCATTTTCTAATTTAAAAATTTTAATGAGGGCACCTGATCAACAAACTTTGAAGATTATTCAAAAAGGCTATAGCCACCCAAACAGCAACTTGATGGCTAATTCTATTCACATAAAAACGTAATCATACAATACTTTTTCAAATGGAATACAAACCCACTAACATGCGGTGAACCCAATGTCACAACCAAACTAATGACACTCTTTGCCTCCCTTAATTTAAAAATCTAAATTTTTGTATATACATCCATCTTCCAAATTCTTTGCAAAGACGTTAATAGCCTAGGATGCTGAATGTCTATAAATAAAATAACTAAACTAATGACTCTTTGTGCTCAGTTCCCAAATTTCAATACATTTTCTCAATAATTCTTTGGATGCAAATGATTCCCTAAAATTCCTAAAATTTTTAGTGGTTGCATTGATGTACAAAATTTGATCCTAAAATAATTATATTAAAAATAGGTACCTAACTTTGTAACTGTGGCCCAAGTGAAAATAGAACTTCGGAAACAATGTCTAATTCACGGCTGCTCAAAGTACTTAGGTATTTCAGAATAATTTGTATCAACCTTTGTCTATATAACTGATACAGATTATATAAATAATTAAATACTTACACCAAACAATGTAAAAAATATGATTAAGATACTGTTTGAAATTTCTCTGAAGGAACAATCTTAATTATTGCAAATCATCCTCGTTTTTGTTTTGTTGTCAGGGACAAATTTTCAGAGTTGTATTTCTCACCAGTATACCTTCTCTCCTTATCACCAAAAGTGCAAGGAAAACCTATGTAGAGCTATCTCATACGTTTTTGTTGATGAGTATACCCATCCTTATCCTCATTTTCCCATCCTCAGCCTCTTGACATACAACACATTGAAAATCAAGACCGCAAACTACACCCGAGAGAGCTCAACCTCACAGATATTATTGAAGAATTGTAAACTGTTCTCCGAAGATATTTTGATGTATTTAATCCCTTTGAGTCTGCAGGTACCAAACCGCTTTGTTAACTTTTATGGTTCCTTTAAAATAGGGGGTTTTCAATAATTTGCAATAGAGAAGGAGAGGTAAAATAATATATATATTAATCATTAGCAATAGAGAAGGATAGGTAGATTTCTTGTATGTGTGCTACTGCCTTCAGATGATAACCATTTCAAATTACCTCATTTTCAGGTGTTTCGTTGTTTTGTCCCATTTGGGGCACATGTAATGAGATTCTTAAATATGTATATCTACTCAGCAAGTACCAAAAGAGAATAAAAAGCTCCTTGTCTGTAGCCCTCACAACTTGAAAAGTTCTGAAGGCGTTAAATAGAAAATTTCTAGCCTTAAAGTCATCTGTACTTAAGTTTAGAAACAATTACTGACGACTCCTTGAGTCTTTTCTTTGATCAAGAGAGTCTATGTGCTCTTTTTAAGATAAGATATTTTTTTTAAAAGAATTTAAAGACTGTGAGTGAGCTGCAAGGAAAAGCTAGATTGATCTTATGAATAAAGTCCTTTTGAATCTTCAAAATGAAATCTTCCAAAGACATTTTGCTGTACTGTCTAAAGAGTGTGGACCCAGTACTATTTTACCACCTCGTAATTTATTGTATTCCTGAATCCTAATCCAATACTTACATCCTTTAATTCCTCTCCTCTTTCTCCTTTGAGAGTGCACTACAGTAGCCATACTCAAACTTTAGATCTGGCTAAAAGCTTTTACTTTTGCCTCTCATTCTACACTCCATTTAAGCATCGGTATGAAAGTTGAAGGCTTGTTTTTTGTTTTCAGGAAATTATTGGAATGGATCAGATTGTATAAAGTGCCATGGAACGTGCGAGACTTGTTTTGGAGGCGATGAGGAAGAGTGTCTGACCTGTCATGAGCCAACATTCCTTGAATGGTCGCGTTGTGTGCCTGCTTGTTCAGTTGGATACTACAACGATCATGCTACTTGTGTACCGTGTGTGCATACTTGTCAAGAGTGTATATCCCGTGCTAACTGCACTGTTTGCCAGCCTCCACTACTCCTCCAAAGTGGCGAGTGCCGACCTACTTGTGCGGCTGGGTGAGTTCCTTTCAGCTTCTGTTTTGGGTTTCTCTGCAACATACGTATCAATTTCTATTTGCATACAAATCCCAATATCCTAAAGTAGAGACACGGTAGAAATTGTCCAGACATATCTTCTATAGGAATTAGATAGATGGACTCATCCTCTTTGGAAACCACATAAAATGATAATCATCATACTCATAGCAGCATTATTTCATTGAAGATCTAGTTGTTTTTTCCAACCGCATCCAAACGAATTTTGTTGATATTTTCATTAGTTTATTTTAAATATGGCTTAACTCAATATTAGCCATTAACACCTTGAGGGATTGTAGAGAGATCCTTACGATTACCAGGGAGGAGGAAATAGGGAAAGAGGAAAGAGGGGAAAAACAAGGCAAAAAGAAAAGGGAGAATTAAATAAATTACATTTGTGTGTATTTATAGAAATGAATCTGCCTTTTTAAGAATCTTATCTTTCTTATGTTGCTAAATATTTTAACCAGACTTTTTGTATTTTTTAGAGAATAACTCTTAGTAAATTCTTTTCTTCAAACTTGCCTCATTTTATTCAATCTTTTGTACTTAAATTTCATTCAATATCCTTTGTTAAAAAATTTCAAAGCTAATTTATCTTTGTAACAGGTATTACAGTGACATTGGAACTTGCTCCAAATGTTACTTGAGCTGCATGACCTGTAGTGGTCCACGGCGAGATCAATGTGTTTCTTGCCCCAATGGGTGGCAACTTGTAGCAGGGGAGTGCTTCCCAGAATGTCCCCAAGGATACTACATGTCTGACTACGGTTGTCAGAAATGTCATCATTATTGTCGCACTTGCAAAGGTATTGATTCTTCCTGACTTGAAGTATCCACGTTCGATTTTCCAAGAGTAACTCGTCCTTGGCATCTAATAACAATAAAATTCCTAATAATAGTGCAGTTTGTTGTGATGGCATCAAATGAGTCAGTTAGAATTGATCTGGTATCCTAATTTTCTCCAGAAATAATTTAAAATTAAACAATTAGTATCATGAGTTAGTGTTGAGGCTGACATGAAGATGCTAGACAAAATGTACGACTAGTATACAAATATTTTAAAAATTAGTAACAAATAAAAACTGCACAGTTAACATGGATGGGATACAACTGCTAATAATAATAAAAAGATGTATCTTAAATACTATCCCCGAGAGAACCTCTCTGATAGATCAAAATTTTCAAAATTGAATCAAGATTCTTCCTAATTTTTTTTTTTTCATTCTTTCAAGACTCTTTGTTCCCTTCACTGACTTTTCATTTCTTATCTTTGTTGTAGGTGAAGGACCACTGCAGTGCACATCATGTCCTCCACGTGCAATGCTAGATGGCGGTCTGTGCATCACGTGCCTGTCATCACAGTATTTTGACCCAGTGACTCAGCTATGTAAATCTTGCCATCCGTCATGTAAGACTTGCAGCGGGCCGGGTCAATTCAGTTGTTCCTCTTGTACATTCCCTCTCCATTTAGATTCACAAAATAAACAATGTGTACCATGCTGTACGCAAAACACACGACATGACTGTTGTGCGTGTGATCAAGAAACAGGTAATCCTACATATTTGTGCGACCAAAATTTTTCTGCCGTTTTTTTCCAATATTTTTCAATGGAGCCTCTCTGGCCTTCATGCCTCCATGCACAGAATTGCTAATTACTTTTGTTTTATTAAAAAATCACTCGCATCATGATTTAATTTTTTTTTTCTTACCTCTTGCCATTGCAAGTACTGTTTTAAGTACCACTAAGCATTGAAAACTGAAGAATTTAAATTTTTTAGACACTTTGGCTACACAGTGGCACCAATTAAAAGGATTTCATTTTTAATCAAATACATATTAATTACAATAATACATACAAATCCCTTTCAATTTACTTTATGTTCTTGTGGCTGAATAATGTTTTTATTGTTGGGTTTTTTATAGGTAAATGCCATATGAGTTCGCCAGCAGGGAAGAGGCGAACAGTTTTCAACCTAGAGGAAAGTGAACCACCGAAGCAGACTCTACCATCTATGTTGTCCCTGACAACAACTGTTGCATACTTAGCTTGCCTTACTGCCATTGTTTTATTTGTTGTAGTTTTTACTGTTTTACAGGTAAGATTAACCTTCTTCATTCATTGTTTTTGTATATTCACCACATGTAATTAGATACAGGTCTACAAAAATATTTTGCTGGGAAGTAGGTCCTGAATTTTTACCATTGATGAGTCTATATATTATGGGTAATTGTGAGGTCTGGTAAATATGTACAACAGTTCACTGCGAACATTTAGAGACAGTTCATTGTTATGATAACTCATCCTGTGATCGAACGTGCTAACGTTTGGTCTGAATTTTCACCGCTGCGACAATTTACCGTCTGAAGGAAGAAAATTTGCACAATAAAGAAGTGGAAGAATGTAAGCATAGAAAAGGAAAAAGATGTGTAACCCAATAACACCAGACTGATGAAAGGTCATGACTGATTGGAGAAACTCAAAGAAGACAGAGGTCAGGGTAGCATAAAAATTAAGTTGACCAGTTTTTCAGAGAAAAAATTAAGTATGATCGGAAGTCTGCAACGTCGCAAATGGAAACCTCGAACACCCTTAAGCCATCAATGTATAATGTCAACATCACCCAAGAGGACCGGTAAATGTTGATATTAATAGGGTGATTTATGAAACATTACTCGCCCCTGCTGCATTACCTGTAACATATAGGTGAAACTGTCAAATATGCGTATAGGCTAATGTTTCGAAGTGAAAAATTGCTATTTTTGTTTTTATTCATTACCTAAATTTGTTGAGAAGTATTACAATCATGAATGTAAGCTTTTTTTAGCATACTAGCGAGAAAAAGGGTACCTATTGAAGCGTCTTACATTAGATTTGCAATCATTGTTGATCTATAAAATTTTTTTAGAGATTTGTTTCCACTATAAAATTTTTTTAGAGATTTGCTTCCACTATAAAATTTTAAAATTCGCTTCAAAGAAAACTAAATCGGCAGTGCAGTTTGGACAAGAAAATATACCAAAAATTGCTTCTTATTATGTTTGTTCATCAAGAAAATAAGAAAGGATTTTGTAAAAATGTAGGTTTGCTTCTTACACTGTCATAATCATTTCTTACTTTCTTTTTTCAGCGACGATCAAGGGGGTCTCGTCCTAGTTACGCAGGTTATGAGAAGGTGCCAGTACACCAATACACAGAATTATCAACGAACACACAAGTAACAACGTAACGCTTATGAGAATAATCAATTGAAATTCACCAGAGACTTCCGTTTTTTTCGGAGTCTCCAAAATCATATGTTCTGACCTGTGATATCTTGCTCCACGACTGCGCTCTAACATTTGATCGAAGTTCTTCACCCAGCCCTTGGATGTCACCATCAAGTAAATAATTAGCCAACCAGTGGATAACTCATAGCATTGTAGGATTACTTCTTTCTAATCTTGTGATTCAATGAATTTTTATCAAAATGAATACTTCGTCATTCTTAGAACAAATGTTAGATCAATTATTTGTTTTTAATGCAAGGTTGGTGAGAGCAGAACTTGTTAGATTTAGTTTACTTAAATCAAACTGAAGTTGATCAAAGTTCATCATAGGTAGTTAGGTTTGTAATTAATCTCACGAATAGCTATTAGTAAGTCTGTTCATTTTTACCGTTGCTTTCTCTTTTTCCATAAAATCATCGTAATGATTTACCTTCAAAATCACTGTCTCATAGATGACCATGTGTATGTTTAACTTGTTTACAACTCTGCATTTTGTACCCAGAACTGTTTACAATCCTTCCTTTAAGTTGAAATGTACCTATAATCGAAAGACCAAACAAGGACTTGATACAAAAAATAAATGTAACGAAAGCTGAAACTCACTAGCTCAAAAATTGAAACATTTAAAAACAATGCATCTCTGCCTTCCGACTGTATGCAAGTTCATGTAACAGAGTTGCAAGAACGTGATGATCGCAGAATTTGACACTAAATTACTTATTTTACGAAGAAATGAGTTTTAGATTTTGTAACACTTATTTCATTTTCCTTTGGTAATCATTGTTGAAAATTTTTTTCCTGATGATTTCTACTGATCAGATTGACAGTCTCTGCATCAAGATCTCCTGATTTGTTATTTTTTTCCTTTAGTTCTTTATATTTTGTCATTATTTTTACAATATTTATAATTGTAGATTTCTCATTGAGATAAAGTGCCTATTCACTTTCTGCTCATTTTTTGTAAATTTGTGATCAAAAACACGATTTTAATTTGTTTTCCTGTGAAAAATTCCACACATTTTGCACCAGAAGTAACTACACAGCCTTCTTGAAACTAATACTCTTAATTACTCATCATGCAACTTAATGACAGACATTTTTTTCTTCGTCCTCTTAAATTAATTGATCGTGATATTTATTTACCCAAAAGACATTGGCCCAGTATTTTTCTGTAATTTCAGAGAAGATCTTACCAATAAATGGAAAAGACTTGATTTTATGTGTCAAAAAAAAAGTTTTCCTTTGGCTTATGAAACCTCTTGTTTTGCAAACTGTGTAAGTCAACTGTAATAAAAGGAACCTCTAAATTATACTCTTGTAATACCAAAAGGTTGGCTTAAAATATTGACCTCATCATGCCTGTTAACGAAATGCTGTACTCAAATGAGGTATTTTCCCTGTAGGCATAAAATAGTTATTACGACTTTGATAGTAGCAAGGAACATAAGCTTGGGTAACTTCGGGTTAACTTAAACTGTCTTCTAAAACTAATTATTATTTCTCTACTTTTTGCTGCTCTCTTATTGTTTTACGTACTTAATTTTATTTTTACATATACAGCAAAGCATTATATTCTCAATGCTATTAAAAGTTTTCATTAGTAATTGGATAAAAAAGTAAAGTTACCCACTATAACCGAAAATTTTCGACATAATTGTTAAATTCAAACCTTAAAATTGTAACTGCTTTGGTTTTCCAGATAATTTTCATTGAACATTTTTTTGTATTTCAAATGTTTTAATGACATCAGAGGAATCAGTGGTGTAACTGAATTATGTTGAGGATCTGCAGTACTGTGATCCTTGCACTAATACAGCTATCAGAGGAAACATGCTTATACCTACCATGTGTTTTTAATAGAATAAATGCAATTCTGTTGGCCCTTAGATCGGACCGTGACTTGTTAAGTAAGTGGAAACTATTTTTCCAGAAATCTGTGGCTCTCAATCTTAAATCATTTTGGAATTTCTTATTTTGCTTTCTATACCTTGTGAACAAATTATGATGTATCTTTTTCTCTGATTCTTATTAAGATCTGAATCTAATTGTATTGATTTATTTTTATCATTATTTGTTTTTAGTTCAATGATTTCCTCAACTCAAAACTGATAGTTTATCCATTATTTTATCATGCTTTGTAACTGTTACCAAAGTTGATACAAGGCAATCAGACTTGAGTGAAAAGAAAATCACTAATGAGTGAAGTTAAGCACCTAAGAGGTGTTTTTAAGAACTTAGATTTACACGCATGTGTTACTCTTGATCAAATTCAAATGTACCTATTTCAACCTGCCATAGAACCTGTTTCATCCAAAGTAAGTTAAGGGGAAAATTACTAACTAGTAAGTTGTAAGTTGACTATTAGTAGTAGAAAGTATACTACAGTTTTACAAATGTTAATTTTTAAGTTCTCTCCTGAATTTTATGCTCAGAAACATTCCTAAATTATGCATTTTCATGGCGCTCTTTTTTTCTACGATTTTGTATCTAAAGAATTGGAGCTCTTAACCTTAATCAATCAACAGCGGTTAAAATGAAAATTGTTAAAATAAAATTCCATTCCAAATTTCATTCCAAAATTTTAGGGGTTTTTCGGGCTTTTCCCCCCTTTCCCCCTCTCATTAAATGTAAGATTCTGTGCTTACCCTCAGAGGTAAAAGATTTTTGGGCATGCAGTTGAAAATACAGCCTGCAGTCAGCAGGACAAAGGAAGAAAAAATCTATTTTTAAGGTGAATCCAGGCTTCGAACTTCACGATTTGGCCACCACGTCGCGCTGCTTAGAATAGCCGTATATATTTTCCAAAATAATAAAAACCATAATACTTATTCAAGATTAGGAATCCAAGGGATATAGCAACATACTTGAGGAACACTCAGTAAAAAAATCTTCTCAAAATTCCCAAAAATAAAGTCGTAACTACGGCGGAAAGTAATTCCCATTGCGGCAATGGGAGAGAGAGACAGAACATGAGGGATTTGGCGGCCGCCGCTGAGCTGAAAGTTTCAGCCGTACTTTCTCTGAGCTTGTAATTCTAATTGCCAATATTTTTGGCTCAAAAAATTAGGCAAAAAATAATCTATATCTTGTGGATCTGCTTTTTGTAATTTGAACAAGATTATCTCAGTAATCGTCGAAGGAAAGTGAAATTCTCAGTGGTGACTGGTGGCGCTATCTCTAATCTTAAATTATCCCTAATCGAACCCTGGATTCACCTTAAAGGCAATAATTATTATTTTAAGTATTGTCTTTTTCATGAAGACCACGTAGTTTGCCGGACCTACAGTACATTTAAATACTATAGTGTACATCCTTAGGAATAAACAGTAAAATTCAGTTAAAAATACTGAGATCAGAATTTTTGAGAACAGCAAAGGGTACGATTTTCAGTAGGTCTCTCTTGTATTAATTTTGGTTTCAGTCGACCATTTATAAAAAATGAACAGATTTACGATTTCAGAATATGAGTTCTAATTTAATTTTTTAAGAAATGTTAAAGACCTGCTAACGTAGGTATTGAAACAGAAGAAAAGTAGGTTCACAGAGAACCTGCATTTTGAAGTTAAAAAATAGAGTGTACAGATTTTTATTTATTTTTTGTAATAGGTTAATTTTGCATCAGTTTGTAAATAACTGCTTAAGTTGTACTTATTTTGTGTGTACTATACCGTTTATACTTAAAATAATAATGTTCCAATGGAATGTGGCTCAATAAGGGAACCAATTATTCAAGGGAAGATCTCAATGCCAGCAACAGCAGATCCAAAGCATCTAGATTTTCTCGGAGTTTGGAACTGGAGTAAAAGTGAAGCTACCATAAATTTATCTATTTTCTCCTTGGGATAGAGAAGAAAGAGGACTCTAGAACTCCGGGCATAGCATGGCCCTCCAGACGCCTTGCTCGTTTTGCCAATGACTTCAGGTTATGGAAAGCTGCTCTGTCCATTTTTTATTCCTTAGTCAGGAGAAAAAATTGGCATCAAAATATTCAGGAAAGAAAAAATGGAGAGTTGATGCATGTCAATTGTACTTTAATAATATTGGAGAAAGCCTTGTGATCTTTTCTTAAATGAATGGTTTGAAATTTGATTTAACCATGTGATATTTGCCTGATTCCAATTTCTTCCCTTCTCTTCTTTTCTGTAAAGTTCTTTGCGAATTAAATCTCTTCAATTCAAACAAGGTAAAAATCCCCTCTACTAACTTTGAAATTGTTTTCAAAATTGTCAGAAAGAGGAAAATTCGCGAGAATGCCAAGGTCATGGGGAAAAATGCTGGGAACAAGGGCTTTGTCTTCAAAGTTTTTCCATGACTTCCTCTAAATTCTGTAACAGAAACAACCTTAAATAGAATTAAAACATCAAATTTGCTCTGTCTCAGAGACCGACATATCTGTTGAGAATTAGACGTAAAGAGTTTTTTTTTCTTTGGCCAAAATGCATTTAATTCAGTGGAAAGTAATAAATGGAACCCTTACTTAGTATTCATTCAAAATGAATATTTTCCCTCTAGCATGAGAATATTTTTTGTGAAGAATTTAATTTACTAAGTCATTTCTACTTAACTTGTGCACCTCTTTGCATTCCTTCATAGGTTTCAATATGTTTCAGCGAAGACCTGTTAATGCAGTTTCTCTTGTACAGCTCTTCTCAACCTTTGTATCCTTAAATGCAGAGAAGAAAAAACAAGAAATTTAAGTGGTCTTAACTATCCAGAACTAAAATCGTTACTTATGCACGGTGTAGCTGTGCACTAGTAGCACATAGCAGAAATTTAGATAACCATATATTCTCATGGCAAGGAAAAATTTTAAAGAATATTGTAAGCTGAGACCATGGAGCACCTCTTCATAAAACAAAGTCTTTCATGCAAATCGGTCATGTTAGCCCTCTGAAGGGTCAAGTAACCTGCTCCTTAATTTCCCTTCAAAATGTCATCGAGTATTTGAAGGACAGAGGTGAGGAATGAAAGTGTAAATGAGCACATTGACTACTAACATGCTGTTTAATACATTGATTGCCTCTGGTAAGTATGAACTTTGCAATAGTTCTGCCATCAACCAGACCAAAGAAGACCATTATCAGAAAGTAAACGTCTAAAATTGAGAGGTGTAAATTGAATGGTTCAAGGCATCTAAAATTAAAGTGTTCCTATTTTCATCCTTTCAGTCATGTTTAAATGAGCCCAATTCTTTTTCATCTTGGCTTTCGTTTGTCAAAACATAAAAGTTTATTGCCTGGCACTGTATAAAGGATACCTGCTTGTTTCAACTCATCTATTTTTTAGCAGAGATGCTTGCGCCTACAAGCGAAAGGATCATCATATCTGAAATTAATCTTTCATCAGCACTTAAGGCTGCATTGAAAGGAAAAGGAGAATGCCTTCGAAATCTGAGTGTAAAAATACTCATGGTCCTGAAAAAATTCTTCAGAAGTGCAGAACGTCATTCAGAAGTTGGTAGAAATCTTGGCCTCAAAGTTTTCTCTCGCTTGGAAACTTCTTCACTTTGCAAAAACGTCAAAAGTGCATGATAGGAGAAAAAATGTCCAAAAATCAACACTTTCTTCTTTTTTTCTCATTCTCCCCCCCCCCCCCCNACTACCGAACAAAAATCTTTCTTAAAGATATTTCCTCTGCAGCTCACGGATTTTCTACTGCTTCACGCAAGCTGGAGCTAGCGCATTCAAGCATTTTCCTTGCTTTTGAGATTACTTTTATGCCTTCATCATCAGACTGATGTGTCATAAGGAAAATAAATGTGTCAGTGCTCGTAGCTTTGAGTCAAATGAAACATAGGCTTTGGAGACAAGGCTCCGTAAGACTAATGATTGGTAGAGCCAGAATTACGTGTGGTTGCTCTTTTTGTGTATAAATAAAAATTCATAGCTGCCCAAGTAGAAAATTTTTTTTGTGCAGTTACAGTCCTGAACCTGACACCGTGAAAATTATTATTTTGTGTGATAACTAAGGTAAATTCTTTTGTTAAAATAACACCCTGACTTCAGTGGGAAACATTCCTCAAATTTTGATTGCTTACCCGACTATCCATACATTTTCTTTTTTGGTTTTTCATTAAACATGAAAATGGAATTGTTAATGTTGCCATCACTATTTTTGTCCAGACTGGCCACCCTACTTTAAAGTTATTTAAGGTATTTAAAAAAGCAGTTTCATGAAGAACTGTTTGAGGAATCTTCCTGGGTTTTTAAATGAGTAAATGATTTATGTAGCACACCAATCAACCACACCCTTTAGTAATCTTTGCAGAAGCTGATCTAGACGGAGTTTTACAGAAATCCACTGAGTCGCATGAAGCTTCACTGAGAAAAAGAGCTTTGAAGTTTCATTTCTCTATAAGATTCAACATTACATACAAAGTCTCGGTCTTGCAACAATAGCGAATTAAAGACTCATTTTTTTGCCTTAATTTTGTTCAGTTGAAAATGAAACTGTCATATATTTCAAAACAATTTTGGTTTTTTTCATCCATCCTTTGTGTTTTTGTGCAGCCTTTCCCAGATTGATTTGTTATTTTCTTACAGAAAAAGTTGAATGACGATTTTCACGTTCAAAATATTCCTTTGCACATTGAAACTTTTACAGAAAAAAATTTACTATCAGTTAAATTGGAAACTACTCCTGCTTCAGTTTCTTTCAAACAGCGACTGGGTGTATTTCTGTTAAACTCTGTCCATTTTATCTTTTAGAACATCATTCCTCCAATTTGTCAGATTCCATTTTTGTTACTGCTTGTTTACAGTTTAATTGTCGTGTTTTTTACCGACTATTTTTTGTACTCATAATTTTTATTGTTATTGAGCAATTTATGTAATTTTTGTAAATATATTTTATTACAATAATATAAAGAGTTTATACATTTTTTTTAAAAAAAAATTCATGTCTGCAAAATCTGGGTTAAAAATGTACATGAAGTAGAGGTAAAGTTAATATTTTTACACACACAATAAAAATATAAAAATATTTACAAAAAATAATCCAAGTTCTAGTTTCAAAGTGACAAACAACTTTAAGCTTCAATTTTAAATACAATTATAGAGCTAATTAATTTTGAAAAGCTTAACATGATCAGTTTGAAGTGCAACAACAATGCTGCTTTGATGATCCCTGAAATTGACTCAAGAAACTTGAAAAGCCCATCGCACTATTCAGGATTCCTAACACACCAGGTCACCAAGTCACCGATGGAGTGAAAAATGGAGGGAGGGACAACTGACAGTGTAAAGGATAGAACACCAGGAATTTTCACATTTACATGGCAGCACGATCCCCTCCTTCCTTACACAACTAAAAATGAAATTTGTTGGTCTCACACAGGCTTCCTATGCCATACCGATTTTGATGATTTTGTTGATCGAAAAAGCTCCCTCTTTAAATACATATTATGATGGGATTTTCAAATTTGACAATGACAGCAATGTAATTATGTGCTCTGAATAAAGTATTCATACTTCTTATTTACGATACTAGATATTTACAGAAATGTTTACATTTGGTAACAAAAAAATAGTTCACAGCTCACAAATAAAACAGAGTTGCTATTTTCATCAAATTTTGAAATTTTTTGAGTTTTTTCTGACTTAAGATAATTTAATCCAAAAAGTTCCCCAGTATATATGGCAAAATTCTTGAGGCAGCGATGTCAAATTTTTCCTGGCACAATTTCTTACGCTACCAACAGGTTGGAGACCCTACTTTTAAGATACTCCTTGTATTTTAAACATAGACAGGACTCAAAATAATTTCTGATCTCTAAAGTCCCCCGTTTATCTGCAAGGGTGGGTGCTTATATCATCCCACTCTCCATTTGCATGTTTCATATCTTTCTGTAAGCATTGGCAGGCTTCACAAATAAAGAAATCTGGAAAAATTTGGCACCACTGACCTACGGTGCTTACATGCCAGAATGATGCAGGGCCATTCATGTTAGGATACCCCGAATAAAACAGATTCACACACCGCGGGTAAAATTCCATGAAAATATCCAACCATTCCTATTTTCCGTAAGTATTAGTCTTCTCTCGGTTTTCCTGACCCTTACTTACAACCCCATGGAGTAGAACTGGTTTTGATCTGAAGCACAATGAAGTAAAATGGTAACAAAAACTAAATCCCAGAAGAATTTCAACTCCATCGCCTGATCCATGATCTTGATTTTAAAAACTTGGTTAACTGGCTTCAATGGCAATTTTTTGCTTCTTGCTGTCCTTGACTGCAACATCTGAAAAACAACGATTAAAAAAAATCAGCAGGAGGACTTAAATGAAATGACATCGGCGGAAGCAAAAATCAATGGGGAAACTGCAAAAAATCAGATTCTGCAAGATGAGAAAATAAATTCAACCCTGTTTTAAAAAGCTAATTTTTGTCTTGTTCTGGCAATGGTTAAGTTTAGTGAGCATAAGGCTAAAAGATATGCCTACCATTTAGTTTCTCCTTCTTGGTGATAAAGATCTTAACACTGGAATGGGGGATTAAAAATAAAGTCCAAGTCATGTCCGCTTGATTCCAGGACACACCTGACACAGTTTCAGTTATGGTTGGATTCCTTAACAAAATTCCTCGTAAAAATTGTTTTACTATCAGTGAATTTACCAGTGATCTAATTCATTTTTATTTAAAAAATTATACATACATTACATTAAAAAACATTTGATAAACCTGACACAGGTAGGGTAGGTGAGGGTGCAGTGCCGAACAGAGCAATGTGCTGCACCTTCTCATTTTTGTCAGAAAAATATTCTGTTGGCAACAGAACCACATCATTTGTGATGGGAATACATACTCACTGCATTTTATTGATGGCAAAAGTTAAAATATCGCTATACAATTTTTTAAAGGGTGAAGTAATTTCTTCTTGCAAGGCAAAAAAATATGTGATCAAAAAGTTCTTTCATGTCCTACTAAACTCCGCTGCAAAACTTTTGATGCTCACCAAAAACTACAAGGTAAAAATACACAGTCCAAAAATCGTGAATTACATTTCAATGAAGTGATTAGGCATGGTTTCTTTCTTTCACAATTAATTGATAGAAGGCAGTCTCTCAATATTTTGTCCATTAATGAAATGAATAATTTGTATAAAATAGCAATGAATGAAAATATGTGGCCTGTTGTCTCACCGACCGTAAGAATTTATGTTTATCATTTGTGGCCTTCCGTCTCATCAAAATTTCCACAATCGCCGGTGTCACATCTACAGTCCAAAAATCATCACAAATTATGCCCAAGGGTTTGAAATGGCTGTGCCACCACTTTTTCATTGAAAAAGTGGCTATTGATGAAATGTTCGGCCCTAAACTCTCACTTACCCTCATTTCCCTAGGGTATGAATTAATTTTTAATGGTTTAGTTCTCTCATATAGATTTTCATTTTATTTATGAGCAAAGCATTTGCATTTTTCAAAACCGTTGCTGACTAAAAAGGTTGAAATTTTATTATGGAGTTAATGAGGAATGTTTCCCATGCACAAATCAACCAATTCCTGCTCGGTGGTCCAGCATACAAATGGAGCTCTTAAAATACCCTCAAATGGTAAGTTCCTAGCAATTATTGACGCAGTGCAAAACACACTAGAGTCAATTTTCAAAAAAAAAAAGCCAATTGGATCACTAAAAAGTGCTTTGAAAAGTATACCTTTTTGGACAGGTTCATCTGTTGGGACTTCAGGTAACTCAGGTGCAGGTTCATCCTCTTTAATATTTTGTGGGATTTCGGTCTCTCTATTTTGCTCGCCATCTCTCTCACCAACAAGGTCATTGAATTCTTTCTCAATAGCTTCCATGTCAGTGTCACTGAATGATTCACCAGATATTAGCCTTTGGATCTCCTAAAAATGAAACAGAGAATCACATAGTTCATGAAATTTTTTGATCAGAGGAATTTGTATCACGATACAGTAAATTTCCATATGCCATAAGAGTCCATAGATACCCTGCACCTATTTTCTCAGTTTGTGCAGCAGAAAAGCACGGAAAATCAATGCAAATAATTTTCTTTCTATGTATCATACACATGAGTATTTTCTGCAGCATACAAGAATTGGGGTGCGAATTACCACAGACACATACAGGGTTATCCAAAAGTCACTGACCACCCCTGTAACTTTTTTCCAAACTGAGATAGAAGTTTGAAACTTTGGGAATGTTCCTCGGTCTAAAGTAGCAACTTTTTGGTCCCCCCAAAATTTTGGGGGGCGGCCCCCCCTAAGGGGGGCGGGGGCTAACTTTTTTTTTCAAATGGCAACCCCCCCTTTGTGATACCTCATTCGAAAGATAATAAAAAAAGGAAATTTTTGGCGCAAACCGCAAGTCAAAATGTTAATTTTTGACAAAATGGCGGCCGGTCAAAGTTCAAAATGGCGGAAATTTGGCATCTCCGTTTTTTATTGGCGGATTGGTCTGAAACTCGGAATCTAAGGGTTTTTTGGGACGAGAAAGACGATTCTGGCATCGGTTTTCCAGAAAAGTCAGTCCTTTTCAAAATGGCGGCGGTCAAAATGGCGGCCTAGAGCGAGAAGTGGATATTTAGGCTGCATATCGTTGGATTTGCATGAAACTTGGTATCCGGGGGTATTTCGGCACGAGAAGAACGAATCTTTCATTGGATATCTGAAATTCCGACGAATTTCAAAATGGCGGCGAAAAAGTGGCGATAAATCAGTTTTACGGCTCTTTATCAATGGATTTGCATGAAATGCGATATCGATTATTTAGTATTTCAAGAATTAATGAAAGATTTCTTTTTATCCAGCCAAAAACCACCAGGATATCGAATTTCATGCAAATCCATTGATAAAGGGCCGTAAAACTGATTTATCGCCACTTTTTCGCCGCCATTTTGAAATTCGTCGGAATTTCAGATATCCAATGAAAGATTCGTTCTTCTCGTGCCGAAATACTCCCGGATACCAAGTTTCATACAAATCCAACGATAAGCAGCCCAAATATCTACTTCTCGCTCTAGGCCGCCATTTTGACCGCCGCCATTTTGAAAAGGACTGACTTTTCTGGAAAACCGATGCCAGAATCGTCTTTCTCGTCCCAAAAAACCCTTAGATTCCGAGTTTCAGACCAATCCGCCAATAAAAAACGGAGATGCCAAATTTCCGCCATTTTGAACTTTGACCGGCCGCCATTTTGTCAAAAATCAACATTTTGACTTGCGGTTTGCGCCAAAAATTTCCTTTTTTTATTATCTTTCGAATGAGGTATCACAAAGGGGGGGTTGCCATTTGAAAAAAAAAAGTTAGCCCCCGCCCCCCTTAGGGGGGGCCGCCCCCCAAAATTTTGGGGGGACCAAAAAGTTGCTACTTTAGACCGAGGAACATTCCCAAAGTTTCAAACTTCTATCTCAGTTTGGAAAAAAGTTACAGGGGTGGTCAGTGACTTTTGGATAACCCTGTACAGTAGTGTTTGTTTTCAATACCAAAACAAAATTAATTTTTGTCTCTTTACGTGTATCAGCATTTTTTGATAGGCCTTCCATTCTTTTCGAGTAATTTTACCTGTAGAGAGTTTAATCATGTGTCAGCATCTCTTGTCGGAACAAACCCACTTAGAAGGTCTAAGTGGAGGTCTAGGTGGGTCTAGTGGTCTAAGGTTGTAAAGTGGACTGTTAATTCAGAAAAAATAAAAATGGGTCCAGCCTCGTAAATTGCTTTTAAGTTCGAGGAATCCCATTGAACTAAAAGAGAACATGATAATGATTCAAGATACATATGTAGTACTATTGAAATGAAGATTTGGTGCACTACATACCTCTTGTTTTTCTGCTGCTTCCTTGGTTTCATCCATAATTTTTTCAATCTCATCAATATTCATAGAATCATTAACTTTTTTCAATGCTTCATTACCTTCTTTCAGCACATCAAACACCTAAAAACAACGATTAAAATCATAATTTTAATAATGTAGCTACTCTTTAAGCAGGTTTTCAAGGGAACTGAAAAAAATTCATGTTATAAATTTTGCTGTTTGATTACTGGTGGTTTGGTTGTTGACCTCTCTTAAAATAAATTATAAATTGAACACAGAAGAGAAATTCATAGAAAAAAAAATATATATCTATACATCGTTGCCATTGAAAAGAAATTCCATTTTAAAAATGGCAAAAATGGGACCCGCTTGAAGCGGTATTTTTGGCAGGCTCTGATGACGGAGCCAGGTGGGGAAATGGCATTTGCCCATTGTCTGAACTCAGCTTTAGACTTTGCCTTGCAATTCAATTGTCGGATAATGGTAGGCTTTTTCTCCCCTTACAAATAATGATTTTTAAAACTTTTTGGTTTTTTCACGAAATTTTGGGCAAGAGAAGCAATGCTGCAACAGTGCAAAAGTTCTTTGCCAATGCCTGTTTGTAGTGAATAGGAGTTTTTTGCTATTTTTTTTTAAATCAAATATTTATGCCATTAATTTTAAAGCAAAATATTTTCTTGGAATTCTTAGGAGCAAGTGACTGTAAAGTGGAATAAAAACTTCAAAAATATTGTTGATTTTAAAAGGGACGAACCATGCTCAATAGCCCCAGGTCAATTCAATAGGAAAGTTGAGTGCAAAAATCTTTGCATAATGGCAGCGAGGGCTGTCAGAGTTGCCTAAATTTCCCAAGTTTGTGTGACTCACTCTGCTGTTCCCCCGATACGATTACATTGGTCTTATGGGATCAGGCAGATCAGAGGGGGGGAGAGGAACTATGCAAACAAGGCAGCGCAAATCAGAAAAACTACATCGAGAAATTTCAAAGAATATCTTGTTATTTGACTAACTTGAGTTAGTTGGGACCTTGGAGCAAAACCCTCTCCACCAGAAATAGATAAAAAATCCACAATTCGACCAAAATTTGAGTTGGTTGTTAGAGATTGAATTCGGGTGAAACCAAATTCCTCAAGAAATATGGATCATATTAGAGATGAAGAATTGTTTTGCAATTAATAAACTAAAATACATTTGTAGGGATTATACCTTTGCTTCGACTTGTGCAAATTCGACATCTTGAATTAGCGTTTCAATCGTTTCCAACTGTCCATCAGTCTTTGAAAGAAGTTGTTCGGCAAGCCGTTTCTTCCGCAGTATAAGTAAAGCACGACTAGAATAAAAGAAATGATACAATCAAGTATTTTTCTTAGAAAGAAAAATGTTGGCACTTGTCAACTCTTTTCAATTTTTTTCTAATATTCATTTTTCATTTCATAAAAGTCCATTTTTCGATCTCAAATCTTCTTTATGTCATATCATTCAGTCCATCTCCATTACTTTTTATTACTAAGCTTACAACAATAGCTACATAGATTATAGCCAGCCAATCAGGCATAGACTTGATGTCTCGCCACCCGTGACATCAGCAAGTCTATAAAATAAGCAGAAAATAGCAGTTGATTGTAAGGATCCTATGTGAGGTCATAGTGCTACAGGTTTTTACATTGGCTCTTATGGGAGTCCAAGGTCCTACAGAACTTGTCCCTTGGAAAATGGGAATGGATATAGACATTTGTTGCATCACAAATCAAAACACAGGTTTTCCAGTTTCTTGTCCTCCCAGCCAATATATTTTGCCTGATGTATTTTTGAGTCAATCCCTCCGCCCCCCTCCCTTTCTTCTATAATGTTTTAATTGATTTTTTCCAGGTTCAAAAAACTATCAAAATTAAATAGATACTTACTCTTTCTTACCAGCAGCTACCAATTCTTTCGCGATACGCCTCTCAGTCTCTAGTTTCCTGGCAATTTGCTTTTGATATTGTTTTATTTTATCTCTTTGACTCTTCATTTGCTGTAAAATCAAAATTAAAGGCACATGATTAGAAAAAAACAATTTTCCTGTTAATAGTTTATGATCAACTGTTTTAAACCCTGAGCAGGCACACAGCCAGGATTTTAAATACACAACTAGAGAACAGGGTAGTTCAAATTGCATGCAAGAAGTACAGCGATGAATGTGTGTGATACGCTTTCAACCGCAGAATATGATAAAAAAACAAATTTGGACTACTGGACAAGGTCTGAACTAGAAAAGATTGTCGCATGTTTGCTCTTCAAAATCTTGAGCAGAAAACAATTCAGAGAACGGGAACTTTGGAGATTAACTTGTAGACGAGATGTCTACAAGTATTTTCAACACAGCTCAAAATGAAGATCCATTATAGAGATGACGTCATTTGGATTCATGTTTGGATTTACGCCGATTATCCGATGTTAGTTATAAACTTTTATATCTTGTTTGGGTGTTCATTTTCAGACTCCCTGTTGAGTGTTTCTTTTGTTTAATGAAAGTTTGAAGTGAAATCAAGTTGCATAGTGCTTTAATTCGTATCATGGCCGGAGGCCATTGCGCATCTAATGCTGAGCTTATTCCATTCACTTATTTTAAATAAATAGATGCTTAAAACTAATTTATACTTGGAGTCATTGAAAATCCAGAGCTATGATAATAAATCAATTCTGTACAGGAGAAGATACTTGATATTCAAATAAAACCAACAAGATTGTAAGGAAAACTACTGACCAAAACTGCACGGTCTTGTTCCGTTACTCGTGAAACCTTCTTTGATTTGCTGAATAAACCACCCATTTTGTTCGAGTAAATGTAAAATTGTGGAAGAATGAATTTTAAATTTTGTCCAACAAAACTGTTCTGTGTTTTCTGGCTTCTGGCTTATCACTATCTCTGGTTTGCTACACACTTATCTTTCACTTTATCACTTTTCGCACATCGCACATAACCTCCAAACTTTGTTGTGCTGCGCGGCTGCGCCTGCGCATCAGCCAGCGATGATTTCTGTTCCAGTTTCAAATTTTGCGCGCGCTGATTTTCACCTGTCACACCGCGCGCCAGCCGCCAGGTCATATTATTCCTAATGAACCCTTTTTTATTTTTAGGATTTTGACCAGTTGATCACTCTATTTTATTACCTCACTCCATCATAGCATACTGTTCCTCCTGCCTAGAGCGTAGAGCCTAAATTTTCCATAAAAATCAGCGTCTCTTGGCTAAATGAACTGCATTAACCAAAATCAGCCCAACTAGGTACATTATTACCAGAGAGTATAGATGGTACCTTCCATACTCTCTGATTATTACTGACGTGAAGGAAAAACGCCGTATGAACCTTCGTCAGTTGCCAAATTTCCTTTGATCAAATATGAATTTGCATGAAAACTTGCAAATAATTTCCGTTCAATTTATCAGAGAATTTTCATCCTAGTTCGATCAATATCATCTGAAAATTTAAAGAGAAAATATTCATAGCTCTCCTCGAGAATAAACATTTTATTGGAGGATATTTAGCAACTCTCGAATTTGCATACGGCGTTTTTCCTTAGCGCGGCAGATTAAGTTCACTATGCTGCCTAATATCTTTCAATTTTTTGAGTATCCTTCCGACAGAAAATTAAGAAAAATTTCACACTAAAATTTGATATTATTTTTAGGTTACCTGGTTAAAAGTTCATAAAAAGTTCTTTCAAAAGCTTCATGTTCCAAAATTCTTGAGAAAGTATGCAAATAGAAGTTCACTGGCTCTCTTCGATATAATTTGAAGGGACTGCCAAATTTTTAGACAGTGCACTGGAGATTGCAGGTTGTGATCCAAGGCGCCTCAGAAGTAATATAATTTCTGTGAGCTAGCCCTGCAGAGAGTTATGCGAATTCAATGTTTAAAAATTATGAAGCTTGACTGACTTCGAAAATAAAGACAGAGTCCCTAAGCTCATGGGTTTACTTGAAAACTGCATAAGTGTTAAAATAATGTCAGGCGTTAAAATTCAAGGAAAGTTTCAGAACGATTACTTGTTCACAAAATAAAAACATGCTATGTCTTTCACCTGTTGTGTGCAGAGGCTATTTAACATTACTGAAACAACAAGAAGGGAAAGCTAAGAATAAATCAATGTAATTAAGTTTTGAGGAAATTTATTCACAGGATATTAACAAACAGAAAAAAAGAAAACTTGGTAAAAATTTTGAATAACTGAAGAAAAAACACAATTTATAATTCGTGAGTGACAAGAATAAAAAGTTGAGACCATACAGCAACACAACTAATAGATGGAAGAACCTGCTTCTTCTTTTATTTGAATGACTAGGGCGTAGCCCTGTTTGTCAGGCTATCTGGTACCGAACACATCAATAAATACAAAGGATTCGTAAAACCAATAAAACATGGAAGAATCAAATGCTCGAAATGACACCACAAATAAAATGAAAAAAAATTAAGGTGGAGATTTAATGACAAAATTAAGACAAAATTAGAAGGAGAACCACTGAGGGGTTTCTTAAATGATTTATCTCTCGGAAGATTTTAAATGTTTAACATTAATGCAGGGGTACATTTTGTTTTCAGTATGATTAATTGACAAAAAAATCGAATAGTAAAAAGTCAGTCTAAAAAGATAAGTTATTAACTTTGAAGCACAAAATTGGAGACTCAAAGTCTAAGCTAATCGACTTAACGCTCCTTCAATCTGCGCAATGAATATCCAACTTTTTCCTGGGTAAAACTCGGCTGACCGACTGAAAACTAGAGAGAGAAGGAGAAATGGCCCGACAAAAAGTTTTAAGATAGTTATCTGACTCGAGATATGTTTTCCAATTTCTGTAAGTGGATCAAGGTTTGTGACCAAAATGTTTCGTCAGATCATTAGAAACAATCTTCATCAAGTGTCAGAGTACGGAAAAAAATTGAGCTCAATGCGATGCATGTGCAAGACACAAAAAATTACAACTTTCACATAAAAACAACCTTAAAAATTCAAGGTTATTCTGATTTGGGCGAGATTTGTTTAGGCCACCTCTGATCCAGCAGAAAAACTTCAATATATCCTTCATAATTAAATCTGTTTTCATGTTATACTTAATGACTTTGAATAAACCATTGGAACTTTCGCAACAGTGACACAGGTGAACCTAATGAAAACGGGCTCTAAAGATACTCAGAAATTTACACAAGTCTATTCTCCTTTGATAGTTTAAAATTTTTTTCAGATTCTAATTCCATGAAAAAGACAATGATTTGGTTTTGTGATGAAAAAAAAAGAGATTCCCACCCCTTCCCTTCTCCGATAAAAATAAATAAATAATAGTATCGGCAACCAGACCTTTTTCCCCATGTTATTATAAATTCATTCATGCAATAATACAATTCATTCTGATGCACTATATTTCAGCACATGATCTTTATGTTGTGTTAAACAGTCTCTAAATAAACAGGAAAGTAAATGGATACCTACAATATTAATGAGTAGAGGTCCGGAAATTTCACCAATCCAGTCGAAAAACCAAAACTTTACAATTTAATAAATTAAATAAACAGGGTGTATTTTTCATTTTTTTTTTAAAACATACAAAAATTTAACAAAAGTATCGTTCATTGTTTCTATTACAGGCAATTTATTTAGACTGATTGAGAAGGAGAATTCTGAAATAGCAAAATTCCCAGGACTTAAGTGATGAGTAAAGCCTAATGATTAGAAAAAATAATATTATCACCCAAAAAAAAAAAAGAGAAAAAAAGAGAGAAGAAAAACGATTTATAAAACTAAATAAAAAGCGGAGGTGCCTGTACAAAATATTATCTACAATTAACAAATCGCAAATATGCATCAATCTTTGTCTTATTTTGACCCTATTATACACTGATGCCTGGTTTCTTTACCCTATCCTATTATTCTTTCTTTTCCTCATTTAAGATTCTTCTATTTTAGGCCTGAAAGCATTAGAAAAATGTATTAACAATTCAAGTACATGCTGTTATTAAAGTATTTAATACTTCTCATTTTTGCAAAAAGCAAACAAATAAATACACAAAGAAAAATAAATTACCATATAAAAAATAGATAAAATACATGATATCTCTTTGCAGAGATCCAAATTTTTAACTTGGTTGAAAATTTATTAACATTCTAAGTATGTACAGGTCTTTTAAATTTCAGGACAAATGAAGAAAGGGAGGGAAAAGTCTTTATACATACTTATTCAATGACGTTGTTTCAATTAGATATGAAACTTTATCTACAGACATAAATTAAACAACTCAGCAGTAAAGATCCAACAATGTTGATTTGTTAATCCAATTTTTTAAGAGCAATGAAACCATGATGTTAATATGGGAAAAAAAAACATGAAAATCCAAAACGTTGGTTTTCGCAAGTGTAAATGCTAGAGGTTCCAAAATCTGTGTGACCCTTGATAACTAAAGTAAGAACATTTGGAGAGTATAAGTTCAAAATCATAGCAGGAGAGCTTCTTATGATTGAAAACACGACTTACATTTGTTCATAGGATCAGCTCTTCCATTAAACTAAGAGAGAAATTTCTCCTTCAATTTGTGAGGAATCATGATATTCCTTTGAAAACCCGCCATGTCACCCTGGTTTAAACAGCAGGATCTGGTCCTTCTTAGCAGTTTCTATTGTGCTTTACTAGGGCTTGCCAGAAAAAAAACATAAATTGGGGGATAAACAGAATTTATTGAAGAAACCTTGTCAACTTGGAGCTGGATGGCTGATTTTTAAAAGGGAGAAATAAGTCCTCTCTTGAATCATTTGATTTTCCAATAAATAACTGAATTTTTTGAACCTCCGAAATTTACTCTTGAGAACGACTAAATTGTTCCTATAATTTTTTCAATGGTGGAATCAATCACAGATTGAAATTTGTAAAACAAATCTGTGAATTTAAAACATATGATATAATATGGATTTGTGACTCATAATAGAGTGCTCATTGAACATTGTTGGTTACATAGTGTACTGACTCTAAGGAAAAGTGCGAACAAGGAGAGTTCTTAGTGAGAAAGAAAAAATTCATTGAGTCTAATTACTTATAATCACAACGGTCAATGGTCTATACTATAATCTCATTTGGATCAAATTAAACCCAAAGTGAGGAAATTTCTTTAAATAGAGAATAAGGATTTCTTGGAATTGTTCATGCGAATCATTAAAGAGCCGTATGCAAAAACGACATTTTTCGCCCCCCCACTAAAACTTATTCAAACTTCGTCTATCAGTTACTAATACTGGAGCGCTTCTTTCCCCAAATTTTCAGACCCCCAAAAAATTTTGGGGGGGCGCTAGGGGGGGTGGAAGTCAAAACCTGCGACCCTCGATATCTTCCGAACGAAACAAGATATTGAGGCCCGGTTTGGACGAAAAATCGTCTAAAATTGCATACTTTAAGATTCTAGAGGTCAAAATCCCAAAATTAAATTTTTAACTTAACTTATGTGCTTTTTTTCAGTTTTTGAGGAAAAACGATTTCTTTTAAACAGATGAAACTGAAATTTCACATTTTTTGATTTGAACCAAAACCAGTTTTTTAAATTGTTCGTCTTTTTCCGCATCCAACGAGTGGTCGTATAAGCTGGGGAACCGAACGGTTCCGGAGATATGATCGATTGAAGTTTCCGCTCAACGCGCGCCGACCGATTTTTGCGCGCAAAAAAGTTGGATTTGACTGTTATTAAACCAGATTTAATGTTCAAACTGAGCAAAATGCATTATTAGGGACTCTTGAGGGTCGCTGAGTCCAGAAATTACAGATACTTCCAAAAAATTCACGTTTTTAAAATTACAGCTCCGTAGCGCTATTTTAGAGGCCCACTGAGCGCCGACTGGCCGCTCAGTGGTCCTGTACGGAGCTGTAATTTTAAAAACGTGAATTTTTTGGAAGTATCTGTAATTTCTGGACTCAGCGACCCTCAAGAGTCCCTAATAATGCATTTTGCTCAGTTTGAACATTAAATCTGGTTTAATAACAGTCAAATCCAACTTTTTTGCGCGCAAAAATCGGTCGGCGCGCGTTGAGCGGAAACTTCAATCGATCATATCTCCGAAACCGTTCGGTTCCCCAGCTTATACGACCACTCGTTGGATGCGGAAAAAGACGAACAATTTAAAAAACTGGTTTTGGTTCAAATCAAAAAATGTGAAATTTCAGTTTCATCTGTTTAAAAGAAATCGTTTTTCCTCAAAAACTGAAAAAAAGCACATAAGTTAAGTTAAAAATTTAATTTTGGGATTTTGACCTCTAGAATCTTAAAGTATGCAATTTTAGACGATTTTTCGTCCAAACCGGGCCTCAATATCTTGTTTCGTTCGGAAGATATCGAGGGTCGCAGGTTTTGACTTCCACCCCCCCTAGCGCCCCCCCAAAATTTTTTGGGGGTCTGAAAATTTGGGGAAAGAAGCGCTCCAGTATTAGTAACTGATAGACGAAGTTTGAATAAGTTTTAGTGGGGGGGCGAAAAATGTCGTTTTTGCATACGGCTCTTTGTGTCAAGTGCTCATTCATGAGCATATTCTCTGTTTCTCAGAATGTTGGTCCCAGGCTGACAGAGCACAGTCCAGATTACAATTCACATACAAGATCGACTATTTATAATTTTTGGTAATCAAAAGAATGGAAAAGCTGTGATATGGCTTTCACACAGGACAACAAATGTACTTATTAAAACTCAAAACAAAGGAAGTCTCCTACTCCTGCTAATTGCACAGAGTACGAATAAAGATTCCTCCAAAACATCTTTCGATGCGGGGTTCAAAGCGTTTTAACAAACAGATAAAAATTTCAAGTATAGAAAAAACGATCGATACCAAACATCCATCACTGCCAAAACAGTGATAAGAATTGAGCTGCTTGCACAGACTATCAGAAACTTTATACGATTAAATTTTACAATCAATTGAAAAGAAAATATACAATGACAGGTACCACTGGACTCTTACAACTTAACCATAACTTTAACCTGCGGTCAGAAAATAAGAGAGAAAAAAATCGTGCTAAGTTAAAAATACACAAGTTAGGGCTATTGAACTGTCTTTACGCGAATATGCATAATACTTAAATAATGCCCATTAAAAGCTACGCTATCATAGCTCACCGTACAATTCCTAGGTTTTTCGATAGTAAACTAGGTCACTTTAAAACAGAAAGATCAATAAAACCAGATTGAAGAAGATATGAGAATGTTTCCATAAATAAGTAAAAATTATACGTTTTAATTGATGAATCAAAGGAAATTTCTTTGATTCATATTTGCGTACTTAAGTTGAAAAGGTAATAGTGCAACTTCATCCTCACTTTTTGCATGCGCGAAAACATATACATTGCCATGAACTATTCAACAAAGTTTCTATGGATAACAGACGATGCTAAATGATAAGTTAATTAAACTTATTACTTTCAGATACCTCGCGGAACTTATACATAAAAGAGGAGCTTCTGTTGCCAATAATACATGCCATGATGTTTTCGGGATCATTTTAATATGGGACTCTGAAATATGAAATGTCTGTCAGGTCTAAAACGTTTGGCTTGAGCTCATCTTGTAATCTAGCCTAAATTCACCTTTCTCCGTCACATACATAAATCATTTTTGTACTTTGCAAGGAGCATTTTTCAACATCAAGTCTCTCTTTAACACATTATATATTATGACTGATCTACAACTAAAGATTAAAAACCAAGACTCATGTTCCACATGTATAGGTATGTTCTGTAGTGTTCTCAGCAGGGATAATGTGTAATATAACGTTTCTTTCTTATCAGATTTATATTTCTATTGACATGTCACATCTCTAGTTACTGAAGGCAACTATGGGTAACCTGAACTGTTTTTTTCCATTTTACAAGGTCAAAAATTGGTGTGCGGATTTTACAAGGGAATTTTTCATTCCACATGATATTCACCAAAGTTTCTTCATGGCGGAAAAACATCCAGAAGCAGGTAATCTACTGGTGCCGAGGGCACATAAACCAACTTATATTCAACATCAAAATTCATAGATGAAGAAATGAAGCTGCACAGGTACCCTCCAGAAGTTTTCATTCAAACTAAACAGACAAATATCTTTACTTCACACTTTTTTCGCTTTTGTCCTATCAAAGTGAGCTAACACAGGCATATTAATCTGTTCTTGCCATATATAGACACTTTCTTTATTGCCGGCGTTATTCATTTTGAACTTTTCATGTTATGTGAGCATAAAATGGATATCTATCTCCCTGCTGAGTAAACACAGACTTCAGACTAAAATAAGATGACATTTTTCATCTTTGGCAAGATTTTGTCCATTGTTGTGAAAAAATAGAATCCTTTGATTTTCTATATTTATACTACATACACTGAGACATTCTCACTCGTACTTTTTTTGTCAGAACATGTAAAAGAATGGAACAAGGATGGGGTAAAAATTGATCCCACTTAAGTTCAAGCCTGGTTCCTGACTTAAAAAAACAAATTTTCAAAGAACATCTTGCATGAATTTAGGAGCCGTTCATAAAATATATAATGCTTGTAGGGAAGAGGAGGTTGAGGAAAGCTTCATGTCATTTTGTTTATACAAGATGAAGAATAGGGACCTTCGTCACAAAGGCACATATCATGTAAGGGGGAGTTGGAGAGTCGAAAAATCCGAAATTTTGCGTTACTTACATACTTTATGAGCGTGCTCTTGAGAAACAAATATTCATTGAAAGAAAAAAAGAACTGCAATGTAAGAAAATAATCCATTTTCTTGAAAATTGAATTGGTTTGAAGAGTTCATGCAATTTGCTTTAGAGGCTCAACTGCCACTTATACTAGATGCTGATGAAGGAGAAAATACTCGATGCAAGCAATCTTTTGAAAGAGGGGTCTGAAAAGATTAAACAAAAAAGTTATTAGACAGGTTTCTCTTTAAATCAGTGACTTGTTCTACATCAAACTTTGGTGCACAGACAAATTAATTCAAGACAAGACAATTAAACTCTTGCGTCAGAAATTAATTTTAAGACAAGGAATTAACTTGATTGGTAGACTTAATCAATTTGAATGACCATACAAAAGAACAAAACTTCAGAAACACTTGGATAAAACGATTGCCAGTAAACTTACAAGATCTTTGTTTAAGTGAAACACTCTAAAAACTTGGTTAACGAAGTTTAAAGTTCATTCCTATTCAAAAGACATTACAAAACACCCAAGTACGAATGTAATTGATATATGCTGGAATACTCCCCAAATTGTCTAAGGTAAGTTTTCTTATTACTAGCTGTCAAGACTCTTCATCATTTTTCAACCTCATTTTTCAATTTTCCTCTGTACTGGAATGGCTGGATTTGTTCATTTTTTGACTTGGTCTTCGATTTTTTAATTTTTTTTTCTCTTATCCAAACTCTTAATGATGATACTTGATCAACAAGATTGGAAACAGCTGAGCTCAACTGTTTAATATAGACATCCCATTTTACAGCTGGACCGATGATGTCACGGAGGCTGTAAAAGCCTCTGCTCCCCAAAAATCTAGGTCCTTTACCATCTTTCAGACCCGAAAACTTGTGTTCTGCTCCTTACACATTCTAGAGTGTTTTCAGTATAAATCCAAGTGTGAAATTCTGAACTCTTTCATAAATCTGTGCATATTGTTGCACATCTCAAAAATAAATAGTGATCTTCACATTGTGAATCTCGTGTTTGAAACATTATTATCATATCCTTCTTACTCTCCTACATCATTTGTCTAGCTTCTTGTTCGGCATGGTTTCATCAACTTTTTTGGTTCTGTCTCCCGTATTCTATACCAGCCAATGAAATTGTTATTTTGACTGAAGGCTCGCTGTGACATTAATTTAAAAGAAATTATACAATGTTAGTACAGAGATTTTGACTCAATTGAATTTTTCAAGCGTACTAGTGTCACAAAAAATCCAAGTTACAGCACTAATCAATTTGAAGACGAATACAAAAAATTATTCAACTGTTGGAATGGTTGGCTGAAAGTTACCTTTACGAAGTTGAGGTTGTTGCCTTTTTCCTGTTTCTACGACCAGGATCCAAGAGGTATGAAGCATCTAGCGGTGCTTTCGAAGGTTGTTTGGCCAGAAGTTTAAGTAAAATTGTGTTCAAATGTTTCTTTTGTTGAGATTTCTGTAGGAATGTAACATAATAACATGAGAATATGATTAAGGTTCACAATTAAGAATCAGAAGTGGAAAAAAATCTAAAAATTTGAGACGGTTACCATTCCCCCACCCCCATCTTGCGAGATGGGAGTGGCAGTGATGTCATCCTCTCCTTGAACCAAGCTTGCTGACCAGCTGAGCCGACGCCATCTTCTTTGGTCAGTGCTTTACTTTGCTCTCGGCCAGTCAACAATCTCGGTTCCGCCCAATTTTAATCTTAGACAAAGCTAATTTCAAAACTAAAGGTTATAGAGCACCTGATATGGTTTCCTAGAGATACATTTGATTGCAATATTTTAAAAAAAGAGGTTTATAACTCGGAAGTTGTAAGGAATTTTTTTAAAAATATTTCTAGATTTTTAGATTTTTTTGTAAAGAGATAAAAATACCTTTGATGCAATGACTGTTTCCCGAATTTTAGCAAGAGGCACATCTTCTTCAGGACTGGAATCAAGCTGCATTGAAGGAGCAGAGTTGAGGGTCGGAGTTTTATCCATGCGAGTTTTAGTTGCTGTACCATTGGAACTTCCTCCTGTAGACTTGACTGGTGCTTGATTATTAATTGCACCATGAGGCTGTAAGAGACAAAAATCAAAATTACTTGATGAAATAAAGAAAATAAATAAGTACAGAAAGCTCTAAATTTCTAATTGCTTGCAAAATCGTCAAACTTCCAAGTTTTGCAAAACACGCCATAGCCGAGGTAGATCTCAGAGTAATAAAAATGTCATATGCACTGTTGATAATTCGCTAAAGAGTGCTCATTCCTGAATTAATTGCAAAATGTTAAATTGAAGTGCACACATTTATCGAATTATTCACTACTCCCTACAGATTGGACTTGCACGGCCAGCCAAAGTCATTTGGGGATTGCAGGAGGCCCCCCACTAAGTGCGACCTGATCTGGAACGGCAAGTACATAGATAAAAAAAATTCAATGGCATGAGCACCGATACATTTCAGTCAGACTTAACAATAATGCATTGTAGGTACTTTTAAAGAAACAAGAGCAAAAATAAAGGTAGACTTACATTGTAGGTTCGTGTTGGTTTCAGGCGAGTGTCATATCTCTCAAAGGCATATGATTTCATACAAACAGGTGGCGTTTTTGGTTTGGCAAGCCTTGCAAACAGCCTTGCAGCTTTGTCAACTCTGTACTCACAGATGTAGATATGCTCTGGGTCAGCTCCAGCTGGCTTGCCTTTACAGTAAGTGTTGAGATCAAGAACAAAGCAATGGCCCATGATCAGATCTAATGGCACTACTTCATACAAAGGCACTCGCATCAGTTCATTTGAGAAGAATTTACGCGTCGGCTCGTGAAATGTTTCATGTGGCCTTAGATAGTGGTGACCAAAAGCGAATCGCACTCCACTGAAAATAAAGTCCAATTATACATGAGCAAAATTTAATGTAAAAAAAATCCATTTCATTTTCAGTGCACAAGAGAAAGTCATAAGTTCGTCAAAAAAATGTCACATACAATACCTTATGGTCACCCTATTTTCCTCAAGTGGCATGTTCTTTCGGGATTAATAGCTCAATTCACTGACAGATGAAAGAATGTGTATCTAGACTAACGGCAATAAAATAGGAAATTAGCAGGATAAACATTACTTTAAGATTTTCCGAAGTCCCTCTTTTGGGGACTTAAAAAAACATGACTCATTCCTTGTAAGAGGTAGCCCTATGAAATTTATCCTAACTTTAGGGTACATTGAAAGGATCTTCCGAGAGGCCTTTAACTGGTGACTCTCTTTGGCTGGCTCCTTCTGCAGGGGACAGCAAAGGATTGTAGAGATCCAATCACCATAGCTCATGCATTGATCAACTGATTTACTAGATTTTAGTCTCAAATGAGGCGTTTCATATTGAGCTTTGGGTGCGTTTGTGATAGGCAACGGGCCTCAACGGAAATTACTTTGGTGAAAGCATTGCGAGTTTGACGATTGTTCTTGAACCTCATCTGAGACAACGCTTCATACTTGGTGACTTGCCGTGGCGGTTCAATGCTCACTGCAATGGCGTACCACCTTTAGCGGCTGATGGATAGAGCAATGAGCATTGAGGAGGTAAACAAAGTCAAGTGATGGTAGTAAGGCCTCAGTTGGACAATGGGTAACTACATAGGTAATTCACCGGAGTAATTTCCGTTGTTTATCACAAACGCACCTTATGTGCTAAAAAGTTAGTCTCCAATAACCATGAAATAATCTTTTCCAGATTTTTTAAGTGTGAGAAATTCATTGAACAGATTGAAATACAATACTTGCGTGTACAATAATGAGGAGAAAAACAGAACACTTACTCTTCATTTTTCCATAGCCTTTCAATGTGGAAGATATCACAATCAAAGTGTTTGAAATTTCGCAGCGTCTTGAAAGTATGTCGTGACCCTGTCTCTGGATTGGGAATGTCGCGGAGGACGTAAACATGATCTCCCAACCTTATCTGCATATCGTCACGCATCAAAGTAACATAGTGCTTCTGTCCCTTCTCTGCATACTCTGGTACTGTGTCCATTGCAATTTCATAGTTGACTTCCCGAGGATTGCATCGCTCACACAGGTAATGTTCAACTGATGTGTCAACTTTGATACAATCACAATGCTGCCACACAAGGCATCGCTCACATTGAATCATGAGCCCTTCATCGTTATACATCCCACAGATACACCGAATCACATCTTCGTCTTCATCCTCTGGGTTCTTTTGGACAGGAATGTACGAGGTCAACTTATCGCCAATGATACTTTCCAGTTGGGATAAGTGTTCAAGCTTCACTGTGTTGTAAATCTTTCTCAACCTTGCAGCTGCAATTCCCAGATCTGACGTTCGTCCGTAGTACTTGATGTTATTGGTAAAGACACGAGTAATGGCCTCATCAAATGACTCTACAGTTTTGTACTCGCCGGTATCAATATTTTGTTCTATGGTGTTAAAGTCAATCGGCTGAGCAATTTTTTTATGGTACTCGGGTTGTTTTTTCTTTGTGGGTACTGCCAGGAATGGAGTGGCAAGGAGTTCATTTTTCTCATCTCTGGCAGATACTACCGCATTGAATAGCGATTTAAAAACACAGGCTAATTTAGCTGTTCTTGTCATTTCAGGATCCTCCAAAGCTAGTGCCAACCGCCGTGTTTTAATCGAACGTGGTGTTGACAGAGCTTTCATTTGAGTCATGAAAACATCAGACTTATTGACTGCAGGTTGAGTAACTTTGGAGTCCACAGGTGCTGCATTGTTGTTATTACTAGATTTATGCTGACAAGACTGTTTTGAATTACTGCGCTGCAATCGAATTTTTTCATAGTTCCTCAATAGAAAACAGCGATTGGCATGGATAAATGTTTTCTGCTGCAGAGTGAGAGGTTTCATTGGCCCTAAAATGTTAAGTCTTTGGGGTAAACTTATTGCTACACTTGTACTAAGATTGGGTTGACTACTAATTGAATTGGCGCTACAGGATCCTGTAGCTTTGCCATTGGCATCATGTTTGTTTTTGAGCCTGCTGGAGGCATGGCTTTTTCGATTACTTTTGCGCAAGCGCCGCGACTTTCCGTCCTCCAATGCTTTGTTGTTGATTGTGACAGATGCTGCAGAACTTGATCTGCTGCTGGCTGATGATTGCGGTATCACAACTCTTTGGGACTTGCCTCCTATTACTCCTCGGCACTTTTCTGAGCCACACCTGCAGGGCTGACCCTCAGAGGGATTGAACAATGAGAAATTGTAATCGTAGGTCAATTCCTCACCGGACTCAATATCACGCAGAGCAAATAACGCCATGCGGAACAGACCATTTACACTCCACTTCTGCATCTCACAGTTAGGCTCACACGAGTGGTTTACAAATCGCCCTTCTCCACCCATTCGATGCCCATCAATGACAAGTCCACCATCCAGGTTCAAGCAGTAGTGGTGTGTGTCATACTGGTACTGCGATATCATTCGGTTCTTGAATTCTTTCTCACTGACCACTTCCCCTACATACTCAAGAATAAACTCATCCTTTTTGATAGCTGATTGGGTTTTGATGCCCCAACCTTTGTCTTTTGTCATGAATTTTGATAAGTTTGGAGCCCATTCATGTTTCTGGATCCTCTGGTTAGAGCATTTTTCCTTGCATGGACAAGATTCTGAATCACATTCAGCATAAACCAGACGGTTGATGCAGTCCTCACCACAGCCTTTTTGATCTTTTTGTTTTCCTTCACTTTTTGGGAGAGTACAGTTACACGCTTGTCCTTCGTATGAATATGAGGGTTTCACATCATAGTACACATTCGTGCGAATCTTTTTATAATTCCATGAAGGAACTGTGTCACGGCCAGGTAGCTGATTGTTCTTATGTAGCCACCACAAATCATAGGGTAACGTGAAATTCACCTGCCTCTGCCTCACCCATTTACTGCAGTACGCAGGCGGAGGTAATAAGCCATACTTGCTTTCTTCTGGTTTGTACGCCCGATTTTGAGCATCAGAACTTAGCTGTTTGACATCATTCACCTTATAGTAATTTGAAAACAAGCCAGCAACCAAGTATTTTTTCTTCCATTTAGGAACGGGGACAGCTTTCTTTTTAACTGATTCTGAATCACTTTCTACTTCCTCTTTTGGCCTTAGTTTCCTCTTGAAGTCGAGTTCATTGATATTACTGGGTGCTAATATATTTTTTACCGAACTCTTCTCCACTGGCTTCTCTTCACTTGATGCTGCATTTTCAGGAACAGCTGACAATCTTTTCTTTTTTCGCAAGGGAAAACTTTTCTCGCTATTTTCTGGAGAGGATTTCTTTGCAGGCAAAGTGACAGGAATAACAGTTTCTGGGGCTGGTGATTCAACAACCATATCAGCTTTTTTCGCAACAGTTTTTTTGACAGGAGCTTGATTATTAACTAGTGAAGAGACTGCTGGCTCCACGGACTTGTTCAAGCTAGAACTACGGGAACTAGATCTTTTGCGTGGGGTCCAGTTATAATTCTGAGATAAGGATCTGACTGTGTACCTCTTACAAGGCACTGGAGAATTGCTTTCTGACGTTTTCGAGCTTGACAAATTATTTTTTGAGAGGTTTCTCATGTGTTCCAGTCTGTGCCGCTTTTTAGGCGTCACAATTACGGGTTTACTAAGGCCTTCATTGCTAGGATTGCTTGAGTATTTGCTAATGCAGGCTTCAATGGCATCTTCAATGGAGTTTCGGTTCTTCGTTTTGTCCTGTAACTTCTCAGATGTTGAAGCTGTAATTTTTGAAGAGGAGGACGAGGATGAGGACGAGGATGAGGACTGTGTAGTAGAACCCTCAACTTTGCTTTCATTTTCAGCGTCTGAAAGGTTAGCAGAAGTTGAATGTGATGACATGTGATAATGACGCTTTTTCAGTGGAAGTCGCTGCTCGTTGTTCTCATGTCTCTGAAAAAAAAAAGGATAGAATATTGTTAATAGAAAAAAACAAAATATGGCAAAGGGAGAGAAGAAAATATATTGCATATAAAAAATTACTAATCTTGTAGGATAAAAGGAGCAACAGAAAAAGGGATCGAAAAGTGTGCAGTTACACCGCCCATTTGACATCTAAAAAAAACATAAACAGCCTTCACTGGAGAAAAATCCTCCACAAGTCTTGTTCAATACGGATGTGATCCTGCTCTCATTTGCTAGTCACACTGATTTAGGGCTCAGTGAAACCAATATCTACACGCCTCAGAGGAATAAAGTCGAAATATTTGCTCGCATTATGAAGAGCTAGCCCTCATTAAAAGATAAAAAAAAAAAAAAAATTAGACTAATCTTATATATTCTCCTAGTTCTGAAAAAGTAAAAAGTAGGAGGTAATTTTTGGGGTATACATACTTTGGGAACCTCAATAGTGCTTTTTTTCACTCTCCTTTTGTTGTTGCCGAGGGGAGGATGAGCAGGCACGGAAGTCACTGATTGTGCACCATTTTTGTTAAGAACTGGTTCATTTTCCGGGCCTGACTCTTTATCACTAGTCCGAGATCTTTCACTACCTTTCCGTTTTCGCCTCTCTCGGTTCCGCATTCTGTAAAGTCAAAGTTTCCAGGTATTAATAAAAGAAAATCAGCAATATCTGATTAATTCATTGCTTCCATAGTTTCAATGTCATGGATATTCTCGTACGGGTGACTTTATATGATCTAGAGACAAGATTCGCCACTGCGTTGTGCTCCTACATGATCTGCGTCATTGGGAAGCAATAATTATCATGCTGTTCAAATTAAGACAAGAAACTGATCCATAACGGGTAGCAGCATTTATCTTTAGAATGGTATGACATCAAATTTGTGAGGATTCATTGTAGTTCAAATCAGAAACTACCATAACGGAAATCACTCATTAACTCAATGTATAAGAGAGAAATAGCTTTATAATATCTCTCTCTTACGGGTTATTACGCTTTCATGTGCAATCTTTTCCTTATTAATTGAGTCAATGAGCAACATCTTTTAAGGAAATCACCTGAAAGACAGTCCTTAAAATGAAGGTATTCCAGCAACTAGGACTGAAGGATACTGATGGAACAAAACCACCCAAAATAAACCCAGCAACATTTTAAATTAAGAGGACTGGGGATGAGATGAGAAGAGATGAAAGAGAGAGCCACTGGACTCACTGAATATAATGTATCCATTTATTAACTCAAATTTCCAGCAGGCAGCATACCCAACTCTCAAAAAGCGTAAGTGAAAGTTGCCTTCCTTTTAAATGTTGGCACGGATTTAAGCCATCAGAATTTGATACACATTTTACTATTAACTTTTTTTGATAGAGCAAGTTTCAAATTATTCCCACATACTTCTCTCTATGTGCTTCCTCTAAGTTGTAACTAACTGTGTTCAGATTAAAAAACCCATCAAAGAGTCGATATAGGAGTGCTCATAAGAGAGAAAAACACAAACATTTGCAACTAATATCTTTCAATGTTTCTTCAGCTTCTATTAAATTCTTTAAAAGGTTTTGAGCAAAAATAGGGCAGAAAGTAAACCAGAAGCAAATAATTGTAAATTATCTTAGTACTATTGATGGTTTCCAGACTTGGCACATGAATGAGGAATATAAAAAAAATTGCATTGAATTGTTACAAGTTTCCAACAGTTATGATATTTCCTGCAAATGCTTTAAAGTTGGTGAGAAAAAGTGAAAAATTCGAAACTAACCTCAAAACTGTTGTCGGACAAAGCGAATATGAAGTTTTATCTGTCTCTTCTTTAATTATACATGATCGACTGAACTCTTGAACCAATTTTTCAATATCAACCAATAGCTTGGGATCAAAGCTCCCTAATTTTGATTTACTCTTGTGCTTGTGTCTGTGCTTCATCTTATGATGGTGGTGGTGATGGTGCCGCCCATTCTCAGGCCGCTTCCTTTGCTTCTTCCGTAAAGTGAGAAAACTTTTCTTTGTGATTGATATTTGTTTATCAACTAGTTTCTTGACATCTAAATGATCTCTTTTAACATGCAGAGCCACAGCCCCTGTTTTCGCAACAGCTTTAGCTTTAGATACTTCTGAGCCACCGCTGACTGAATCTGATTCTTTTTTATTTCTTCCGCCAGAGTTTAACTGGACAACAGCAGCTGAGTTTGAATCTAGATTTGATATTTTCTTTGGCCGTCCTGGCCCTCGTTTACCAGACAGTAATAAACTAGAAAGGTTGGAGCCTCCTTGTTCGACTATGTTGACTATGCTTTTGGAGTAATTAAAGGATGGAACACCTTTAATGATTTGCTTGCAATCTTTGGTAGAAAAACTTTGTCTCTTGTCTTGCTTGTTTTTTCTATTAGATCCTTTGGGCCTACCAGGACCTCGCTTATGACATTCTTTCTGTATTGTTTGATAAATTCGCGATGAAGACATATTTTTAATCTGATGAAACAAAAAGAAACAAAATGTCAATGCATCAATTAAGGGCAATAAAAAAAATTCAATGAAAAAAATTCTCAAGTTGGCTGTTCACTTGCACATTATTAGTAAGAATAGCACAAAATGAAGCTCACCTCTTTCTTAAATAATTCTATCAAAATGATGTATGTACCTATAAAACAAGGATCTAAAACCTAGCTCTACACCTCCATGCTGCTGTATAATAATACAAGAACTTAACTAAAATTTTAATCTTAATTATACAGCTATTTTATTAAAGAGAAATATAAAATACATAAACCACAAGATAATATTAATATACTATATTTATCTTCATCCCCTAAAACTTCCAGTAGACTTAATCTGCACAATTTGCACTTTTTGAGTGACCAGTTCTGCCCATGAACTAGTGCCACATTTAAAATGAGTAGGTAGCAGTGTTTCTGGCAATTACATGTGAGCTAAAAATATGTGACCTCTATCAGGAAAAAGAAGGAACAACGTAAAAAACTACTACCAATACGATTTTATAAATTCTACTAGGCATTTCCTCCTGACAATGAAACCTACTAAAATATAAGTGAAACTGGGCATATGCTGGAAAAACAACCTAAACTTGTACAGTCGTAGTACAGGCGTTTCTACGTTTTTTTCACCTAGATCACCTCCCCTGGTGGAATTGCAAAATCTTCCAGGCTTTCCTAACTTCCACTTTTGTGCTGTTAGGAGCAATTTTCGAACTATATGCAAAATTCAATCAATAAGGAAAATATGAATTGAAAATAGAAAAACTTACATCTGACATTATGGAGTGTGCGGTATTTGAAGACTTGTATTTTCTGCTCCTGGCTGGCGATGCATTGAGTTTCCCAGGGTCAACATTTTTGGCATTAAGTTTTAAAACCGCTGGGTTTGCTGACGAAGAGTACGGAACTAGACTAGGGGGTAGAGGAAAGGGTGCTTTGCAAGACATGATGGGAGCAGGTGAATGGAGAACGGGAGCAAATGGGGAATGGTGCGAGGGAGCTGGTGAGTGTGCAGGAGGATTGGATGCAGGAGAGCAGGACTGATGAGACGGAGATCCAGCGACAGATTGAATCCCGGAGTCTGGCGAGACGTGAGACACAGAACAGTCCAGTCGCATGAATGCCTCCAACTCTGGCATCATGGCATTGTTTTGATTTTGCTGCGGATTTTTTGGGGGTCTCCCCCGCTTTCGCTTCACAACTCTAGGATTCAACTCATTACTTGAGTCAACTTTGATGCTAATACTGCTGGTGACTTTTTTGGCAGGCTGCCTCAGTTGACGATTTTCTACAGCTTGCCTTAGTGGGTCTTTCTTTTCAAGAGCTTGTTGTGATAGAGAGGAAGTGCGGTTCACCTAGAAAAATGACAGCAAAATTAATTTCACTCTGATGAGAAGAGATCAATTATCAGCATTTTTCTCACCCCTTCCCAACACATATCGATGGTGTAAGTCGGCAATCACATAACTCGGTTTGCATACTTCCTATCATACTTTATTTTTAAAATGGAAAGCTACTCAACAGCAATTCTTTAAAACTGTTGTGATTTTTCTTCTCTACACTAAGAAAATTCTTCAAAAACTTCAAGAAATGATGTCAATTTGTTCTCCTTTAAGAAAATAACATTGAGGCGGAGACTTTCAGACACCGCAAACGAGTTATGTGATTGCCGACTTACACCATCGATATGTGGTAAAGATTAGACATTCAGCTGGACAATTGCTTAGTTCTATCTGACTATCAATGGAGAATTTTCTTGACCAGTTTCCTTGCTTAGCTCGCAAAAAAGTTTTTGTTACACAAAGTACAGGACATGCACATTAGAGACATAAAGTAAATACTGAAAATTTAATGAAATTTTTTAACAAATGTTTAGTACACTCTTCTTTGTAGCCCTTGACTGGTACGTAAGCACATATAGGAGCTCACTCTGTACAAAATAAATAAATAAAAATTATGTTAATTATACACACGATGGAGAATTTACATACAAAAGTTTAATTGCTTCATCTGAGAGTGTTTAATGAGCTGAGTTCGCAGTATTTTTCATAATTTTTTTCCGACATGAGAAATTGGAGGAAAATAGATTTGAAAGTGAGAAAATGTGCCGCCTCATGACGTCATCTGGCAGCATTTTTCATTTGAACACATGTATTTTAGCAGATTAGTTTATTTTGTCGTATTTCCTCTAATAATTGTCCAATTTAGAAACCAAGGATACCCTTGTACTCAGTTTTCCTAGCAGTATCATTTTAAAGATGAAATTAACAAAATCTCAGACACCTGCAAATTCTCTACTATACAAATTATGTAAATTATACACACAATTATACAAATTATATAAATAAATTAAAATAATACTAGGTCAGTTTAGAACATACTTTTTTCGTTCCGACAGGACTAGGTTGCCTTTTTTTAGTTTCATTGTCAGATTCAGAGCTAGAGGAAGACTCTTTGGCATTGGTTTTGTCCTTAAAGGCTCTACTTCTCACATTGGAGCGAGTTGAATCACTACGTTGTTGTGATTCTTTGGCTTCGTCAGAGCCACTGTTGACTTTCCGGCTGTTTTCAACCTCCAGTGCATTTTTGCTTAGATCTTTTTCCTTGGTTTCCTGCAACTAAGATACAGAGTAGAAAATGTTATTAAGGAATTAATGTAAATTGCAGCTGTCAGACTTGCAAAATATGGCGGGTTTTAGAAGAACAAGAGGTGAGATTTTAATCTCAGATTCTAATCTGGATCATCAACGAGATAAAGGAAGACCCTGCCACACACAAGATGACTCTAGTGACTTGAGAAAAGAGAACCATCATTTTTGTTGCCTTTCATCATAAAACATCATGCTTGTTAGTTGTAACTAGAGTAAAGAAAACTTTCCTGTGTATTTCCAAGTATTTTGAATTGTAGAATTGACATTTGCAAGAAGCAAATCGTTTCATCATAATCCGACTACAACTTTTGCTACATATAACTTCAATCACATTGATTTTTAAATGAATTTCACACTTGTGGTAATATTCCAACAAAAATGATTACACAGGCCCACACTGAAAAAAATGCTGGGGACTTGATAGCTGATTACTGTATAGTTTATAGTGCTGAGTCCAAGAATGATCTTAGTTTTCATCTTACATAAATCAGTTCTCTGGCAAATTGAGATTTTCGTCAAAAAAAGACAAGCTGTCCCGAGGAAATTTTGATATTTCCGGAATATTGGTGCATGATGAAGACAAACCAAGGTCATTTTTTTATTTAGTAGCCTAAATATAATGATGGAGGCTTCAAATTTTTACAAAGAAATGAAGTTTATATGAAGATCAGAACCTGTAGCTTTCCAGTTGTTGACATTGATTTCTCTTTATCTAATTCTTTGGTTGGTTGCTTAATTTTCTCTTCCTTTCTGTGTTCACTTCCTCCATCATCATCTGAATCATCAGTATCATCATTATCATCATCTCTGTCACTATCATCATCAGATGAAGAGTTCTCAGATTGCTGCGAATCTGAGTCAGAATCATCAGTTGAAGTCGTCGATTGTGACTGCTTTGATTTTCCGGCAGACTATGAACATAGATCAAATTTGTGAATTAGAAATGTATCACCTTGGAAAAAATGTACTGTTCTGCAATGTAATTTCATTAATGATGTGCTAGATACGAAAAATACTGACATTATCAAGTATAAACCAAAGATGGCCAAAACTAATAGCAACACCTTCAGATTAATGTAGATGTAGGTGAAAAAAACCTTTAAAACCTTTCAATTACTGAGATATCTTTCGGCTTACGCCATCATCAGAGCTTTTGGAAACACAAACATAATCACATTTTTTAGTTTTTAACAATAGTTTACATCACGGATGTACTTGTGATATTTTCAAAATTAAGCGAATGTCATATATGATAAGATTGTTGCACCTATGAACTTGTAAACAACTAAATCAGCTGACTGTGAGTCAGTGCGCTGGTCAGTCCACCAACACACCAACATTGCGCTCGATGGAACTTTCCTGATCTCTTAATAGGTGGCAGCACCTCCTGATGAGCAAGTTTCTTGCTATTTCTATTTCAGTTTGAATATTGAGTAAATTTTCGTTTCTTATTGTTGCATACATTTGATGCATTTTTGCATGAGCTTACAAAAATTCTTGATGCTCTTACCTGATCATTGTTTGTTTCTCTTGATGGAAAGCGAGATGATGATGATGGCGCAGTTGATTCTGTTTCCGAGTCAGAGTCTGCATCTCCAAGAATGCCTGCATGGTCACCGGCTATGCTATTTTCGTTGCTTTCACTGCTAGAATCACTACCGCTTGCACTATATGAGTCACTTCCTGATTCATCCTTATCCTGTTTGACATAGTTAAAACGGATTAATAAAATAAACTGCAGAAGAATAGTGAACTGGGGATGATAAAGCAATTTTAGTTTAGAAAGAAGATGTTCAACCAGAGATACATGGCAACCCAACAACTAACCGCTTGACAGGTTAGGCTATCTATCTCAGGTCTCGACCAGACATGTTCCCTCTAACAAATTTATAATAACATATTAAGAAAATGTATAAAATAAACTTTTATCTGAGAATTGTTTCTCTCTTTTTTTGACATAGAATACGATGTAGCAAATGGATTAGCAACCTGCATATTTCGTAGTGCGTAAATAAACGTGATTCGTATAAAGGACTAAACTTCTTTTAATTGAACAAATGTAACTGATGAATTTGCTTCTAAAACTGATCAACAAAGTTGAGCTTTCTACCTGAATTTCATGCAAACGATGATTTACGTTTGGTTCCTCTCAACAATTTTGCCTTGAAATTACTCACAACACTCTATCTAACGTCAGGGTTTATCTTCGCTGATCACCGTTGGGATCATTTGTTCCGTTTTCACAACTTTGGAGTCTTCACTAATTATTCAGAAATAAAACCTATTAACTTTTATTTTCAGTATAATGATCTTACCTCTGACTCAGAATTTGAACCAGTTGTCTCACTGTCAGAATCAGAGTCTCCATCAGTACTATCTGTATCACCGTCATTTGCAGGAGCAGGGGTTAAGGGAGTCATCGGTGCACCAGGCATTGGAGTAGCTGGCTCCTGGAAAATAATAAATGATAAAATTACATCATCAGGACCCATGGAAAAACTCTCTAGAAAAAAATTTAGAGTAAAAAATAATACATCTGGAAAAGAGCTCCAAAACTTAGACGCAAGAAAAAAAACTTTGATAAAAGCCTATTATTTCGACTGATTCTTGTGGAATTTCCCCTATGTATAAAAAAAGCTTGACCTTTTAACTTTTCCAAGAATAACGATAGAAAGGGGACAAAAATAATACAGGCTTGCACATTTTATAGCCTGCGCATAGCACTTTACACTGTTAGTTAGAGTGAAATTCAATGATACTGCTTTGCCTGCACAAGATTCCTTCAGGATCTTGCAGTGTGGTGTCAACACTATCATTTAAGCCCAGAATCAAAAAATATTCTGTCAAGCTCTTTGAAAATAAAATCTATTTTCGTGTTTTCAGGACTAAAATGGTGCTATCGACATTATGACAGCAACAGTGTACATACAAACACAACAAATCACAACAAAATTAGGCGACCTTAAAATTGAGCGAAAAAATGGAACATAAAAGCAAAAAAAAAAAAAAAAGTAAAAAATGTTGTAACAGAGTTCAGGGAGCCTTGGAGCTGGTCAGAACCCCACTCACTAAAAGTCTCGTTAAAAAATACATGATAATCGGTAGGTACAATGTACTTTTTTTTTAGATTGAAACTGTCAAAACGTGGATGGCACCATTTTAGCCCCAAAAACACAAAAATCGATTTTATTCGCTAAGACCTTGGCAAAGTATTTTCAATTTCGGCTCAGATGACAGTGTTGACACCTCACTACAGGACCCCAATGGAGTCTTGCAGGGGCAAATCGAAATCATTAAATTTCATGCAGACTAACCATGTGCAGGCAGGAGGGCATCAAACTGAATTTCAAAGCAATAACACAAAATGAAAGATAACCTGATCAATTATCTGAATGCAGGGGCCTGACACACTAAGGAATAGGAGTCAGATCTACCAAATTACCTAATTAGCTAGTTTGAACTGCAGCACAGGTTTGTTAACTTCGAAAAAAGAAACTTCTATTACCCATTTGATTAATTGCAATGTATTTCAGATATTTGTTTCACCTTGTTAAGGTAAGAAATGACATTAAAAATTTCATTTTGCTGTAGATGATATAGAGTTTTCACTCACTTTGATAGCATCCATATCGACCGTAGATGGAAGATCTTCCGGTTCGGAGTCCTCGGCTGGATGATGCACAACAGCGCTCCATGCTGAGCTACTCAGAATATCCACACCAACAGTTGGTTTCACAACACTGCTGAACTGAAGTATTAAACAGATAACATTAGCAAAAATTGAATGAGAGACCTAACGTAATTAAAGAGAGAAAAAAGAAACCACGCAAAAAATAAATTTGTATGCCACTTTTATGGTACTTCCTTGCATCCTGCAACTCACAACCTACATTCTGAGTAATTCTATCGTAGCTGCTTGATGAAAATATTCCAAAAAATGATCTTCTTAACACCCATTGATTCACATATTATTCTTTATTCATGTTTTTACAAATTTTCAAAAAGCTTGCAGGGTTAATCCCCTGCCTGATACCCCAGCCACAGGTGCCCATTACTTGAGACCATCAAACTTGGGCCTCAGCCAAGGATCGAGTGCAGCATCTGTTTGTTATGGAGCCAGCGCTAAAACCACTACACCACGAGAGGTTCTTTATTCTGAATGTAATAAAAATTCCAGCTGATCTTTACCAGAAGCCCATCTGAGTTGCCTTGGGATAAAACCCTACTCTAGATTCTGGTGTTACAACCGTATGAGAACAATTGAATAGTGATATCTACAACAACGCAGCGATATGAAATTTGAGAGAAAAAAATGAATACAATTGGCTACCTCCGGAACAGGCCTATCGTGGTGAACAGCTGGGTTGAGATATTCATCTGTCGGCTGCTCATGAAACCTTCGAGTTGGTTTATTGAGCTGCGGCATTCTATACAACTCCATACAGGTGCTTACTGTAGATTCATATTAGAACTGCAGCATCTGGAAAGCAAAGAAAACATTCATCACACAACCAAACTTATTACACCACATCTTTCAGGTTTACAAAACTTGGGCTTCATTTCATCCTCTCCAAATTTAATTAAATAAAAGAGGATTGATCTTGAAGAAAATTTATCACCGAGTCACCCTGAGTTTCATTTTGGGCACGAGTAGAATGAAAACAATAAAAGAGGCTGATTCAATGAATAGCTCAATTAGCAATCTCAGACTGAAAAGCCCATATCATACAATGAAAGTAGAGCTCTCGAAGTGGCATCATGTGACCCTCCGTTTTCCTTAATGATTGTCGGGCCGACAATCTTTAAGGGCAATAGAGGGTCATGTGACCCCACTTTGAGTGCTCTACTTTAATCGTCTGAAACGGGCTAAATTCTTTGGTTGGAGTAACTGAAGCCTACCAATGAAGCCTGAAAGAATTGGACCAAATGCAGTAGCATGCAAGCGGTAGAACCAGCAGAGGCATAATTGTTTTCTGGAGTGTCTATTGATGTTCTTTAAAAAAATGAACTGTTTTTTCATGCTTTCCTGGTGGTTTCTATCACTAAATACCATAGTTAAGTAGCTAGAAAGCAGTACATGTATCTTCTTGAAAATATACTATACATTCTATCAGCTATTATTTAGATTCCTATTTGATAAACAACACCTGTTCTAATATCCCTAGACAAACAAATAAAAAGATCTTACTCTTGAGGCCATATGCTCTGGGCAACACAGGAACAGCAAAACGGTTGAGTGATGATCTGCATTCAAAAAGGACATTTAAACCAGAGGAAAAATGAACAGACCACACCATTTTTGACTGATGTGAGGTACATGGCTGCCTAAAACAAGAAAAGAAAATCATAATCAAGGGTAATGGGCCTCTATTTTATTGACAGCACAGAATACATGGGTTGACACTCAAGGAGGGGTCACTCGAGAGACATCCTTATAACACCTGACCGCCAAAGTTTTTTCAGTTCATCACGTTTTTTACAGTTCTTCCAGTGAAACAGAGTCACATGCTTTTTTGGCATCAAGCGGAAGGAGTAGAGATTGCTTTTTATTTTCAAGATCATAATAATTACAATCAGATACCACTGCTTGTGTTGAATTTCTACCGAGTAAGAAACCAAATTAATTTTGGGGAATTAGTCTCTGGTGGTGAGGTAATTCACTAATCTATCTTTCATTTCTTATCTTGCATCTCACACCACTCTTGTTATTCTTATGGTACGTGAAGCAGTTCCTCTCATTAATTTATGTAAATCTTTATTTTTGAACGTATAAACTATCCATCTATGTAACTTTCTCAAGGAATGATTCCATATCTAGTCCCCCATGGATTAAAGCTAAGCGAGAGATAAAATTGGGATAGCCTCAGAAGGAAAGGTAGGAAGAACATGAAATTAAAATTTAGTGGCCGATGTGTTGATTCTGAAACGACATGAGCGTGCAAATATGAAAAAAATTCTACCGATAACTTTAAATTTGGATTTTCGTCATAAGTTTTTGAGCTGACAGTTAAGAGGGCATGAGGGCTTCCAATTTGAGACCAATGCTCCGTTGCTAGAGGTAGAGTATCAGGATGTACTTAAGGGATGTGATTAATGCGGCGAAGTATACGACAGTGCGGTTCCAAAAACGCTAAGTCATTAATAAGACGTGCAAAGACACTTAATTGCATTATGAATGCAACAAGGTGGAATGAATAGTTAGCCTGATTAAAACCAAAACAAATAGGGCCTGCCTCAATGTTATTATCAATGTCAGGAGAACGTGGAAGAGGTCCAGACGACCTAGCGCAATCGTTTAAGATTATGAAAAATAACTTACGTGTACGAGATGAGAAACCTGATGAAGAGTTTAATTCTTGACGGAAAAAAACAAAAATTTCTAAATGCAACTATCACTTCGGAAAAGAAACAACATGGCGGGTTAAATGCTTAAGACCCTGGATAAAAACAAAATTAACAATTTTAAGGAATTAGATTTCCTGAAAGTAATTGGATGTTGTTATTCGATGCTTAGATAGATTGCTAATTATTGTGTGGAGATAAGATCTAGATTTAAAAATACAATCAAAGCACACGAAAAATTTTCATTCTTTAACTGCACTCACAGACACATACACCACAAAAAACACCGAACGACAACGAACACAGAAGAGCTGGCTGCTGGGCTGCTGAATTGCATGAGGCGATACTAGCGAAACAAGATACAGTGAATAAATTGTGTACTAAAAAGAGCCAGGTGTTTCGGCAAAATCAGGTGTTCATCTAATTTCTTAATTTCTATCTGCCGTCGGCAGCCGTCGGCGTGTCCAACATGCTCAACAATTTGCTTTCTCGCGGTCAAAATGGGATCCCATCTATTTTCAGATTATTTTCACCGTGTCAAGTCCGGTCAAGACGGTTATATTAATGATATTCAATTAATTACCTACCCAAGTATGCAATTATCCTAGTTCACCTTGTTGTTACAATAGTACAAAGTACTTTTATTATACACAGAGATTGAGAGGAATTCACAGAGAAGCAAAACCAAATTTCATAAACGAAAACCGATTAATTTTCTATCATTTTCCATCAAATTCCGAAGAGCTTTTACTGGAGCTGCTTATGCAACCCGCAACAATCATCCGAGATTTCGTCAAGAGGCTTCAAAATTTGACCCATGATATATTTGTTCAAAATTCAAAAATTATCTCATACCGTCGCTGGACAATCGCATGGCATGCTGAGTCCATTGCGAAAAGATTTAAAAATGTCAATCCCTGGGAGTGTACTATACTCAATCACAATGTGTAAATATGACAATTATATTTTGGGCTACTACCATTTCTAGCACGTTTTTGAAACAACGTATGTGGTATTAGTCTCCCTATGGAAGTAAGTGATTGTGACTTATTGTGAGCTAGACATAGTAATTCCTTACTGCAAATTCATATGCGCAATGTGAATGCAACCCCTGTTAGCATATTTTCTGTAAAAATGTAGGCAGTGTCGGTTCCATTGTAAAATTAAGCATTTATAATATACTTATAAAAAAAAATATTAATTATTGCAGATCGCCGGATCTGCCGGATCATGTAGTGCCGGGCCCAAAAATTACTCCTCATTTTTGGCAAATGTTTGGCAACAACGTTTTAAGTACCGATTTGGCGGGGTTTTTACATTGACGTATAATACAATCTAGACCGCGCATTACGAAATTCAAACGAGACGATAGGCAACCCAGCAACACACAGTAAGTGTACCGGCGAGACAATGGTGGAATTCCTGGAAATGTCAGTCTTGCCAGTGCCGTTGCCTGATACGGGTACACTTAGCTCGTATATCCGGCGGTATCAACTAGGCTGAAGGCGCGTCTTTACCCCCCTAGCTGTCTTACCTTCCCCGCCTAAAGTCGGGCCCAATGCGCGGTCTAGATTGTATTATACGTCAATGGGTTTTTATCACTGAGGAGGCCGAGGAGGCTGCCATTCGTAATGACGTCACGAAAGTCTTGAGCTCTGATTGGTCAATATTTTACTGATAAGGAGCAATCAAAATAAACAAATGTTCTCATTGCCCATTGCCTCGCTTTTCTAGCTATGTCCTGAACTCCTGACCTGTTCCCTTCTGACTTATTGTCTCAATATTCCCTCAATTTTGTGTTTAATTGTTTCGTCTTGTGTGATCCATTCAATATTCAATCTCTCGATGTATCACCAACTTTAAGATACACACCATTGTGGTATATCACAGCATGGAGGATGATATATTTGTCCTACCACAATTTCATGAAGTAACCAGCGATGGTAAGTATTCAGATGAATTATTCTTTTCATTCCTTAAACTTTTCCTCATGTTTCATAGTTATATTCTGAGCAGATAGGTAATTTACTGAACGTATGATGTATTACAGTTACTAATTTTGTGACATCGTAGCAAGTGATGCATGAAGTCTTCATGGCTCATTCAATTAAAATTTAATTATTTCTCCTGTACTGTGATAGCTGTTTGTCTCATTGACCAAAGCCAATGCTTCCTTTCCTTACACTTTGGACATACTGAATTAAACATGAACGTGTTTCTGCCCAATGGAACTATAGACGAGTGGGAAAGATAGGGTGTGCTCTAGAAAGCTGCCTACGAAATAATGTAAAAGTGGGCTTGGTTCCCTTTCGAGAAATAGAAAAGCAGGATTTTACATTCTGTCAAACGCAACTATGTACCAACTGAATGGCGCACTCACAAGCCATGGGCATGTGACAAGAGCGTTGTGGACAGGGCTCGTGAGTTTATGATTCACCCGATGACCGTGGTGTCAGCCTTGCCGCCGCCGATGTCACTGGTGCAATCGACAATTCCCATTTACTCTTATGGCCCTCAACTAACAAGCACACCCCTTCTTTTCCACCTGTCTCTGGTACCATTTGGCATAAATACGTCCATGTATGAAATTTAAATAAGTATGTGGAAAATAATATTTCATGTAAATAACCCAAGAAATATGTGTCAGCTAAGTACTCTCATCTATGAACATTCTTGGCCATCTTGGTTTGATGTTAGAATCAGATGATTGGCAGTAATATTTTGTGTGTCAGAAGATTGGTTGCCCCTTTGGGCCCTGAACCCTCCATAAAGAAGCGAAAACAAAAAATGTACAGTCTCTGCACATGCTTAAACTGTCAACTGCACAATTAGGACTGAACGTGTAAGAGCTGCTTAAAACAATCTGTCAATACTCTTGCTGTTCAGGTACTCCAGATAGAACCTCTAATAAGACCTACAGAGCCAGTGTTGGAAACTCACAGGCACCAATGCACCTAAGAAATCGGTCATGGCGCCTAAAAAATGAAGGCTCTGCGCCAATGTGTGTTGGATTTTTGTAATTTATCGTAATGAAGTTTGTAGTTTCTGGGTATAGCCATCGATATGTGAGTCACTGACTCTTAGCGTTATTTTTAGCGCCCATCATTCATATATGGACAATTTTGTGCTACCCTTTAGTGGGATGTTCCTGGTATAGGGACGGTGCAGAAGTAGTTTAAGAGTTTGCGTCTCTAAAATGTTAGTTCCGTGCACCTTAAAAAAGGAATGGGATGGGAGAATGCATCTCTGTAAAAAGAAAGAGGAAACGTATCTCTCCTGTAATTTTCATGAAACGCACTAACATTTTACGGATAGCTACACTGCAAAGTGGTTTTACTTCAGAAAAATGAAGGCTTGCCTCATTTTCCTCTCTTTATACATAGTCTAGAAGTGTGGATTAAACGAACGTACTTGTGTCATCAAACATAGAAATGCTTTAACTCAGCACTATCCGGAAAATAGACTTGAATGCGATTTTACGTTGATGCATCTTTTCAGAGCTATCAGATTTTTTTTGTTCTTTTTTGTTTCCTTGTTTTTCTCTACATTGTGTTAAAGAATGGATCGATCATCCCTAAACTCTGTATTCTTACTTTTCAACACTGGATTTTGAGTAGTTAAAGTCCGGTACTTTCTTACTACAAATCATGATTTTGAATTCATTTCAGACTCTCATCTTGAAAATAGTTTGAATGCGGAAAATGTAAACAGGAATTCAACTTTGAAGGATGATATGAATGCTGACCATAACACCTTACATCAAAGAAAAAGACTGAAGAAAACTCTCATCCCTCAAGAAATACATGATCCAGGTAAAGTAATAACCGCCTTTAATGGAAAATTTCCTCTATCTTGGTTACTTGGAAAATTTTGGATAAAAAATTAGCTGAAAATAATGCTCTAAACATTGTATGAGCGACTGAGCAAGTACTTCTTTTACTATTCTACACAAGTTCCCTCCAGACCTGACCATGCTTGATGGTAGGAAACAAGCTCTTCAATGCACCCTATCTCAGAAACCTTTGCCTGGTATCGAGGAAGAAGTGTGACAAATTTGTCTCACGTTTCTGTTGTTTCAAAATGCGTTCTATAAAGTTCTCTCTTAATCTTGGAATAAATTCTTGTTTTAGGCTATTTCCACAATTTGCTTTCTTACTTTATTCTAACTTATCTTCTTCGCCACCAAAGTCTAATGTTTTTTTATCATGTCTTTGCCTCAGATGAACCTGGATCAGATTATGACAACGAAACTGTAGCAGAGACCAAAGTTAGAAAGTGTCGAAGGAAAGCCATCAAATCATCAAAAGAGCATCTGCATCTGAAGTGTGAATGGAGACAGTGTGATTATGAAAGTGAAAACTTAGATAATTTTGTTCTGCATGTCAGTCACCATATTCCGCACCTCAGACTGCGCTTTAATGAGGAAAATGAAGGTATCATCAGGGCTGTAAAATACTTTTTAGGCTTTGTCTCCTCAGGACATTTTCATGGGATTTGTACGAGGGTCGAATCTTGGGAATTTTTTGCAGTGACCATCTTCACGGGATGGGGCTCTCACGTTCCTGTGACAAGTTTGCGCAGGAATATAGATCAGTGAAAACGGGGTGTTTAACCGGCATTAAGATAGTAATTGAACATACTTAACAATTAAATGAATCATTTATATTAAAGAAAACTCGAACAATCGAGTAAGTAAGAGAATACCACACAATTTGTTTCCACCATCTCTACAAGGCAAACAAGGACCATACTTGGTACTGCAATCCATATTGAGTTAGTCAATATTTTTCCCAATTTTGCAAGTGAGACTTTTCTGCGGGACAAATCTCATGAAAATGTCCTGTAGAGACAAGGCTTTAGTGATTTATCTTTTTTGATGGCTCACTTTTTATTCTGAGTAATATGAAGAGAATTTTTTGTGCAAGAGCAGTATACTGTTGACTGTAAATTCATCAAAAATCTTTTATCAAGCGTACATCAATTATTAGAATTTTCACTTCAATAAGTTATCACATTAAGGTGACCTCAGATGAAACTGACGGAATCGGCTGATTGGGTCATAGGCTTCTTTTTCCCCTCGGCCTCTGCCATTAAATTGTTGTAATTTTTATGGACCGTTTTTCCCTCAAGGCATGAGGCTGTAGAAAACCTTGGAACTTATATTTATTTTGATGTTTGGGTAGACCAAAAGAAAAAAAATAGTGTATTTTCTTCGGAAAATACACTAATAAATGAAAAAAAAGATAATTAAAATATATCACAAAGAATGGATAGGGTTATAAAAGAAGACGAAACAAAATCAAATGAATCAGAAACACACCAGCACTAAGAGTCTCAGACATGAAGTGAGTGATGGTTGACAGGCATGGGTAAAATAACAACCACGATCTAAGGAGGAAAAAAAATAAAGAAACGAACAAAAATATAAGCATAGGAAACTATGTTTTAATTAGTTCACTCAACACCTAGAAACAGTAAATGCATAAGAAAGTGTATCAACTCATTGCATTTATCTTTGAACATTCCTAGAACTCTGCTTCGTAACCAGAGACCTTCATATCTCGCACCTGTTTTACTACAAGCAGGTGTGATAATTTTAGTCAAGGAATCTACCAACATTGCAATACTGCAATATGCACCTATCATATCAATATTAAAATAGTTAACTGCTGATCTAAATGCTTGTGTATTGTGCATGTGCCAAAAATTAGACTTTGCCCAATTTTAACCTTTGCTTTAGAACTACATTTTTGTCAAACTGACATCTACTTACTTTATGACTTCAAATATAGACCTTGAAAATCAGGCATTTTGATATAAATGTGATGTGCAAGAACATGTGATTCAGTGGTGAAACATCTATTTCTTTTTCCATGAGTAACAAATTTTTTCTATTTTACAGAGGTCTTTGTTTGTGATTGGAAAGGTTGTGATTATGAAACTGGTAATCCCTCAGACGTAGTCAGACATGTGAACTTCCATTCCTTCCATACAAAACTTAAATGCATTGGATCTAACTTGAAAAATAGAGAAAAATTACCTGTGAGTCAACAATTTTATATGCCCCTTACTACCTTTCAACAGTCCCAGAAACTATAAAAAACAACTGTTTGCGCCCGGGGGAAAAAAAAGTAAAAAAAAAAAAAAAAAACCTGTCTCAGAAGTTGATTGCTGACCATAGGTTGTTGTAGAAACTTTAAATTTCTCCCAATTGAAAACGTTTCCTGGAAGAATCCTGAAGAAATGAATTCAAATCAGTTTTAAATTTTCAAACCTATCTTTGCCTTAGGAATTTGGTACACAGCTGTTAATGCTAACTTTTAGGTACATTAGTCAATAGGTTTTTAATTGGCTGGAAAATCAGCCTGTCCTAATGGGTAGGTACGCAACCAGTTACATTACATCTTATTCCATGTTTGAGATACTGGTAAGGTTCTTGAAGCAGGTCTAATTTGTTACTTTTCTGCCTGAGCCTTTTAATTTTTCAGTTTCAGTTTGAGAAACTATTTCATTTGCCAAGGAACTGTTAAAAGCAATTTTTTTCAAGTGTTTTAAGTTGAAGCCTTAATTAAAATAGCCTTCATTATAGAGAGTAAGTACATCACTGGAAGCTCATCATGCAGTCTTACTTGAATACCTATACTTGATAAGGCTTTGATAATTTATTTTCAGACTTGCCAGTATAGCTCGGACAATCCAAACATCCTTCCAGATTTTACCGAGCAGATGGACTGCATGTGGGATAACTGCACAAGAAAGTTCAGCAATATCCAAACATTTCATTATCACATCATTGCTCATGTCAACGCCCTTCCTCCAGGCAACAATCTACCTGTTGCTGAAAATTGTCGCTGGGAACAATGCACAAAGTCATATTTCTCTCGACATCATTTGCTTAACCATATGAAGAAGCATACGCACGCAAAAGTGGTAGGATGCCCAGACTGTGGCAGTGCCTTTTGTAGCAATACCAAGTTCAGAGATCATTGCCAAAGACGAATTTCGAGCGAGGTGAGTAATAAATACGCAGTAATAATTGAAGGGTTCCTTAAAAGATTTCCTTATATCCTAAACAGTGCAAAGAATCAGTGAAGAAATTTTTTACAATTTAAACCCCTAAACATTTTTTTTGCATTACATTTGATGGAAATATTGCACAAAATTATCGTAATTGAAGGCGTTCGATCAATTGAAGGAATAACCGAAATTGCTCTGACTACTATTAAGCTTGGATCACTTTATTCCTTGTCGTAATCTAGATGTGTTTAGTTTACTCAGTACTAGCAGCCGTTCTACGGTCCGCACCTTGGGCAAGACCAATGGCGGTAAATGCATTCCATGGATCTAAGTAATCCCTGGAGAACATGTAAAGGTGTCGTCAGCCAAGTTAGCATTTGTTTGCTTTCCATTTGCAAGTGCCTGCCTTTCAGGCGTCCAATAGCGATCCAGGATTAACTGCAAAATGACCGCAAGCTACGCTGCCGCTGTCGTGCTGTGTTCAATCTTTGATCGCTATTGGACAATTGCAATACGGTCGCTTGCAAACGAAAAGTTAACAAATGCCAACTTATCCGTCGCTAACACTACTTTCCTTGCATTCAATTTATTTTTCACATAAAATGAACACACTTACTAGTCCTCACAGCGTCTTCACTTATTGGAAGCTCGATTTTCCCAGTCAGTCAGTGAGTAGTCAATGTATTACCCTTTTATTATTGAGAATATTCTCAGAAATAAAATTACCGAGCATATTCATTTTCAGGTCCAAGATTATCAGTGCTCCCACTGCAGTAAATTCTATTCTACAGAACGCATACTACGTGATCATATGATTTCGCACATCAATCATCACAAGTGTCCATTTTGTGACATGACTTGTCCATATGAATACACGTTAGCAGCACACATTCGGAACAAGCACATCCCTGATAAGCCATTTAAGTGTCAGATGTGTGATTACAGTTGCAAAACTCAGACCGATCTCAAGAAACACCTCTACCACACCCATGAAACAGAGCCATTTCGGTAGGTATTTTTACATTTTTCTAATCTGATGTTTAATCTCTCTTCTCTAAACGTACGATTTTATGTTTCCAAGCTTGTAAAATTGACTACATCCTTTTTTATTCAAAGTAAAACATTGTCATACTTCTTAAGCACCACGAAACAAGTATCATGATCCACAAATATATCACGGAAGAAACGACGGATTTGAAGAAAGTCAATGCGAAGGGTGTGCCTTCTTCAGCTTACTTCTCATCAACTCTGTGAGAAGTGTTTTTGCAAGGTACTTTCTTTTCTAGAGTGGAGGCTATACTAAGACTGTGTTTCCTGTAAAGTATAGTTCCACATGTGATCACTTGCACTCCCCAACCGTCTTCACATATTTTCTCAGAATAAAAGTTTTCTGTCTACAGCACTTGAATTCTTCCTCAGTGTCAATTCTTTTGTCATCCAAAAACCAAAATATTTTACTTTTGTAAGGAAGAACTAGATTGATAGACCAATGAAAATATCCCGCTCTTAAATGAGTCCATGTAAAGGGGTGTTCAAATGAATCTTTATCCGTAAGCTGTCAGTAAAGCCAGGGAATTTTGCCCAAATTAGTCAGGAATTTTTTAGAAGTCAGAGAGAGGTCACAGAATTTTGGTTTTTGAATTCAGTCGTACTCTGTCCTTAATGCATCCGAGGACAACATCTGTTATCACATAATTTTTAAACCGACCCTTTTCTGTATTTTGAACGAGTGTTGATAAAAAAAGTAATCGATTTGTTAATTACTTCTAACAGGTGTCTGGTGGCCGACTGTGATTTCCAGTGTAAAAGAAACATCACTCTTCAGCGTCATTACGCCAAAATTCATTGTGGTGAACCATTCAGAAAATACGCTTGTCATGTTTGCCACCACAAGTATAATCACGGAGAATGGCTAACAAAGCATTTGATCCAAAATCATGATTTTCACTGGCCACCTGGCTTCTCCCGCTTCAGGTATGTGAAGGAGCATGTGATGCAGTAAATTCATACATAAAATGAATCCTTTTAACCAGGAGTCACCTAACCAAAAAATTGACAATATCGTATTTTTGGCAGCCTTACAGGTAGCTAAGAAGACATATTTTTTAAATGCAGAAGAAAAAAGCCGTGCACAAAAAAGGGCAAAAATTGCCCGATTGGGCCCTTGACATTGAGCGAAAGGAAGGGTTTTTTCCCCATTAATACATAACCATAAAATTCTTCTTCTTCTTCTGATGGTTTATTGGCTTATATTCCAAGAGAGGAAACCATAAAATTTCATATACTCTTATTAAAAGTTTAGACTGTGTATATCAACTGTTTTCGAGTTGGGGGTGGGGGAAAACTCCTCTAATTTTCACTCATTTCTGTAACTACATTACTGTTAAATTCTGACTGTAACATGTCACTTAATTAGGTATTGAGGCGCAATTTGCAGCGACTTGTTCAGCTATTACTGTTGCATTTTTCTCCATCCTTCACAGACCCGACCTGGTTTTCTCCCAGGGGTTTCATCTGTGTAAAAAATATGGATACTTGTAAATATCTTGAGAATTGTGGAGAATACTGACTTGCGACTTGTACGGAACTTCCTCAAACAAAAGGAGGTAAATTTTTTGTGGAGGCATAGAGCAATTTCCAAGTTTCTAATTAGAACCCTTAGTCTGATTCCTTGTCGAAGAGGACAAAACAGAGACAATTTTTGGTGCAAAGTGCAGGTTGCTATCTCTCACCGTTTCAAATTTGCAAAAAATTGATTTCTTGGTTGTTCATCCGGCCAATGGTTTTCAGGTGTTTTTAGCAGAAAAAAGGAACGAATCTAACATCAGAATACGTTCAAATATACTATGTTATTCTCAAGTGAGCAGTGCTTTCCACCATTATGAAGGATGCTGCCTTGAAAATAGCGCATTATTTTTGCCTCATGTTGTCATATTCATTCTTTTATTGCCAAAAAACCCAACATGCCAAGTTTCATCCCAGTCGACCGGTAAACAACCAAGATTTCAATTTCCTGCCTTTTCAAACTATAACTGATAATCATTTGGAACTGGAAACAGATAGTGACCTGCAATATGCGCCAAAATTGTCTTTTTTAAGTTCCTTCCAACAAGGTTTTATAGAAAACCATAGCCAAACCAAAAGCCAAAGCCATAGGGCTTTGCCTAGCACTTTTTTCAATTTCTAAATTTGATATCTTGGTGGAAGGTTTGTTCAACCATTTAGGTATGTACTTTGTATTAGAATCGATTTTAAAAATCTTGGACTTATCCCCCTTACAGAAATGGGTCCGTTCATCCTTCTGAGCAGTCAGAGCCGTACAGTAATCCTACCCACATAAATAATCCACATAAGTGAGAAAGATGTGAAATTTTCTAGCTTCATGGGACAGTCCCTTTGTAGAATATTTGATTTTTTTTCACCTTGTTTCCCTTTTCCTTGAGTTTAATTCAACCTAAATTATATCACTTCTCTTTTAGTCTCAAGCAGTTGGTTGTCTGTCATGCCAGCGCTTAGTCTGAGCCAGTTTTTGTTCCTCTCTCTTACCATAACCCCACTCGGCAGACCGTTTTTTCTTGGAAATGTACAGAATAATAAAGGGAGCATCATCTGCAGATCCTATCGAAGTCTTTTAATGCCGTTAAATGTGTTCAACAGGTATAAGCAAGATGAAGATGGATTCTACAGGCTACAAACAGTGCGTTACGAAAGTATAGAAGTCACGCAAGCCATGCTGGAGACGGAGTCAAATTTAGTGTCGAGCATTGATGAAAATAAATGTTTGCGACTAGGGAAAATCGAGCACACAAGCACTGGTGCCAAGCTTCGAATAGAGCTGGATTCTGAAGAAGGAGAGTCGGTCCCGCAATCAGAACAAGAGACTGCTAATGCTCCCAATGAAAGGGTGATTGCAATTGAGGAACTAGATTCTGAAGGCAATGTTGTAAACACAAGCACTGTTATAGAAGAAATCTCCTCATTGCCATTAGAAGGAATACTGATTGATGCCGCAACGCATGATAGCTGATGATAAGTCTTTTTCATTACCTAAGTACTTTCAGCTTAAGAGTTCATGAAGAGCAACCAAAAGAAAAAATCTGCACCATTATCTTGTCACCCCCTCTTGATTTTATATTTAACGATTGAAGTTTATATGCAGCTTTAAGGGCACGCCTCTGTATCCATTGCAGGAGTGAGGATCTATGCTGATTTTGGGAAACGGTTCTACCTCTAACTTATAAAGTATACTTGGAATTGGTCAAGTATTTGGAACTGGTTCCACCTTTCCATTACAAATGAAGTTCGCAAAAAAGGAGGATTGCTTATGCACAATTCTAGTCATTAGATCTTTTCCGGATTTAAGTTCTAGAAATATGGATTATACTTGATTGGAATTTCGGATGTCGTAACATTCAATACAGGGGGAAAAGCTTTTGATGTACTTATAAAATGGAATCTTGCCTGTTTTTTTTTTTTTTTTTTTTTTTTTTTNTTTTTTTTTTTTTTTTTTTTTTTTTTTTAATTGGTTCATGCCCTGGACCTGAACTAAGAGAGAGTGCCTTGTTCTTTAGACTACACCAAAAAAAACATTGCTGGGATAACCACTAGTGTGAGTAAAGTAAGAATTGCGTTTTGCTAAAAATGGAACTCACTACAGAAGTGGAAAAATAGCAAAAGGAATTTTTGTGAATAAGGCAAAATCAATAATTTTAAAGAGCTCAAGCTATCGAAAATCCCAAAATGCACTTGAAAAGCTGTCTAATTTCAAATGTGGCTAATTTTAAGTCAACATTTTCTGTGATATCCTAGTTATTTTTTCTACTTTTGAGAGATAAATATTCTTAGAATGAATAATCTTTCAGACAATAAAGCTTTTATGATTTGATGATATATAACCTCTGTTGTTTGATTTTATTAACTTTTTCTCAACACAAATAGAGCTGAGCTCGAAGACACTGTAGGTGGCTTTGTGAGGTTGTAAGAAACTTTTGAAATTAAACAACATCAGATGTTTCAAAGTAACACACCTACAGTGTGTTATGACAATATTGCAGAAATGTGATTACAGGAGTGTCATTGGCAAGGTTATCCAAACAGACATATTAAGGAGACCAATTGGACTGCTGCAATAATTCATTACATAATTTTAACGACAATGTTCTCTATCAAGAATACACAATAAACTACCCATTATAAATTTTTTTTATTTACATAGAACAATTGAACCTTGCAAGAATAATTTAAGATTTGAAAACGATAAAGAGTAAACATAAAAACGATAATACATAAAAAAGATGATCTATCTCACAGTAAGACTTTTAATAAGATTGAACAATTCTTTAACAGCTTTGCTTTGATCCTTCAGCTATAGGCATAACAAGGGGAAGTTTGGGGGAAGCAACCTCCCCAACCTGTAAATTTATGACTATGCATGGCTGTTCAGTTCTATTCCCAGGAAGAGTAAAATGAACTCTCGGACCTCCCACAAAAAATCCAGCTTTGTTTACGCCGCGGACCAGCTTTGACAGACGTTGTATTACATACATAAGAGTCGTTTCCATGGCGCTATCAGGCGCTTTGTGACGCCGAACCGCCACAAAGCTTGGTCCTCCCATAACTAGTCAGGGAGTTGGCATTCCCTCATTTCATTTAAAACCCCCTGTTGCCGCCCTTTCACTGGGCCCCTCCCATGTTGTACTAAATGTCGCAATATATAACAAAATGTAGAGCAGTGCTGAATCCACACAATTATGCGGGAAAATCAAAGCCAAAAAATTCAAAAATTATAAATAAGGGTCACAAAATGAGCTCTGAGGAGTTTCAGTGCAAGACTAGAGAGGCGACAAGAGGGGGAAAGTGTTTAGCTCAGGCATATGCATTGGAATACTAAACTGGGGGCTGAAAGATCTATATCGATTTGGGTCTTCTATGACCTCATCAGCAGACCACACTTAGGGTGATCCAGCCTAGGTTGCCTAGGATTTTGCAGGATCCTATGCAGGGCTCACTGGCCAAGTGTAATCTGTTGATGAGGCCTAAGAAGACTCAAACCGGCATGGATCTCTTACTATGACCCCTTGTAGTGTTCCAAAGCATCTGCTTGGGCTGAACACTCCTCTCCCCCCCCCCCTCAATTTTGCACCGACACTCATTGGCTTTCATTTTGGGAATTATAATTTTTGGATCTTTTGGCTTTGATTTCAGACAAAAAACTATGAACCCAGCACTATTCTATCTTCCTTTTACTTACACTATTTGGGCCACATTTTTTGTTTCATTTTTTTTATTGTAAAATGTTGCCAAGGCAATGAAGTTTTTTAGGAGGAACTTTTCCAAGGAACTTTTCATTGTTTTTCTGTTCACCAACTTTTTTTAACATATTTTTACACATAGATTATCCAGAATCACTCTAAGAAATATTAGCAAACCGTTATTTGGACCACATTTTGCAACCAGGAACTACAATTCCAGACTTACCCTTAGAAGTACCTACCTGCATAAGGAGACTTAGGGTACATATGCTGCTTCTAACAAGTGCCAGAAATTGTAGTTCCTAATAGCAAAATGCAGTTTATTCGATTTTAAGATGATCAAATATAAAAGGAAGCAGACTTTATGATTACAGTGGTGTGTATTTTCTAAAAAGTCAACTTGACACAACTGAGTTACAGGCGACAACAATGTGAATGGACAGTAACCCCTCGCCTAAGATCTGGATGAAAAAAGGAGCATGTCTAATCCAAGAAATAAATGAAATACACAGAATTAAAAAAATTAACACCCATTGACAATTTGCAAAAAAAAAAATAGGGTCCAATAGAGATACAAAAAATAAACAAATACTCAGAAAGTAAATTAGACTAAAGGACTACACATGGAATACCAAGTAATTTGGCACCAACTAAATTTTAATATTATGTATTTTATTTTACCTATGACCTTCTTAGCCTAATGATCTCTTCAAATCAAACTTTGTGTGCCAATGTCCAGAAAAGTATGGCTCAAAAGTTAATTTAGACGCTGCGCCGCACACTGTTACCATTTAGAGGAATTGGATTTTTTTCATCCGTCTTCTTTTTAGCCTTCCACAAAAGCTCTTCTCAATCACCAATATAGTGTTGCAACCTTTCTGCTAAATAAGGCAAGTAGAAATAATAAAAAATTCACTATTCAGCCCTGCCTTCCTCTAGATTGGCACATAGAAAGTTTAATTATGAAAGGTCATTCTGCTCAGGAGGCCGTGAGGCACATCATATCAAATAATAGTAAAATTAAGCCGGTGCTGAATTTCTTGGTACTCCGTACCTACACAGTCCTTTCTCCCATTTTTTCATACACTGCAAGTCTGGGTCAAAAGTATGATTTTAAAATTGTTTGCCAATACTTCCAGAAGTTTGGACTGTGAGCCCAACTCTTGTGCTATACGACCATTAACTTCTGCACTGCCAAGGTGGTGGGTCCACACCATTTCATGGGGAAAACAAAGCCAAGAGAGTTCTCCACCCTGTTGAATACAGTTTGGGCCACTTCTTAGTGTTTTTTTTTCTATCTCTCCTCTGTGCTACTCAAACAGAGAAAAAGGAAGATAAGAGTGGTATCTGAAGCTGTAACTTGGTGTAGGATTTTTTAGCATCAATAATCCTCAGTTCATTAAGCGCAAAAATTTAGAGACTCACGCTTAAGTGTGCTCGGTGTCAGTATGTATCATTCTCAAGGACGACACACAAATTACTCCTTCAATTGGACTCAATCATGCTTAAACTTTCAAATTAGGTATAATTGGAAGAGAAGTGGATGGCAATCATCAACACGTATGGGACACGACGATTGGCTTAGAACTTAAATCACAAAGCTGTTGATGAATGTTAGCCATTTCCATGTACAATGACAAAATTAACACAGCCTTAGAATTTCACGAACAACATAGTGTGATGAGAGAGGTCGCTCTCACCTGAACTTAAGATAGAAATATAAAATGAAAAAAACTAGCATTGAGAAGAGAAGCAAGTAGCATATAGGGTAGTTTTTCCCACTCTTAGCAAGTCTTTTCACGCGGTTCATTGTGTTACCCAGGAAGCCACCAGTTCGGTCGAATTCGTTGTCCAGATCTCTCAAGTGTTTGTTTTGATCCCTGACCTCTGCTCCAATATCAATTGTCAGTGATTTCAACGCAGAAATTTTATTGCGAAGGTCTGATGTCATCTGTTCATTGGTTTCTTCCAGATTATCACCCGTATCATACTGGCTGTGAGTTGGGAGAGGTTCATAGTAGTTTCCTGCGTGTGCTCGCCTCATTTTTCTTTCTGTAAAATACAAATCAAAAGTTACTGCAAGGACCAATAAATCAGCACATTTATCTACTCAATCTCTAGGGGTTAGTCATATTTGTATAAGCAAGTCGTAAAGGAGATGTTCTATGAGGTAGTCAAGGTTCTAACCTACAGGCACAAAATTCCGATTTTGGGGCCATCAGCCAGTAAGTATAAGTGACACTTTTCCACTAAATGAGACATACAGATTTCAGACTGCAATTACAAAGGAAGAAAATCACTATCATATTCCGAGAAAACGCAGCAACACAAAAAGCTTCATTTTAATGCACAAGTTAGATTGTTTGCACTGTTTCTGAGTCTAGGTTCGGAAGTTCGTTTTGACAAATTTGATTCAACAACAGATTGTTGAGGTGATTCATACCAATTAGTGCATGATAAGGCAACAATTTTATGTGGTTAAAAACCTGTATTCATTTCTGCAAAATTTGATATTTTATATGTCGATGATAAATCTAAAGACTCTTTCTCTGAAGGCTGCGTTCTCTTTCAGTTAAGAAGCTAGAATCTGCCTGGACTTTTAACTGAATTAATGCAATAAATTGTACACCGGTTTGACCATGCTGAGACCTAGAGCCAATTTATGTTTAGGAGTAGATGATTGAAGGCTGGTTGTGACTGAACGTCAGAACTGGAAAGGTCGGAAGGTTGGAAGTACGTACAGCCGTGGATTGATGATGATGATTGATGATTTGAAAGTGTAAAAATTGATATATGTGCACATCAATGGGGTCATTGACAACAAATTGCGTAGCATTGAGCAAAATTGAAGTGTATGTAATAAAGATCATCCACTCTACCACTCTGCGCTTCTTACAGTTGACACCTTATACCACAAAATTAAATTGAATGCAAATACTTCTATAGAAATGTGACAAATAATTACAGCAACAAGGAGGTGAGGAGTGAGAAATTGTTACAGGGGGAATAAGTATACCTTTAAATAAATCCATCCACAAATTCCACGATGAAAGTTCAGGATGCCATGTCAATTTTGACTATTGCTCTACTTGAATTGGCAAAAGTCTTGTAGAGAGGTGTTCATTTTGTTCGAAAAACGATTAAATAGATAATCCACTTACAATTTCACAACAAATTAAGTCTAAAAACTGACGAAAGACGAACAGACGAGGAAATTGAAATGACGTGACGTCTAAAATTTGACGTGGTCTGACGTTTGTTTACTAATTTTCTGCCATCGATGACTCACCATTCAACGGGAAACGGCATTTTTACTTTGAGGTTACAATTTGTGTTTAGTTGTTTGATAATTTAGCTTTCTCCACCTAAGTTTTATACTATGAAACTTTTATTATTTGTCTTTTCAACCTCAATATTTTCAGTGCTCCATTGCTCCATACATTCTTTTATTCCTTCGATCACATGTCCGGTTTAGTTTTTCATTATTCTCTTTTGACGGTTGTATGGGCCTTTGAGTTTAAATCCATCCAGTGATTGCTCTCATCAATAATAATAAAAATAATACGTTTATTTCACTTCAAGGTTTTACAAATTTATGCAGGAAAAACAGCGCAATTCAAAGTAACATAACTATATCACAAGCATTCCATCTCATTATTCCCTCGTCTTTTAATTTGCTCGGCTCCTCATGAGCAGTTGACTCCAGCGATGTTGATAGTTTAAAGCAAACCTTTTACTTATATCACTCAGTATTTCTTCACTCTGCTACAAACCTCATTTAGTGGCTGTGGAATTCACTGGCAAATTCAGCATTTTCTAGCTGGCAAATTGTTATCTTAACCATTTTTAAACGGAGCTCAGGCATCATGTTTTGGAGCAAGGGTCTCCTCAAGGAAATGAAGGAGAGTAGTGTCTATGAAGATAAAGAAATAGCTGTAATACGGGACAAATTCCCCAAAGCAAAACATCACTTTCTAGCTCTTCCAAAAGCAGACATTAAGAATTTACAAGGGCTTAACAAAAGTCATGTTCCTCTTCTACAGAAATTGGAAAGTAAAGGATTAGAAGTTGCCAAGGATCTAGGTGACAAAACTGCAACTTTTAGGTAAGTTTTAACAATGACAGGATCTGGACATGAAAATAATACCTAAGTTTCAAACTTTGAAGGATTAGTAGAACTTCAAATTTTCCACTCTTAAAATCCTTGAATTTTGTAATTAAAAAACCTCTCATGCAATTGACACCATCCAAGCAAAGCAATCTTACTACAACTGTGCTGTGATAGGGTTAAGAAAGCTGCAATATTGCATCATAATGTTACTTCTGCACTTCTTTGTAACGTTACTGGGCATTACCGCATCAACATTGCAGTGCATTTGCATTGCAATATATACTTCTGAAGGATTGCAACATTTCTTTCCATGCATTAAAGCTTGTCTTCTGAAGGATTTCATTTATTCCAATTTTTGTGCGTTCTGGTGTTGAGGAAAACTTGTCTTAAATGCATCGTAGTTGCTTTTGAGTTCATTAATTTTTTTTCAGTCAAATGCAGCGTAATTTTAAAACTTGCTCCAACTAATGTTTTTCCTCTGTGAATGATTCAGACTTGGATATCATGCAATACCATCGATGGAACGACTACATTTACACATAATCAGTGATGATTTCATCGCAATTGGCTTGAAAACTAAGAAGCATTGGAACTCTTTCACAACTGAATTTTTCATTCCATCTAAAGGTAGGCAAATTATTCAAAACAACAAAATTTCCCATCTACTGTTTTCAGCAAAGACTTTCTCGTCAAATTAGGGCCCTCATTCTTCAGTCCACCAAATTCAGACCTTCTCTGATTGGCCCTAGGAAGTGAATGGGCCACTTCCAAAAAATGCAAGGGTCGTCCGTGTACCTAGTACGGTTTCCTCTTTTATATTTTTCGGAAGGTCTGAGATAAATCAAATTAGTTAGAAGGTATATGACATGCTTAGTCTCAGCCTTAAAATAACCCAAGTTTTGAAAATTGGTCAAATTATTTGCAAAAAAACTGAAATTTTACGGAAACAACCCTCCGCCTCTGTGTGTCCACCTCTTGTTGTGATCGTACCAATTTCCCCTCCCAAGCAATGCAAAGGCCCCAAGTGAAGGTATTAAATTTATTTTCATCCTCATATTCTTAGCCTTGTTTTGGTATTGGCTCAACATTTTTGAGCAACAGGGTTGCCAAAAAGTAAGATTCTTTCTGCAAAGATCTGCATCTACAGCTCGTGTTCTCCATGAAGCTTCGTACGAGACTGCATGGATCGCAAGTGTCCCTTTCTGCCAGTGAAATCATATTCTCAGCCTTCCAAATATGAAATAAATTTTTTTTACAAATATACTTGCATAAATTTATTTCAGAGAATTTTATGCAACGGTGGAGTTTTGCACCAGAGATACCTGATTCAAGTCATGCCAATAGGGGAACATGAGCAGCAAATCCTTGCCAAAAAATTCCATTATCTTGCTGACCACTGATTTAAAATGTTGAACTGAATTTGAGTATCAAAATAAATGAAACGCCGTAGCTAGCTTTCAGCAGTCTTTGCCTGTGAGGGAAAAATTTGATGTGATGTGTTAGGGCACTGGGAATTGGGCAAGCAAGGGAGAGGGAGTTAGAAGGCTGTTTCTGCAAAATTGAGTTTTCTCACAAACCCTCCACTGATTTTCAGAAACTTGGACTTGTTTCAAATGTGAGAAATGTTTGGATTACATCTCTTTACCAATTTAATTAATTTTTTTTCTTCCAAGAGACATGCAATGGGAAACCGTTCTCTACTGATGACTTCAATGTAAATTGATTTAATAGCACCTCCAATTGGAGGCCAGTATTCTGATTATTCTAGCAGGAAACTTTCAAGAACCGAAAAACCTGATGTTTCTTGAGTGCTATGGAGTTTTGAAACAAATTAATACGTACGTTTTCATTCATAAGTAAAACCCTGAAGTTGCAGCTTTGTAGTTGGAGTTTACTCACAAGGATATACTACTCTCATAATTTGACCATGCCCCTAACAGCTCCTTTAGTACTTAAAAAAAAATGTAAGAAGTCTAAAACAAGTTACCTGCATCATTATTATGAAATATGCATCAGTTCATATTAAAGGATAATAACTTATTCTTGAGTTCCTCATTTTGATACTATCTTTACCATTAAATCACATGGAAATTCTCATTTCAAATGTGAAAACTGTATAGCTTTTTCTATGTCTCCTTGTTGCAGAGATAATTACTCGCTTGGACAAAGAAGAAAAGATCACAATCAAACAGGATTTTTACAAGAGTCAGTTGCTGCGACCATTACAGTGTCATAAATGTTCCTTCATGCCCCGAACGATGCCTGAATTAAAAGATCACCTCAACAAACACATCACTAATAGTCAATCATAGGTAATACCCAGTACCTCAGATTTCGACTGATTGCTAAGTCAGATCTAAGTTTGAATCTTCTTGTATCTGTAAATATATAATATTCAATTGAATTCTCACAAAATTTATTTTTGAGACCCAGGCTTCAAATATGAACTTCCGAAAGTTTTTGTTTTTTGTAGTTAACAACAATGCTAAATTTGAAATGCATCCTGCTGAGACGCAAAAACTCAAAACAATGGAAAAGGGAAGGCTTGTCCAAAAAATAACTGCCCAGCATACGTCGTCATTGAGTCACATTCAGATCCAAATAATGATCAAGATGTCTAGTTATTCTCCCTCGTTGCACATCAAAATTTCTAATTCGGTTTCAAAGAATTTGACTCTTTCATATGTTTGATTTAATATTTTTTATACCATGTGTTTTTTACCTAGTTTTCCTTTACTCACTTATTTAATGTTTTTCCAATCCCAATTTTTTTTCCCGTAACATTAAGATTCTACATACGCCTGTAAGAAAAAAGAAAAAAAAATCAGGAGAATGAAATAATATGATAGAATTTTGAGTCATGTTCCCACTAAATTGCAGCTGAAAACAAATTTAAGAAATGAAGGAAAATGAGGAAGGTCAATTTTAAATCAATGACATAAAGGCTTATTTTTAATACAAAAATATTTATTATATATATATGCGTGTATGTATAAATACTTTTGGTTTCCATTACACATTGAAAGCATCGTCAATTTATTTTTAGCGGGCTAAAATACATAAAGTGCTGGCAAAATTATTTTAAAATTCATTCAAATGTGACTTAGATGGTTCAAAAGGTTATTTGTAGGTGAAAAATGTTACTCCAAAAAGCTACGAAGATGTGTGAAAAAACACATACCACATTCTGCCTCATATCTGGAAGTTAATCTTAAAAAACTTGATTCAAAATGAATCAAAAAAGAAAATAGGAAAAGCACAAGAGAAATATTTAGCTTCTGAATTTTACAATTTTAGACTTAATCGCCAAAATGATTTTACCAAGAAGTAGAGAAAATGCTGGCGATAAGTTAACAAAAGAGGTTTTTGATAGACTTTTAACAACATATTTTTCCCAGGCTCTGAATAACAAATATTTAAGAAAATAAATGAGAGTAACTGGAATTTCAATAAGCTCTAGAAATGCCCCCAAAATTGAAATTGATTCCTTTTTCACTGAATCGGGTCTTGATTATTCATGGTCTATAAGTTCCATCTCTCTTCAGGTTTAGAGGTTCTGTCAATCGAATGTTGATCAGAGACCTGATGTGTAACCTGAACACCAAATGTATCAAATTAAATGAAGAATAAAATAATCAACTTTTTTCTGATTTTAAAGAGCATGTTATTTTACACTTAAAATAAACTACTCCATAAATTCTTAGAGGTTTCTAGAGACAATTTTTATTATCTACAAGTTTCAAAATGATCATGAACTTTGAGCTGAAATTCACAACTCTGAATACTTCCAAGAAACTTCCTGCACTATTCGGTACCTGTTTTGACTCCAAATACAAACTTACACTACGCGAAAGACACTTTTTTTTTCTTTCCTTTTTATAAAAATGAAAAACGTCATAATTGAAAACCATCAAATTACGACTGGAGAGGAACTTTGGACAATTTTCTGCCCCTGTTTTTTTTTATTTTAAAAATATCCCCTCACAAACATTCTTTTAAAAAATTCAGCTAACAAAAAGGGGCGTTTGAATTTTTTTGGCACAACTTATTAAAAACAATAACAATGGTTGACAAGTTTTTGACTTGTAGAAATACTTACTTCGATGATTTGTTCTTGACAAGTCTAATGCTGCACCTTTATATGCACATCATGTTAAATAATTATTGGTTTCTGTTGGAGCAATTATAAAATTCAGTCTTAAATACAATAAGTTAATGGGGTACTTTCCTCCAACAAGATTAAGACCCTGAAAATTTATTAACTTATAGTGGACAAACTTCCCCTTAAAATAATGTTAACTAGGCAACAGCTTGCGTTTGGGGAAGCAAACGCATTGGATCCAAAATCAGGAGTACTTACGCTCCCTTAGGATTTGAAATCCTAATTTTCCAGATGCAATTCCAAGTCCATAGTGCCCTTGAACAAACATTTCTAAAAATTGCGTTGATCAAACTATACTAAAACAGTGGTCAATGTACACTATTTGGTAGCTTGTCCTTGTTGCCTCATTATGCTTATCAAAGAATGAAGACTTTCAGTATGGTGAATGTGAGTAAAAAAAGATACTACAATAAAGGCTGAGGTTCCAAACTCTAAGCATACTTCCCTCTAAATTTTTTGAGGTCATCTAAGAGAAAAAGATTAAATTTATAACTTGGATGCTTTTGTTCCAATTCTCTTTTAATCAGATGTTCAGTATTATGCTGTAATGCATCCTCATGTCAAAATACAAAGAATAAAAATACCTGAGCACTTTTAAAGAGTAGTATGTACAAGTTAGCCGAGTTTCAATTGCAACTGTCCCTTTGAAGGAATGAGTTAAAAAAGGGATCTTATGAGTGCGTACTAACAAAGTATCTTAATTCAGTAATATGAAGTATTTCTCATAATAAATTAATTTTATTTCTAGCATTTTGTGTTCTCGAATCATCTGTGGTTTCCAATTATCCTTTCCCTCAATATTCCTATTGGTATAGATTATCACAGAGCTACTTCAAAATGGTTTCTCAGCTGTGTTTATGTGTAAAATTCAAACAAAAGAAAAAAAAAATTGAAAAAACTACTGAAAATAATTCTTTGCAGAATTTTCCTTCTTGACTCTCTTCTATTTGAATTATTTTTCTCAAGTAAGAGGTAAAAATCATTATCTGCTTTTGAATGCTATATGAGATCTAATTCAATCAAAAACAGACACTTACTGACCCTGCAGCCGATATATTGTAAATTAAAACATAAAGATAAATTAGAAATAAAAAACGTTCTTCATTATGGAATGATACAAATTGGAACTGTTTAACACCTGTTCATTGTACTTCTTTTTCAATTTTTTTGTTGCAATAGTCTTTCTCTTACATAATGCAAAAGTGATTTTTTGTTAGTTTGTTTTTGTTTAAAAAAAATAAAAAAAAGATCAAATATGCAATCGACAGCATTTGATGTTGAAGAAATAAGTTACGAGGGGTGTTCAACAAAGACTGTCGGAGGTCTCTGCACAGGTGATAGGATTGCAGTGGTGCAATTTTGTGAACAGCATATGAAAGTAGTCAGCACTACTCAAAGGTGTGCAAAATTTTTAAGTTAGAAAGCGCTTCTGTATTATGTCTCACTCAGTTGAAGTGGGTGTATCGGATTTTGCCTCCAGAGTTTCTTGAAGCTCCTCTGCAAGAGCAGCAGTATATTACTACGCGATTAAGTTGTTGTCATAACTCAGTAAATATATAGGTAAGACTTATGTAAAGTAAAAAAAACTTACGAAGGTGGTGCTATGTTAAATAGATCCTGTCTGGGGTAGTTTAAAGATCTCAAATAGTCCTGAACTTAGGGGTGGTCCTGGCATTGCTGTTGAAGCTTTAATAGTGAAGATTATCAACTATGAAGGTGTGTTCATACAAACAGACGCTTTCTATACTCACTTATTGGTGGGTGGGGCTTTTGCACTATCGCGCAATTATCTAAACTTTACTAATATTTGCACTAGGTGGGTACCGCTGTTGTTGACTCCCTTTCTTAGCACTGGCTTAATGTTGCAGCAAGTGCCACGGAGTTCCTGGTCAAGAAAACTTTTAAAATGGTACATCATTAATCTTAAAGTCAAATCTGACGCCAGACAACTTTTTACTAGATTATCAAATCAAAAGTCACCTAAAATATGAACATTTTAATTCTATAACTGCAGTAGAAAAAGTTTTTGGGGCCAACCTCAGTCAACTGGTGAAGCGTGGTTTTGAGCCTGTGTTCAAGGAGTGGCGAAAGCATGGGAAAAAATGTATTGCGATTGGAGGTGATTAAATTAAGAGTCAACAAGTCGACATTGGCTGACTCTTGCAAGACGACTGATGAGTAAAAGTTTTTCTGCAAAATATTATGTAATTTCCAACAGTCTTTATTAAACACACATCGTGGTAATAAATAAAATCTGTAGAAGATGAGGAACCTTTACATTGTTTGCATGAAAAATAAATGCAATGAAAAAAATAAGAGCGAAGAAACTATTGAGTATGTCAAGCAACGTTCAATACTAAATTGAAATATATTATGTCTTTTTACCCATAATTTTTAGTATAAAATTCTTTTTGTAGGATAGATAAATGTAATTGAGTTTGAAGCTTGTATGCAGAAAAGTCGTCCACCAAAGTATGAACTTTTTGGAAGGAACTGAAACTGCATATGAATTCAAAGAAGTTTTTTTACATGATGAAGTTCCTAAAAATACAAAATGTTAGGTACAAGCAAAATCACAAATCAAAACTTGCACTGACGGCCGGGTGTTTGATCAAAAGTGGCTATGATAAAATGAACCTTTTTACCAAGACAAAATAAAACAAATTGTTCCCCCTCGTTGCGACTGGCAACATGAAAAATAGTGAAAATAAAAAATTTAAAAAAAAATAAAAAATCATAACTAGCTTGGATGTTGGGACAGCACGGTCATTGATGATCATCATAAAAATAAAAGCAGATAAAGTAAAAACAAAAAAGGGATATGTCTTAAAAATTAAAAAAGTTTGCTGCACACTCCGAAAAAAAGGGGATGCTGACTTAACATTCTGGATGTAACAAAGTGTGCGACAACTCACAAAACGCTGAATTGACCGCCACAGCAGTTAGTTTTACATCTCGACATTGCTATAGTAACTGCTGGGGCGGTTAATTCAGCGTTTTGTGAGTTGTCGCACACTTTTTTACATCCAGGATGTTAAGTCAGCATATTTTTTTTCCAGTGCATTAAAGTGAAGATGATTTGAAAACAGGAAGCAAAGTAAGAATATTTAAACTGACAAAAAAACATTCTTTGTTTGCAGCAACATTTTATCAAATAGACAGTATGCCAGCATTGCTGTTTCATACCAAATGCTGATTTGCATAAAATTGCTCACATATTCACCTCTTTAGTAGCTAAATTATTTAGATTTGAATAATATGTGGCATGAATATGCTACATGGTATGAGGAACATGTATACTTGGATGGTGCAATGGATGTTAGTACTTCCAAGAAAAGCTCTTTTTGCATTTAACACCACAATTTGCAAATTATAGTCTTGATGTCATGTTCTCACTGATATATTTAGTGCAATTGTCTTACTCCCATATCTTCAGGAACAAAAAAATAAAATACATGGACGTAGAAGAGCATTATAACAGAGCTTAGGAAATAATAAAATATTCAAAATATATATATAAAATGCGAGTAAATTAATACAAAACAAGTAGGTAACTAGAGAGAAACATACTACTGGAGCATCTACAAATAATGTAACACCTCAGTGAAGGGAGAGTGTGATTGAATTATTGCTGATCTATAATGGAGATTAAAGCTCCACAGTTAAATTCAACCGACTCAGTCAATTCTAAAATTACTCTTTCAGAGAATTAGCGCCCCACTCACTTGCTCACTTGCTTCACATGGCTCAGCTTCAAACTTTCGAATGAGATTTCCTCAAAACTCACTTTTTGCTTACGTTCCCCTATTCAGGGACTATTACTTAATTAACATTGGTTAAACATAAAAAATGCAAATGATATCATTGGTATAATTCAACTGCCACTTGATTTGAGTTGAAAATATTTCTTGATATCCGAACCTCTCGTTGTGTGAGTCGTTGTCAACATAAGGTTTTGAGTAGAAAATGTGACAATTATTCCTAGTTCAGGCCTTGTATGGTGGCCCATTACCAACAAAAAACAAGAGCCATCCTGCACCAAAATAAAAAAATGTTGAAACTTGAACAATGCTAAGCCAATCATTATTGTTGGGATAAGCTTTCCTAGACCAGCTCTTTGGTCTTTCTGAGGGCATGTGTTCAACGGCCAAACCTTATTTACATAATACATGGAAAAAAATTCCATTGACCAGAGGAAAACAAAAAAAAGGAATAAAACGGCAAGAAATGTCATCTTGTCGGGAATATTCAGTAATTTGGTCCAACTTTGAAGGCTGAAGTGATTACGAGGTAGGCAATTGAGTTCAAGACAATACCTAGGGATCGTCTTTCAGTTATTAATAAGTAATACAAAAAGTAGTCACTAAAGTTGCAGGTTTTGAAGAGTTGTTCACTGTCCAACTGTCCTAAAATTATTTTTTTTGGCCCTAGTCTACACAGGGGAGGAAAAAACTGAAAAGACAGGGTGTTAAATGCTTTGAAGATGCTCCTTAACACTCAAGAGAAAAGAAATAGACGAGTGACTCAACAATCAAACGGTGAGATCACTCATATTGATATACAACATATTTAATAGTTAGTCTTAAATTCATGCCCCTGAATTTTAGATTGAAATCAGCAAAAGGTTTTAATTCTAGAGAAAAATTCATGCAGAGGATTTTGGTCTACCCCAGATAATAGTGATCTAGCTTAAAAATATATTTTACTTGAATTTTTTAAAGGTGGAAATGATCAGTTGAAGTACGTATTTACTTATTGGATTTAGACTGAAGCTGTAAACACTCTCCACTTTGATTCATCTTGCTACAATATGCGTTCACATTTCTGTAAAGCAACCAACCACAATTCACATCTTTTGGAGAGGAATTTCCATTTGAGCAGGATTAGAAAGAGGATAACAGATTCAAATTTACTCAAGCAGAAAACGCAACTCGATGTCACCAATCTAAACTGTTGGAATATTATTAGTATGCTGATGTCTTCAGCCACATCTGCAACTCAAGAAAAAAAACTGAAAATATCATAGTGTTTGATTATCCACGATAAAAACCTTCATGCTTACATAATTTAACCTCCTTTTGAAGATTTCTAAAACAAAATTGGTGATGGCTAGATCAACTATGAAACCTGCTACAAGGAAAGCCTTATCAACATTAAACGATTTGATTCTTCATGACACAAAACATAAGAGGGACAGATGGTAATAGCCCCAGAACCACTTTTGCTTGCCTATATATTAGTCGCTTGAAACGACTAATTCTTTCCAAATTTTGAGGATACATTGCCTGGTAATCTTCTAAGTTACAGCTGATTTTGTAAAATTTGAGGGGAAAATTAACAAAATACTCGCACTCAAGAATGCACCTTCAGCTTGTCAGTTTTACAGGTTGCATAAAACTGACATCAAAAACATAAATAAATAAAACATTGCAAATGGAAACTTATAAGAAATAACCAAAAAGCTCCAATTTGATCTCAATGCAGTTTTAAGAAGATAAAAAACATAAAGATTCAATCTTATACAAAGAAAAAAAACATATCTTACAAATACAAACATGGAAAGAAGGATACAGTTGAGTGGCTACAACTTGTTATCGGTGTTACGATGCCTTATCATCAGCAAGCTGATAGTGGTGCTTTCTCAGGGCTGATAATCGCATTCGCTCTTTTTCAAGACCACTTTCTAGCTCCAGAACTCGTACCTGGGATTCCATTTCTAGTCGCTTGGCCTGATGAAGAGACAAGCTCGCAATGTCTAACTGATCCTCTGTAAAAATAAAATGGTATCATGATGTTACTTAATGGTGATTTGCAAGAATTGTTGCTCGTTTTTTATGAGTCTTTTGATTGTCAAGATGTCTTTTGAAGTTTTAATAGTTTTACAAATGATGCGTAAGTTATGATGGAGCTAAAATAAGGGTGAGAGTAAAATTTTTTAGTTACCCTTAAAGTTATAAAAGAATTGAGCTTACTCTAATTCTCACAACTTTTCTATGAAAAAAAACAAACAATTTGTTAGATCATAAACGAAGGTTGATCATTTACTTTGCCTTTATGACAGAATCATGATGTGGAAGTCAGGAGCATCATTGTATGTAGTTCTTCATTTGTTTTTTTTGCTTGTAAAAACCTGTATCAGAGTGCCACATAAACTAATCATAGCTTCTAAATAAACCCATGGGTATGGGCCAGTGATAGAGGCTGTTGCAAAACCAGACGTGCAGAAAATGCTCGATCACATGAAAACAAAGAGAAGCCCTAAAAATGTGGAAAAGAGAAAAAGTTTTCAAGGGTTAAAAAATTTCCTACGTTTTGGTCTCATTCAGCCTACAGATTCTTGATACTAATGCATTGCTGTAGACAATCTAATGAATGCAGTTTAATCATTTAAGATGAGTGACATCCTGTAGATACCCTGAATAAATTCACAGCGCGCAACTAAGCAATTGAATAAAATTATAAATCTAGCCTCTTAACCGCATGGCATTCAATAAAAACGCAACATATAGTATTGACGAGAAAAAAAAAATGTTAATATTTTTTAAAGTGGTGGGAAATTTTGTGGCAAGTCAGTTAACGGGGAAAATATGAATGCCTGGAAGATTCTGCATTCCTGAAATGAAATGCTGCATTTTATGCGATTTTTGTTTTTCTTGGATTGCCTCTCTTGCAATCCAAATAGAATGTTTCTGTTGTAATCTAAAGATGTGTCTTTAAACTTTAATACTTTATTTTTCAGAGCTACGTGCTTGATTGTATTGATTCTATTTTGGAAGTCTAGTGGCCTCCATTTTCTCAATCATGCTTTTACTAGGAAAACTAAGATCTACAAACCTGAATCCTGAACTAAAATTCTGCATGCTTTAGATGTTGCAACAACAGTGCCTGTGGCATGAGTAACATCGCGCGAGGCAGCAGACAGAGCGGCCAAATTATCACTTTGACGATCTGCTTTAACACGACTGGCCACCACTAGCTGAGCTGTACTCGCTGCAACCCCTTGGGCAGCAACAACGACTCTCTCTAGCTGTCCATTTTCACAGACCACTTGATCAGCTGCATCTCTGAAAAATGATCAAATGTTGTCAAATATCACATGTCATCCAATAAAAGCTTTAAAAAAACAAAATTATTGCTTTTCCTTTGACATTTGAAATGCAATTTTTGTACAGAGACAGAACCTCTGTGAGTCAAATAATTTAAACTTCAAGAAGTAGATTAATTTAATTATGTGTATAATTGATATATTGATCCCTAATCAGGAAGGTTTTCCGCGTGAAATGAGCCCAATATCAAGTGTATACGCTTCTGGTTAAAATCCGAGCAATTTTTGGGCTTTTTAGGAGCCTAAAACTTTCATGGTGCAACCGGTTTGCTCTGCCAGACCTCCAATTTCTTTTTCCCGACCAAAATCCGCTTCGAATGAGATGGGTGGCAAATTTACATTATTCCAGTTAAATGAATCGTCATGAGCTCTCGGTCTATAGAGATGGTTTGAAATTGCCGAAGTAAAGTACCTTATTAAGAATTTAAACTACATAACACAGTTTGTCAGCATGTTTCTGCAGATTGTAACATTATACTTTGAAAAATATCTGCAATTACCAAAATAAATAATTCGACTAGAAATGGAAATAACTTACAATAGATATTTGGCAGAGCTTCCTACAGCTTTTGCGGCAGATATTAAACCTTCCGTCCACTGGTGATTTCTTTTGTAAAATTCTTTGGCTCCCAGGGAGGACTGAAATACGACATAGTAAATTAAATTGCAAGATCTCTACAAAATACCAACACAAGAAACTAGGAAGCAAATTCATTTTTATCAAACAAGGAACAACAAAACCTGGGAAAGTAGTTTTCCCACATTGAGGGCCATCCCTAAAATATGTAACGCACTTTTTCGGCATTTTTGATCCCCCTTCCCCCATGTAACGTTTTTTTGACGAAAGTCCCTTTCTTTCAACACATGAAAACAAAATGGCGAGACGCTTTCCTAGACCCCCCCTCCCCCTTAAGCGTTGCGTACTTTAGGGACAGCTACTTGACAGCTAATTTTAAAACTGATATGCCCAGTATGCACAAGTAGGCAAAGTTTGTTACAGTGTCTATCATTTTCTCAACGTATTTGGAAATAAAAGGGTAAAGACAGAAACATACAAAGTAATATAATACATACAAAGAATTATACATAATTGACTTCTATGATGAAGAATCTTATTGCTCATTAGATTATGAGAACATGGATTGCATAGAACCGAGTAGTCCGATCTATAGGCCCAGTGCGGCACGCACTTAATTCCTCTGATGCTGTGATAGGTCCATGGGCTCTACAGCTAATAGCTGTAAAAATACGCTCTCGCAACACTGCCTGGCACGCAATCAACACTGATTAGAGCATATACAGGCCCTTTGCAACGACCACAAAGAATTTCAGGACAGAGCTTTTTGACAGAGGTGGAGGGGGAGGGGGAGGTTGTCCCTCGGTAACTATTGAAGGACACACAATGCTGATAATTGATATAAATCATTTTTTTTACCTTTCTGTTGGCTCTTCAAAAATACATCCCCTGGCAAAATAATATGTATAACTTCTCTTGACCATTAAGAGGGTCTCAAAGAATCAAAGGCCTAATTTATTACGTTCTTGCTGAGTCATTAAGAAAAATTGGTGAAAATAACATTTGATACAGCTCATTTTTGATAGGCTCATTGATAAACATTAATAAACATTTGATAAACATTTGATAGGCTCCTGCACTGTTGTAACACATGCAAAAACGCTGCAGCACACAATGTGTTAAAAATGTCTGAAATACTACTCATTTGGAATAACTTAAAAAGCAGGTACAATTCGTAGAGCCTCATTTAATCGTTTAAACAAAGAATACATTAACATCAAAGTACAGGAAAAGATAAAGGTAAAATATTGTTCAAAAAATTAAAGGTTGTTTCCTTCAACATTATGATTTAAAAGTTAGAGTAAGTAAAATCCTTAAATAGTTGGTACTATATTTTCATTTGACATCCTAAAACTACCTTCTATTTTTACTATAAAATGGGTAAACTCTTTGAAAAATTCAAATACTTACAGTATTACTGTGAGCAACAATCTCTGCTTGTAAAAGCTTGGACTTCTGTACCAGGACACGTATTGCTTTCATTAAGTTGGTGCAAGAATCGAGTATTTTCTCATTCACTTCCAGTTTAATGCCAGAATCTTCTTTCCTTGACTGGCTCAACATAGCCTAAAAATACACACAAATGACATGAGAGGGGCAGAAAAAATCAATTGAGAAAAAACATGATTACAAATTGACTGCTTATGGCTTGACAGGTTTTGCATGATTCTACTTAAATAAAATATTTTGACTTCAGAAAGTTTTTAGAAGGCGGTAAAATCCAACGTTTTCTTAGCACTTTTGATTGTAAGCGATGCATTATATCTTCCAAACGTCTGAGAGATGAGGGGTTTTTTAAAAGAAAATGATATAAAAATATGAAAATATATTCAGATTGTACCTCCATTTTTAGGGCTGCTTCCTCGATTGCCTTGTCCATCTGCGCAAGTTCATTTTCAACCAAGTCTCCCAAGGATTCTGGCGACTCTCCTGTCTGAATTGCATTTCCTAATGCACTGAGCTCTGAAATTTTACCCCTCAAAGGTGATAGATCCAATGAAGCCAGCAAGTCTTTATGTAACGCTACCAGAATCTTGTTACACTCTTCACCTACCTCCTTGGCCATGACCGCCATACCTGTAAAACAAAGCAAGCTTTTTTAGCAATTGTCTCAAAAATAAAGATAGGTAAAAGTGAAAAAATAAAAAAATTAGGGGTTATATTCTGAACAACAATGGAATCTGGCAATAAACGCACACTTACGTTCTCCCATATCCAGATCAGGTGCCATATTGGACGTTGCTTTTGCATGGATGATAAACAATGCAGCATAGCAAGACAGGGTTGACACATCAATAGGTTTACTAAACTGGAAGCTCTCTAATGCCAACAAAAACCGATCTTTCACGCTGCTTAAATACTCTGGAAAAAAAAATCCAAATTATCATGAGAAAGAAAGAAATGAAAAATGTACCCATTAATTAATCATGAAAAAACGTATCTTCAAAGGTCTCTGAAGTTTTAAATTTTTACTGTATGAAAAATAAATTTTAGAGAACTAAAAATTTTAATGAGTAAAAATGTAAAATTTTGTGACCTAGTGCACAATTTAAAAACGTTCTTTAGTCAGAATTATTGAGCATAGAAGATTTTGTATCATTTTAGTGCTTCAGTGCTTCATCCTTTGCTTCAGTGGCGTGGCGTGCTTTGCGATATATCGATTGTTATACCATTTAAATTTATGAAAAAGGATCGATAAACAGGATGTTCGCAGCGAACACCTTAATAATTGATTCTTTACCATGGGTTTAGACGGCAGAACAATCAATACATCGCAATTCACGCCACGCCACTGCTTTGCTTCTACTTTTTCAGCCCAACAAATGGAAGAACTTACCTGGAGTGCAGGTTATTGCAGATGCTGCTGGATTGTCTACTTGGTCCACTGAATTGCTTACTATTACTCTGCAACGTTCTGTAAAATAGAAGATAAAAATTATCAATAATCTTTCTTTTCAAAATTATGAGAACAAGAATATTCAAACCTTTTATTGAGGCAGTAAATTTCATCTTTATATTTTATTATTAAAGAAGGAGAGTGGTTTTATTACACACTATACAATCCTTTGATATATTTTTAAACATACAAGAGAATAACAAGGATTTTCTCTATCATGAGTAATGCTATAAATAAATTTGAATGTTCAAGTGATCAGTTTTGCATGACAACACAGGATTTCCATTCCACTTGTGAGTAAAAAGAACAAAAACAACATACTGGTTGGGAAATGTGACTATTGGCAGGAGTAAAAAAGTTCTAAAGCACTAGCCAAAGCCCGATCTAACGTTTTTTCATGAAGCCATTTTTCAATTTGCATCACACCCCTTATAAAGCAGAATGTCTGATTTCACAGTGAAATTTTCAATTTACCCCACCTCTTTGAAGTATTGGGGAGGGGGGGGGGAGTCATAATTTTAAAAAATTGCCTCTCGTTTGTAGCAGTTCTGGGATCAAAAGATTGGGCATTTTGTGTATCATGATATTAGGTTTGTCAAAAGCACAATTAGAATTTTTCAGCTTTAGCCATTTCTGAGAGAGGGTATAAAGAAAATTAACTTCCTGAGTAATTCTTGTAATCCCTAAATTTAGATTTTAAAAAATGATCGTGATTATTTTAGTTATTGAGATATATTGAAAATTTTAAAAACAGAGGATGATTGTTTTTCTATAATGAATGTTTGTTGTTGTGAAAAATAGTTGATTAAAAAATGCTACAGCATGTGAGGTTTTATGTATAATAAATAAAAAAGCTCACCAATGAGGGCTCGAAGATGGTTATCTCTTTCATCTTCGACTTGTTTTATTCGTGATTCCATTTCATTCCGTTGAGCAAGAACATCTTGCAACTCACTTTCAATAATTGCTTTTTCATTACATGCCCACTCAACCTTGCAGACTAGTGCCTGAAATAAAGAGAACGAGAAACCAAAATTTTCAGTCAAAAATAATAAATTTTTACGCAATGAAACAAAAAAAATCAGATTTGCTTTCATAAGTGAGCCTGTAAATCTGCCAATCTTCAAAACTCCAGCATACCAAAAGGAAATAATTGCTGCAGTTAAATACAGAAAATGTTTGGCTTTACAGGCATATACATTACATAAATTTTATGAAAAAAAATAAGAAATCAAATCAAATGTCACAAAAAGTGGCCATAGAGAGAGAGAGAGAGAAAAAAATGTGTACCTCATTCTGCTCAGTTGCAGCATCCGCTGTAGCTTGCAATTTCATCAATTCCTCTTCCAGTTTAGTTCTCTCATTAGTTTCAAATTCTATGTTTTTCACACTTGCTAACTGCTTATCAACATCAGCTTTCTGAAACAAGAGTAAGACAGGTTTATTGAAATACAGTGTATTAATATGTAAGGATTCCAGGGTTTTGATGATTTCCTTCGCATCTCTGGATCTTAAATGATTTTATGGATAGAAAAGTTTATTTGTTTTGAAAGAGACGTAATGAGTAAGTTTTATACTCACTTCATAGGGTGCCACAGAAAATTTTAAAAAAAATAGAAAAAAAAAAATTGTAAAAATACATTAATAATTCCAGTGTAAACTAAGTCAAGCACGGAGCGAGAGAAATATATGTACCTATAAATATAAAAATACCATCAGTCTTTTCTAGATAATTTTCCGAAATGACAAAATTCCTTAAAAAAACCTGCAATTAAATTACTCAGTACATCAGATTTTTTTTTTCTTTAGGACCATTTGACAACTAGGGAGGAGACAAAAATGTATGAAGTCATTAAAAACTGAAATCTTAGAGGTATGATTAAAATAATAAAATATGGTTCGCTTTTGATAGTAAGTTAATCATAACACTTAGGGACTCCAACTCTGACATTCTCAGTGCAGTTTTGCTTTTAGATGCTTACTCATTGTCGGTAGTTTCTTTATTGGTGTAGAAAAAGCTAGCTTAACATCTGCTCGACTGATAAGAAATTACTAATATTTACATTGCAACTAATGACTCATTTTGGTAGTTCCATTAATCATGCCATGCTATTCACAAATTGATTCCTGTCTTTCATAATAACTTATTTGAGAGGTAACGAAGAATTTGTGAATAGAATTTTCTATTATCTTAAGGAGCAAACCTGGAAAATAATATACAAATTTTATCCAAAGGACTCAACTGAATACTGAATTTTTTCTGTACAAAAGGAAGGAAGGGAGTGAAGAGAAGGAACAGAAATGTTGAGAAAAGAGAGCCAGAAAATTTTACAGAGGAAAAAATAGAAAATAAATTTAAAAAGACTTTCGAATTTGCATGACTGAAATTATTTTACAATTCTACTGTAAAGGAAAATAATATACAAAGCTTGATATGCAGATACAGGCTGGAAAAAAAAAGGTATAACACCCGAGTGCATTTATTAAAACAAGTAACGAAAAATTAACTGAAACGAGTATTTTAAAAAGGACTAATCAAGTTCTTTGAAATTGCTACAGGAAAAAATCTAGATATCAGCAGTTTTGAAAAGCAGAGAAGCCTTGAGATTGGTGACTAATGAAATGAATTCCTTTTCGGTGTAACGATGATGAAAGCAAGTGAATATTCAACGATTTCATTGACAAATTTATTTTCACAGAACTTTTATGAGGAACCATTCAAGAGGTTCTACTGTGCTGAAAACAAGTAGGCGTTCAGCAAAGACATCTATACTCACGAATACCTCTTTTTATTTAGGGTGTGAACCATACTTTCATAACTTCCTTTAACCACTAGTTGAGACTACTGCAGAGGTGCTGGTGCATGCAGAAAAATTTAGATGGACGAAAGAAAAGTATTTAACAAGACCCAGGTATCTCCTGGTTTGATGACCTCAAATATATGATGCTCTCTAAAATTTTTATGCTTGCAGGTGATGCTGTAGACGATTCTATGAGTCAGTGAACTATAGAAAAAATATTGGATTGAAGTGGAAAATACTCCCAGCTAACATCTGAGCTACAGTATCAAAAATATTATCCATGGCTAGACGAGAGGTATGGAAGCTCTTCGACAAGGTCCAAAGATGAGTTCAGTAAATAAAAAAAATTTTTAGGCAGTATAAAAAGTAAGAGCTTGTAATTTCAAAAAAAAACTTCACTTGTTGTTTGAGAATTTCTATCTTAGAACGTGATTCCCTTTTAAAAACTACACAGTTAACAGATTCATACAGTAGGAGTCCGTTCAAAAAAGCTTTCCTCATCCTTCAAACAAACCTGCTAAGTCAATTTTAGTGACTGGATGAAATTGTTGGTGGGTCAATCCAATTATTTGCCTGATACCACCAGGTCTAAGGGTATTGCAAAGTCCAAAACCAGCGCATTATTAAGCTAGGAATAACTGTTCAAGTTTCAAAAATAAATGTTTAATGGAATTTTTTGTATACATTTTCAAAGCCGTTAAAATTAAAGATAAAACCTGTTGCATCAGCAAGGATATCTAAAAAAAACACGATGACTGAGTGTGTTGATGACAAGTTTTCTTACTTATTTGATGACACTGAAAGAAAGAAGATTATTTAACGATTTACAATGAAAAGTAAAATTAAAGCAGAAATTACGGTTGCCTATTTTACACTTTGCTTTTAAAGCAAACAAAAAATGTAAAAAAAAGACACCAAAGAACCCGCAGCCCCTGAGGAACGAATTGAGTCCAAACAGAAAAGTGATTCTTACGATCGAGCTTATGAGACGGTTAGCTGCCCGAGCAAATTTTGTCATTTTGTCTGAACCTTGTAGGGCCTTTTCAATACCAGCTTTCTAGAAATGTTAGAGGAGGAAAACAAATAACATAAAAACGGACATTTTGTAAAGATATCAAGAACACACAGGTACAAACGGAAATAATAAGTTAAAAGTAAAACAAAGAGAGTGAATGCACAAGGGTTAATTCCAGCATTGAAAGGTGGATAATAAATTCAGAGACAGGAACATAAAGGGTTAAGAGGGAAGAAGGAAAAAACAGAGCAAATTTCCCAATGGTAAATGAGCACAACAACTAATGAAGGATGAAGAATGTTACCAGCATAGCTGGTTGTTAAATCAAAGCAGAAAGTACTTAGAAATTAATACTTTCATCCCATTTCATATTTGATAAAACCAAACAAAAACCTCCGATTGAAAAAGTAAGTCGGTACATATATGTATAATGTCTATTTGATGGATTCAAACTAAATATAATTTGTTAACATTTCAACTATTGAGTTGGTCGAAAAAACCAGTGACGATTGCAAAGTGTCAAATCTTGAAGCTCTTCACCAGACCAGCAATCACAAGGGACTTACATTAATAAATTGCCCAAGGCCAGCATGGCTGGGAACAGCAAATGCTTATCAAAATTTCCTGTTGGAATTTTTCCGTTATTTTATTTGGGAGAATCTATTCCCATTTTTTTTTCATCTACACTGAAAATTTTTGCTTCATTTATACTTTAAATACACTAAAGTATATGATTGTATTATTTTGCTTTTACGTTTCACAGGTTAAAGAAGCATCATTTTGGATGGATCTATCTAGGAAAGTTACTTAAAAAATTGTAGCAAAAATTGTGGTCTAAACAAGAGGGAGAGAATCAGTGACGAGGCATGAATGATCGATTATCGATACTTCTCCATTTGAAGCTGCGGTAAAGAATCGATTATTAAGGTGTTCGTTGCGAACACCCTTGTTATCAATCCTTTTCCATAGGTTTAAACGGTAGATAAATCGATATATCGCAAAGCACGCCACGCCACTGGAGAGAATAAGACAGGTTCCTTCTATAATTATTATGAATGTTATTCTTTTATCAAATTCTTAGAAGTACAGTAGAAACAGCATTCCAAAAAATGATATATTTTGATGATCGATTTACTTAAAAACAGCAATCACACTAGTCAAATCTGCCAGCGAGTCTAAAAATGTTTAGGCTGTAAAATGATCTCATCATAAATTAAAATTTTGGTAAGACTCCGCAATTAGAATTTGAGGTACATAATAGTAATTCCTAAGAACAAAGATCGTAAAATATGTTAACAGGAAATGTGTAGAATCCTGCAAAGAAACTGCAAATGTGAGCTTTTTTCATGGAGGCTAAAAATGAAATAAGCCACAAGGATTCGTTGAGAAGAGATTCCAAAACTTAAATTTAACTTCCGAAACTTAAGAGTTGTGATGTGGCTAAAAGTGAGCAAGATTCACCCCTCCAGAACCTACATTTGAAAGGTATGAATAAAAGTCCACATTCGAGATAACTTTCAAAATGTTGTGTTTTTGAAATGCAGACTCAGTAGAATTAGAAACAAAAATTGGATGACTGGTTTTTTAAAATCTTACATCAGATGTTGAAAAATGAGGAATGTACTAAGTATATGAGATGGTAGAAAAGGGAGTGATTAAAGTGATGGAATCACTCTGCAAGGATTTTTGAATGAACAAAACTAAAACTTCAAAATGGTACTGATGCCATAATTTTTAGTCATGCTTCAGCTATGATGCTATTATTTTGAACTCACCTGTCTGATAAGTTGAATATGTTCTTCTCTCAATTTTGTGTAGACTTCTTTCAACTTGTTGAACTTTTCCTCCATAGTTTTTGCTCGTTCTGCAATGGTAATAGAATAAAGTTATTTTAAGACACAAAAACTTCGACTGCAAGTAATGTAGGTTGTAACTAAACAATAAATCATCAAAGTTTCAAACCTTGGCCTTATCATTCTCTTTCTATGACTTGGTTTTCTAAATTTTCTATTCTTTCTTTCTTTCCCTCCGAAGTCAATTGTCAGCAACGTTCATTTACCTCAGAGGAACGAATTTCTAAAGTTCTCAAACAGTGTGAGGTCAAATTTGTAAAGACTGCTATTTAGTCTGTTAATGCCCTGTAAATTGTTTGTGTAAATTTACAGTGATGTATACATAAAAGCCACTTTTAAGGCACTCTCTGGCACTCTACGGCACCTAGCTACCCAAGTTCTTAATTCTTCCGAGGGTCCTCAGAGAATTGGCACTTCCTCATTTCTTGCAAAACCCTCTGTTGCCATCTTTTTGCAGAGCATCCCTTTGTCTCCTCTTATGATGAACCCCATTGGGCTTTGCTGATCACCTCCAGAAGTCAGTTTCCCAGATTTAGATTTAATGAATTCCAAACCCCAAATTCGGTACTCCTCTGCCAACTTGCGCATCATGTACTTGGTATCATTTTGATTGTACGCAATCACCACTTGGTCATCAGCAGAGCATAAAGTGAATGGAGTTTCAAAATCACCTAAGAGGACACCCATCCCAGCACATTTTACAATGATAGATTGATAGAAATTTACAATAATAATAATATTGCTGATAAAAAAAAAAAAAAGTTTCAAGGAAAGACATTTTTGGTGAATTTTTGCCTTGATCTTTAGGCCAAGTAAAAAAGTCAGAGACAAAGTGGCTTTAGAAAAATCATTCATAAAAACACCATGGTAGTTTACATACTAATTTTTAAAATGTTTGCTGATCATCTTTTGGTATCATTTTCAAGCAATTTCTTTTTTAATTTTTTTTTAGCCTAGATGAAAAATTTGGCGTGAGAATCCTCTACCATCTAAGTCAAAAACGAATCATCACTCTTTTAGATGCTTTACTGAGACCCACCAACATACAGGCGAAGTGATCCAGATCCGATCGAAGAGAATATTTTTGAGACTTCATTTTTGTATCATTTTTCCTGTGTATAATAATAAAGAGACAAAAAGTAAAGCGACATACTTTCCACGTCAGGGTATTTGGCAGCTGCTTCAGTCTGCAGTAACAAGTCTTCTTTCACAGCTTTTTCTTGACTGAGTTCACTTTCCTGTCAATTGAAATTTTGAGCAGGGAATTAGAAACACTGTTTTGTATTAAGATTTACGTAGGGATTTTGAGAAAATGTTTCAGTGGAGTTGCCAGAACTCAAAACGATGATTATTTTTTATGTACTCCATTTCTTGCACAAAGAATGATGCATAAAGAAGTTGAAGCGGTAGTGAAAAAAAAAAGGTTTGTAATGACAGGTGACAGACAAGCCCCTCTTCTTCATTCTAAACCTTTAACCACACCAAAATACAATGCAGCAATGGAGAACTTGCAAGGTGTTTGAGCTTTGATGAATTTCGTGTTTAAGTGGAGACTACTGAGAGAATTGAGTGTGAGGATACCTTAGGTTCATAAATTGAACAGATATTGGAGGAGATACAACAAAATGATTTAATCCACTTAAATATATGTGTTTAAATGGGAAATGTCACCAGATGATGTCACTGGGCAGTGCATTTTCTCACTTTTAATCTAATTATATACTACTTCCTACTTCAGAGAAAAATGACAAAAAATACTGCAAAATCAGCTCTTTGATGAAGCAATAAAAAATTCACGTTAAAATTCTCCATTCCTCTCAGTTCTTCCCTTATGAGAGACACATGCCTGGCCTTGGGATATTCTTAGTCTTGAAATTCATCTCAAGATGAGGGTGTTGTCGCAAAAAAATCTGTCATGGTACTTTTAAACTTTTCCATGCCATACAGCTAAAATTTGATTCACATTAGCCTGTGTCACACTATCAAAGCTAGTCATCAAAATATCAAGGTCAGGTGTTGTGATTCCCTTATTCGATGACTTAGACCGATCATAACATTTGACCTTGACATTTTGATGGAGTATTTTGATAGTGTGACACAGGCTCATCTCCCTATTTCTCAGAGATCCAGGCTGAAGAAACTGAAATTCCTCCAAATTTTTCTCCAAGGAATTTTTTTTTTCCTGCATCATTTAGAATTAAAAAATCTCTCATAGAATTTTAAGTAACCAAAGGGTGGAAATCTAATGCTTATAAGGATTAGATATGCCTTTCCTTAACACAAAAAATTTGGACTAAAATAGGTCACAAGCCAATTTAAGGCGGTATTTAATGCTCCTATTTAAAAAGATTGAGTAAAAACAGTGCACACAACAAACATAGTGAGAGGTTTTAAACACCTGGGCAAAAATTAACAGACACTAAAGACACCAATTACATCTAAAGGGATTAAATATATGTACAGGAAATTTTTCTAGGAAATTTTGATTTGATGTTAGTTGTGAGCACTTACTCATATCTTGTTAGGAAATTAATCTCAGCTTTTCATGATGCACATTATTTTCTGCAAAACATTTGAACAAGAAATTGTATGAAGAAATATCTTGAATCGATACCTGTCTTAAGACCCAATATTTTAAGAATAATTGTCTCATTATTTTTTTACTTTTCTTCTTTTCTTATTTGTCTTTTTCTTAGCACCAGAAATTAATTACTATCTACAGATAAGGTTAAATTACACACAATGTTAGGTATTGTTAGGTTGATGTAGTTTCAGGTGAGAGGTTTTTGAAGAAACTTACTTTGGTGGCTAGCTGCAATTCTAAGTCAGCGACATGTTCTCTTAGCTCAATTACTGTTTTTTGGAGATTAGCGATAGCTTCTCTTTGATCAGATATTTCTGCCTGTAATTGTTCTATTAGGTTATCCCTAGAAAAAGAAATAATTTTAAAACATATCAAACATAAATAAATGCATAGATAAATAAAAAGTAGTGAGTGGCCTATCAGAATTATTGGCTCCACAGTAACTATTGACTGTATCACTCCAGAAAGTAAGTTTTAAGTAAGTAAGGTAACAAGAGGGCAAATAATTTTTCACACTTCTTAGGTCTTCAACAGGCAACAGACAGTTGGAGTGAAGAAAGGGGGAGGGGCGGATTCTCCTGCATATGAAAAACGCTAATGCTGTTAAGCATACACAACATTATGCTGAATTACTAACACAGGACATCAGAACCTGACTCATGACCAACTTTATACCTCAGAATCAGCATTAGATAAGAGCACAACATTTTTACAAACATGGAAGTGATATTAGAGATCTTCAAGATGCCAGTGAAAATATTTTTCCAAACTGTGAGTTAGATACCTTTTTGCACTGGGATACTGATATCACTTGGAAATTGTAAACCAGGATTGTACCAAACATCACAGAAAATAGAAGTTGAGGAAAAAGAGACGAATGTATCAGGGACAGTTAAAACAAAAATAAGGCATGAAAAATTCACCTTTGAACGAGAATATCTGGAGACATGGATCCATTGTTACTCGTACCACTGTCAGCAAAATCAACCAATTCTCCGACTTCAGAAGTTGGTGTGGGAGGGAGGACAACAACTGGACTTACATATGAGCGCAACTCAGCTTGAATCAACAGGTTTGGCGCGGTCTGTGGAAACAATAAAACCATACTTCAGTATTGAAAATAGCTATTTTGTCAGAAATTTATGAATTGAAACAAAATGAGAATGATAAATTGAGCTTACACAGGGTGGCCCAGACTACCCATATCAGACCTCCTCCGTGTTTTAAAGGTTGAAAAAAGTTGATGAATATTGGGATGAAAAGGAAACTGACCCCAAGGAATCCAGATTTCTTCATCCTTAAGTGCCCTTGGTTCCCCTTGGAAGCTAGTAGGGGGATCCAGACTTTTAAAATCAGAGTTTTCTTTATAATTTTGAAATGATTTTAATAAAATCGGAACATACGGAAAATTTTAATGAAAATCGATTTAAAAAAATAAAAAATTGCCCCATCCCTGGCAGAAGTATTGACCTCTGAATTTGGGGGACGGAATCCTTCTTGGTAAAATGCTAAGATACTAAATTGATGTAGACACCTCGAGTTAGGTGGTTCTTTCTGTTGTCAAGCGCCCAAATGAGGGAAAACTGCCCCTGGCGCTCTCGACTCACAATCCACCCTAAACACAAGTAGCTTTACCACACGAACTAGAACACCCACCCCACTGCTGCTAGCGATGGGTTCTATTATAATATAATATGTCCAATTCCTGGGAAGGAGACGATATGGACAAAAAAAAAAGCCATACTTACATCTGGCAATAATGGAATCTGTATTAGAGTTTTGAAATATTGTAAAGTAGAGGCTGTTAGATAGAACTGTCGTAACTCATTGAATTGCTTTAAAAATCTTTGTCGATGGCCAGACAGCAAATCCGGTGGCAATGAGGCATGGAGTTTGAAGAGAATTTTCACACAGAAGTCATACAATTGTGAAGAATCTTGGATACAAGGTATCAAGGGTGCTAAACGACACTGACCGGCACTTGTCATGGAATTGCTTCTTGATCTATCTAGAGAGCCAAATACTGGAGAACACAAAACAAAAGATACTATAATAAGCAAGAAATAGGATAATTTCATAAATAAATGATAAACAGTCAAGGGGGGGGGGGTATGCTATGATCTATCATGAGCAGTCCAAATTGGCACTGGATTAAGGATATGCTGCTCTGCTCGTACTGCTACAGTTTTCATACCCTACATTTGAGGGGCTTGGAAGACAAGGCGCTTAAGTGCAGTTTTAGAAATTCAAGACAAGAGATTAGAGCCTAGCCACTTCAGCTGCGTGCCATGGCTCATTATGCTTGAATTTCAACAGGGGAGGAGATTAGGGTGGCCCTTATTTTGGACTTTTTGGAATTTAATGAGCAGCACCCCCTAGATTGGTTCTATTTGATGTAAAAACACTGTAAAAAAAATTTGAGGCCTTTACGTCGAGGGTAAATGGTGCCGAAAACAGGGGAAAGATGCAGCGCGTAAAACTGAAGAAGCGCATTTTTACGCTTTTCGCCGATTTGACTGCCGTTTTCAAGGGAGTTGTAGATGCTCAACACCCATTATTGATGGTGTTTCTAACACAACTTTTTGCGTAGATTTAGGATATTTTAACAGATTTGGCCTCAGGTAATTACCTACCCCCCTTACGGTAGGCTAAAGTGGCCCCAATACGTCATTTAAGCTCCCGAAATCGCTTTTTTCCGAAGTTCGGCGCTTGTTACGGGCAAATGCAAAGGCTTCAAGAACTATAATTTTCTTGTATGTGGTACAACTTATTCCGTAGATTAAGTATATTTTAACATGTTTGACCTCAGGCAATTACCTCTCCCCCTCCCCCGCCCTGCGCACAGTAGGTTGAGGGGGCACTGGAACGCGATTCAAGCTCCTTGAATCAGATTATTTCAAAGTTAGGCGCTCGTTACTTGCAATTTAAAAGACTGGAAGAAGCATAATGTTCCTCCACGTATAAAATAACTTTCAAATGCACAAATTTTAAGAAAAATACTGAGGAAGGGTGTAAAAAAAACTTACAATGACTTTGGTTAGTTACATACACAAAACAAACTTTGGTTATTACATACACAAAAACGACTGGATCTCACTAAAAGTACAGTAGATAAAAACAGGAAGGAAAGACGAAGGGGAAACAGAAATCTGGACTATATTGTGTTTTTCCGTGTTGAAAAAGTAAGGGTGGAAATGAAAATAAAATCGGGTACTCAGTAGTATGTCTTTAATCACAATTGAGTTGTCCTTCAGAAACTTTTTCGATATTATTTTAAACAAAATTGGAAACAACTGACAAAAAATTACCTAATGATTGGTGCCTCATTTGCTCCGATATGTTTAAACAGCCAACTTAGACAAGAATCAGCTGTTTAGGACTTAATTTTAACTTGTGAAAAATGGGGCTACAACTGGTCGCAAGAAATTATGACTTTATGAGTATAAGAAAGCCTTTCGTTTCAGATATTAGCATAATTGAGTGCTATGCCGGGTGATGCTGATACTTCAGCTGAGGAAAAAAGTTTAATCAGGAAGCATTTTGGTACAAAATGTGCTACATTTGTGTAAAACGGCAAAATATGGGTTCAATTTTTGTAATAATTTGATGAATTTAGGAATTTCAAAATAAAATTTTGACTATGCATTAGTTGCATTCTAAATTTTGGGAAAGTTTCCAAGAGGATGGACAGGAAATTAGAGCCACAATCGTTTTCCAAGTATTTTAAACCGAAAAATGTAAAATATAATCTTACTTGCTCCTTGTAAGGCTAAAATTTCATCCATGTAGTCAAACATCTCAACAGAAATTTGAAAATAATTATTTATGTCATTATCACCAATCTTCTCAAGGTCTTCTGCGGAAACAATAAGGTTGCCAGGGAAAGCAGGGTTTCGTCGATGGAAGTCTAGTTTTGCCAAGAGAAGTTGACAATATTGTTGTATCAACTTCCCATACCCTTCTTTCAGGTGCCCCTGAAATAAATAATAAATCAAAAGTCAAACATTGTCTGGTCAATTGAAATAATTTTACTACATCAATAGAGGAAAACTCAGTAAAAGAGATAATGTTGGAAGACTTAAAATCCTCTCGCCTTAAAACTCTTTGCCACACACTTTAGTTGGCATCCCATAATTTTGTTTCCCCTCCTAATGACACAGATTTTTTGAGTATGTCCTTGTTTCTAGGGGTGATCAAAGATTCTGAATTAGTTCACGCTGGAAAAAGCGGAGGAATTTTGGGTTTAAAAATCAAGCATGCTTAAGAGCACCTCACCTAGAATTTGTTACTTTTTATCATTCAAAGCTCGCCCATAGGTAAATTATTTTTTAAAAAAATCAAAGGAACAGTTAGGCTGGTTACTTAACTCCTCGACCACTACAGCTAATAAGCCCAAATACAAGCTATTATACTTAGTGTTAGAGTGTAAAAGTTCATTTGTGCATTGTGGTGGAAGAAGAAAAAAATGGAAAGTTTTTTTTGGGCACATCCAATTTTATTTTTGTCTACTCCTGTTTCAGCCAGTAGAATAGTTCCTAAAAATCATTACTTAAACATTGAATGGTATTACTTCTTCCTTCTTCTAGAAAAACTGTCTCTTCCCTAAGCTGCAGGGTTTGTTTCCCCAGCAAAAGCCTACATAATCCACTTGATGAGCTACAGCTACAGGCATCATCCTACAGCGCAGTTTCCTCTCCCGGCACAATCCTGTGATGCAGTGTCATGATGTGGTTGCAGGAAGATTAAGTTATTTTTTGCAGGATGGTTAAATTGAACTAAGTCTCCAAACTTTTCGAATAATTAAAATTTTAGTTTGACAAAATTCCTTACCCATAATTTTCCGAGATCAGCAATTTCACCAGTGTGTTTCAAGGACTGTGCAATAACTTGGGGATGTCCCTCTCTCAGCACTTTGTGCAGCATGTGACAAAATTTCCAGGCCACAATTCGATTTTCTTGTAATGGCAGACGTGATACACAGTTCCAGAACACCTCACCATTTCGTTCTCGGAAGGTTCCCAGAATTGCACCTTAGAGAATGTTCAGGAAAAATGACACTTCCAAGAGAAATTGACAGGCTACAATAAATATATAATAGATTCAGTTCTTAATGACCTATGATGGCATGCTTTCATCAAGGATTCTATATGACACACTGTGCCCTCTTGGCTCCTAACAACAGCAGGAAATAAATAAATACGGAAGCAAGAAAGAACGTAATAGTTTTTTCTGACATTTCATCAGATTTCATCCCTGAAGTTGAATAAAAAAGGGATGCAAAGAATCAAAATTAAAGAAAAATATTGTTGGGGCATTCTGGAATCTCCTCTTCTCTTAAGCAGGGTGGAAGGGAGACCACACAGCTTGCCCAATCACCAAATCCACCACATGCCACTGCAGATAATGAACATTTTCATAAAATTATTACACTAATGTAACATCAAGATTGACTTGGACATAAAAGATTTGCCCAGAAATCTGCTTGTAACATACACACATAATTGGATTCCATAAGGAAAGGACTTTTCTTTGCTTTTTTTTCTTCATGGAAAAACTCACTGACAATCATGAACCTTTACCTCCTTTGATTTAACATGTTTGCTTTGCCTACTCATGATAGACTTATGATGTAAAATCAATAAAAAAAAGTGAATATTGCTAAAACAAAGTTCACCCTGGATTGTGAACCATTATAAATAAAGAGTAGACCAAAAAGGATACTCCTGACATGTTTTTCTTTTACAGGATTTTCCACAGAGTTTACAGCTTTGCTTATGCTCACAGCCTGGAAAATAAAGCATGAAAAATTCGGTTATTTGATAATTAGATTTTACAATGGAGATTAGAACTAACTCACCCACAGCCTGACTTTATCACTTAAGATACTTGAGTGTTTCATTAATTAAAAAAAAAAAAAAAAAAATTATACATTGACTAGGTATGGAGAAAATTAGTATTTTGTCACCCTATCAGTATGGTAGTGAAAAAACACATTTACGCCAAAGTCCATCACCTACCAAATTATCTATCAAATGATTTAGTCAGTGATTGAATAGAATAGGAGCGATTCAAGTAGGCTTAGATCAAACAACGCTCAAGCATCCCAACCACGTCATTATTATTGACTTCTATGCTTATAGGGCAACACCAAATGAAAAAATCAGATTCACACACCCAACAATTCAGTTATGCGCAACCATGCAATGCGGCACGATGAAGTACCATCTTTTATACTGACCTGATGATTCTCAACATACACGACGAAGAGAATGTTTATTCTAACCTGTAAAGGTGAATTAATCTGCTTGATTTCTCATCAGTTCATGACTTAATTAGTGATTGACACAAATCCAGTAATTCAATTAAAGAAGTGTAATTCGATTGAGGCTATGATTTCATCCTGCTTTAGTCGGAATTTACTGCAGCTGATCAACTGAGGAACAGCGCCACTTTCTACTGAAATCGTTCCTGTCCTCTGAGTAAATGAATCTCCCAGTTTTTGTGGATTATCTGGTTGAGGATCATAGCACATAAAATCACATACGGACAAAAGAGAAACATTTTAGCACTTTCCTTGTAATATAAGTAATAGATGTAACAACTAAAACTGGAAATGAGTAATTTGTGGGACTATTATGAGAAAGTTTTAGGTAAAGTGTGTCAAAACACTGGCATCAACGTTCGTTTACATAGAAGTTAAGATCAGAGCCGATCAGTTGATCCAAGGAAGTGTTCATTAAAAAATCCAAGAAAGTTAGTCTCACCTGAAATTTTTCGAAATTTTCTCGTTCAAGCTCCAGACTTGTTTTCCTTGGTTGTAAGACTCGAGTTAATGATAAGGAAGACATGGTGTTTCAAGAGTCACTTAACACTACAAATTCACTACAAATTTAATGAAAACACGGCATTTCTCTTTCGAAAACAACATGAAGTATGTAATTAAACTGTTGGTAGACCAACTGACAGTAAATTTAAATTAGATGGCACTAAAGTGACTCAAGAGAGTGAAACTGATCAACACAAAATAAATAATAATGAATGAATCATCTCACCTGCCAATTTGGACAGGGCAGGTAGTGGGCAGGGACCAGTTCTATAGGACCCTGGACTCCCGTAAGAGTCAATGTAAAAATTCGTGAGCAGGTACTAGTGCTGCTATCGCGCGTAGGATCCTCGCAACTCACTGCTGTTATCAGTTGTTGGACTTCATTAAAATCCGTAGGATCGCGTATAACTGCGAAAAATCGAATTTTTCGTTATATTCTTACATGCGGCGGGCCCTATCATGTTGAAAGGGGTCGAAAAACGCCAAAAATATACTTATTTTTCAAGAATTCAGCCGCCTTATGTGTTATTTTTCAATCTCCGGCTTAACCTCACTTTTGGAGCGGGCGATGGATGAGTCGAAGTTCGGGGGGAAGGATCCTCTGAGTTGACTAGGATCCTACGCGAGAATGCGCTGCAATCACCCGCTCACAACAGAACGGCGTCCTATTAGAACTCGTCCCTGTAGTGGGTTACAAAACATAAAATGTCGAAAGGAATGAGACACGTGCTGCTCTCTTCCGGATTGATAATGAAAAAAAGATAAGGATTTTATTTTGAGGTTATGTTTTGATAAATTTTATTATTTCGCTGATATCGCACGTGGGGTAAATGTCGATCATCGAATTTTAAAGTTCAATTTGTTAAGTGTAGTCAGAGTGTAGTGGATGTGATTAATTCATGTTTGGATTCATGATCGTGACTAAGTTTTGAGTTGTCATTCGTCGAGAGAAAATGAGAAATCTTACCATTCTGAAGAACTTGTGTTTCCGTGTAAATGAGCTGACAGATTGTGAACACATCGCAACAGGGATAAATGATGCAAACCTACGCTTCAACTCTTCTCCTCTTGTTTACTTTTATAAAAGTGGAACAATTTACTCCTACGATCCAACATCGGAAGAAAAATCTACAATCCTTGATCTAAAAACTTACTATGGAATCACTGACCCGCCAAAACTTGTCGCCCTAGACTTCCATCAAATTTCACAAAGTATCATCGTAATTGTGTCTAGTGGTGATGTTCTAAGTATTCCTGTTGTTGAAGTTAGCTCGTTCACTGCAGAATGTGTTGGAACCGTAGAATCTGGCATCAAAGCCATGTCATGGAGCCCGGATGAGGGAATAGTAGCATTGATCACTAATGAAGAAAAACTTATTCTTATGTCTTCCTTGTTTGATTTGATCGCTGAAGTTGATCTACTGAATTCAGCAACAACAAATGAATTTATTTCTGTTGGTTGGGGGAAGAAAGAGACTCAGTTTCATGGGTCTGAAGGAAAACAAGCTGCCAAACAAAAAGTGGATACTTTGTCAGCAGATCCGGCGGAGGATGACAAAATGATCCGTATTACTTGGAAAGGAGATTGTTCAGAGTTTGCAGTTAGCTATTTTTGCCCGTTCAACAACATTCGCTGTATCAAAGTATTCAACAATGAAGGGGCTTTGAAATCTGTCGGTGAACCTGTTGGGGGTAAGTCATGTGATGGCCCTGTTCATCTGACGACAATATAGTGTCAAAATGGGTGGAACAAAACATTTTTTCTGCAGGTGCTCAGAATGGCAACATACTCTCTAAATAAGGCCTCAGTTCCTTTGTTTTTAACATTTTTTGGAAGGAAATAAGACTCCTACTGTACTCAATCACCAGAATCATTATAAAAACTTCCATAATTTGAAACGTAAGACAGAATTATGAAACGATGAGTCTGAATTGATGCATTACTTGGTGTTGTGTCATATTGTTTCCAGTTTATACCTTTTCACGAAAGAACAAAAAATTTTAAAAGCATTGTTGTATGTTTAAGTTATTCTTAAAATATTTGCCATGGGATCATTAGGGAAACCAGCAAAATTAAAAAAGATTTTCTGATTACCTCACTACAGCATATGTACCATATCGCCTGTGAAACTTTCCAAACCGCATATCTTCTTTTTCAGCATTTTAAAATTTCCTCTCCTACTTTCCTGTCTTGAAGGAGAGCAAATCAACATCATTCCTTGAAATTTTCACAGAATTTTCTTTGCACAGAAAAGAAAAATCACAGCAGTTTCTTAAGCAATAATGTCGAATAGTTTTCTATTTAACAAAAAAAGTATGACTGGAAGTCTGCAACATTACAAACGGAGGTACGCATCTGTGCAATTTGACCATCGATTTGTTGCTTTGGCATGATTCAACAAAAAATATAATTTTATTATCTCTTTAAAGTATGACTTAAACCTCACCATTTTTGAGCCAATTCATAGCATAAATGTCTGTGCCTACTCACTTACTTCGTCAAACTATTTTTAAGATGCTAAACATACGAACACCTTTTTCTTTCTCTACTAAATCAGATAGGCACATTACCAAATTTTACTTAAAGTCTTTTTAAGGCTATTTACATGTTTTGTATATGTTTTGCATTGTTGGTTTCACATGTTTTTTCATTTTGTAGGGTTGGAAGAATCATTGGCTTGGCGCCCATCTGGTAATTTGATTGCTTCAACTTGTTTACTTCCCAATAAACACATCGTTGCCTTTTTTGAGAAAAATGGACTCAGACACGGAGAATTCAATTTACCCGAAAATATCAAGGTGCTGACTGGTATTAAGTATACATTAGTTTGAAATCATTTTATTAACTTCTTTGACCATAAATTTTAAAGAAACAAGAAACTATAAAACCAAGAAAATGCCAAAGGAAAATTTTATTCTAAAATGTCTAGGAATTCCCTTACTGAGATGGACGCTGTTTCCTCTTGCTGGATTTTTTACCATCTTACTACTTATTTTGCAGCCATAAAAACAGCAAAGATTTTGAGAAATCCTATCTTTGAGAAGAAAAAGAAACTTAACAAAGATCTGTGAGGTTAGTTTAAAAATTAATGGATCGCCGGACAGAGTACAAAATCAAACACCATAATACATATTTTCTTAAGTTGCCATGGTCAGATAATACTGGGAAATGTGAGGGAATTCTATATAGTCAGAGGAAATGACGATAGCCTCAGAAAAATTTCAAGTCACCTTTATTTGCTCTCTAGAATGGGTTTGACGTTCCGTACAACAGATTTTGTGTGAAAACTATTTCAAATTATGTCTTTTCAAGCGTCCGGCTAACCTTCAACTGTCAGGGAATTTTATCAAAATTTGACAGGGAATTGTCACAGAATTTTTTTCTCTAAATTAAGTGGCAAACCTGGTTTTCTCTCTGAAATTTTATGTAGAATACGATGAATGTATGTATTGAAACTTCTCATATGTACTGAACTCATATGTGAAAAAATGTGTCTTGTCAATCAACACTTCCTGCTCACAAGAAACGGAAATCCACTCAACTCAATTTAAGTATTAGACTAACTACACCAAAATTTTTGATGGAAGAATTTTCGCTTTTTTTTTTTTTTTTTTTTTTTCCTTGATAGGATTAAATATCCCTTGTATCAGAGGAGGAAGGAAATTTGTGAAACCATGCTCCGGTTATTTACTAAACATGTAGGTTTTGTTATAAAAGGCTGATTTTACCCATATTAATAATGGTTTTTTGGCAAACAGGAATATTGAATTTATCATTTACAATGTAAATCACGAACATTGATTGTTCACACATTGATTGTTCACTGATGAATCAATTTTTAAGTTTATAATATGTTCATCGTGTTCTACATGAAATTTTAAGCCTTTAGATGCCCATGTCTTATTTTGTCTTGTGGTCCATTGTAGAAAGTAATTATTTTTTTATGCCTATCAGGATGACAATAGTTGAAAAAGTGTGAGAATTTCTGTCATTTTGGTCAAGGAGTACTTGAAAAAGTAGGGTAATTTTTTCCTGTAGTCTGTATGTATACTTTGTTGACAGGACGATAGTGAATTTGCCTCTGGCATACCTGTTGCCAACTTGGGTATTTTTTTGCACAGATTTTCCCTATTGTCAAAGACCACTCTTCTGCTGTTCCAGTTTTCAGCTATCAGTAATCATCTTCAATTTACCTTTGGTAGCTGCTCCTTTGTCAGTTATAAAGCAGAACGTCTGAAATATCTAGTACCTAGGTGTAAACAATTTTCATTTGTGAAGTACACTTTTCAGTAGATTTGGAGAGATAGATATGAGATGCAATGTAATTTTTTGAAAATAGGTCTGAATCAATGTTCCAGGTGAAAAATCTATTTTGGAATGCCGACTCAAACATCCTGAGTGCTCTCTGTCATGACACAGTTTCCAACAAAGATTGTGTTCTCTTATGGTCTGTCGGAAACTACCATTGGTACTTAAAACAGAAACTAAGTTTTGATTCGAACATATCCTGGTTGAAGTGGGATGCACAAAATAGCTATCGAATGTATATTTTACTCACTGATGGAACTTTCATCATGTATGATTGGATGTTTCGTGTTGACCAATCTGATAATTCTTGCACTGATTCAGAAGCTTTTGTTTGTGTCATTGATGGCAGTAAGTATTTTTTATTTATACTACGATACATATACATACTTTAAAATGTATAAATTATTCAAAAATGTTGTTGATTTTAACTTATTATGATTCTATTTATGGTTTTTCATGATTAAAATGCGTAACTCATTTGTACACTTGTTCATTAGCTACCATAAGAATAAAAGAGTTTAATAGTATTTCTTCTGTACAACATATCTTAAAAACAATATCTTTCTCTTCATACCATGACTGTATTTGGAATTTTTGACCGTCCAGAGGATCTCAATCTACAAAAACTCTAATTTGAGTCATTGCTACTAAAGTGTAGAAGAATGCTCTGTGAAAATTGTGAGATAAGAAAAATCTCAAAATATGAACAATATCGGAGTCATGGTGTTTTTGAAGTTTGCTGTTCAAAAAATTAGTTTTGACATAAAACTACTTAAAATACTAATCTGCCACATTAAGGGTATGAAATTGTTGGCTTCTAGTGTAAGTTACATGCTGTCTATTGGCAAAAAAATGGCGGAAACAGTTCTTAATTTAATCTTTATGACATTCTAGAGTTTTCATTCTAAATCTCAAAATCCGATTATTTAACCTAACTGAAAAAAAAAGAAAAAAAAAAAAAAAAAAAAAAAAAAAAAAAAAAAAAAACCTGAAAATTGTTCCTTTATGTTCTAATAATAAGGCCAAAACGTGTGGTCAGTCACATTTACACAAATGAAAGAAAAAAGTCAAGACTTAGGAAGCAATTTTCTCCAAGGAAATTTTTGAGTTAAGGGTTTTCTCATTTCTATCCAGCAGTAGGCATTTGAATTCTTTGTTTTGCTTCTCTTCTAGCCAATCTTCTATTAACGCCTTTCAAGAAGTGTATCATTCCCCCACCAATGTGCAAGCAGACGCTCAGTATTCCCACCTTTATCAACAGCATGTCTTTTTTGAAAAACTCCAGGTAATATTTTTTTGCATATTGTACTCATGTGGGACTTTTTTCTTCCCTCGTTTTGATGGGTAGAGAATTTAGGCTCAAGTTTTAGATCAAAGAATCGACCATCTAAGAAATCACTAAATGTAATGGCCTAAACTTTCGATTTCTTGTAGTCTGTTTGACGGAAGGTATTGAAAGTTGAAGTTAAAAATGTAGGTTGTGGATTGAACCTAATGCAGTATGAAAATTCGTGATTCAATGTTAGTTGAAATGCAGTATGTGTAGCGATTGTTTAGCAGTCAAAAGTAGCTAATACAGGAACAGCCCAAAATTTTAGGATAAATTACACACAGGAATAGCCCCATTAATCATTTAAACAAAACATTTTACTCTTCTTTTGAAGCCCATAATAAACGGATACTATTTACATTGGTTAAATGGGCTGTTTTTGTTTCATGGCAACTCTTACATCAGGAAAAGCAGGAAAAGTTCCTAGTTATGCTCCAGTTGTGTTTTTATGTAATTTTGACTGCCAAATCCCAAAATGAGATCTGTGTTCTCCCAGCCTGGCCATGTGCCAGTCTCTTGCAAACTCACATTTTCTCCTATTTTTTGGATGAACTCCCATTTTCTGGAACTCCTTGTGTGACAGGAATAAACCAATAGCATTTTCGGATTCAACTTTGAAAAACCCAGTCAGACTCCTCATTCTTGACTCATGCCTCCTACTGGCTGCAGATATGAGTTTTCCTGGAAGCCTCTGAAGTTTCTCTGAAGTTAATATTTAAGCACTATTGAAATAAAGGTACCAAAGGCTCTAACTGGGTAATTATTAGTGCAAAGTAAAATCAAAAAAGAGAAAAAAAAACTCAGAAATGAGAAATTTAAACACATTAAAGTTAGGATACCTACGCATAGAATACACAAAGATAACTATACTTACATGTGCAGCAGGTGTAAGTGCTTAACAAGTTAACTTTCAAAGTGGAACTAGGTACTGTGGAACAGATATATTGACTCAGTTTCATACCTATCTATCTCGTGCATTAATTTTTTTAATATTTTTCTCTTTTCTATTTCACAGCAATGCAGACAATGTAAATGATTTTTGTATCTTCGGTTCTGATAAAGGCTACTTGTGTCGATACAATATCAGCAACTCTCAACACATGTTGGCAGGTAAAGGCAATTTTTTTTTGCATGTTACAGAACCCCATTTGCTTTTTATATAAGACCAACAAAATAAATGAAACCAGATGTGCTGAGTTTATATCAAATTTAAAGGTTTAAGGCCGATTTTTCTCAAAACCTCAGCCGATTGACTCGCGTGTTTTCATATGAAATCTTTTTTTTGATCTGCGCTAGATCTAACTATTTTTTAAACTAGTCATTGCTGTGACAACATGTGGCGCAAACTCCCTAAACTGCTCCCAAAGTGTTGGTGAGAAATATTTTGAGTCACAGCTCGGTGCTAGACTGGTCTGTCGGTTTGGTAAGTGTTGTACCTGCATACTATTTTATATTTCTTTGCTCTTCTTGTCTGATGATGTGTAAGGATAACAACAAAATTTTTCAAAAGCAAAGAAGAGGCCCTAGCAGTAGGGGTCATAAAACTCTTGATGCTGTTTAACACTCAACTCAAAGATATTAAGAATCAGATAAAATGAGATGACCTCTGGAAAAAAAAGAGGAGAGAATCCTCAAGAAAATTATGAATAACTGCCAAAATGGCTCATTAAAACTTTTTTCCGGCCATATATCTCATCAAAGAGATTCAATAAGTGACTAAAATCAATGCTATGCAGCAATTTCCATTGGATGGAGGTCCTAGGTCATTGTGGTTTCAAGCATTACGTTTGTTTTCATAGAGATGTTCCATTAATGTGTCTACTTATATTAGCTCAAAGCAAAAGGAAGCACAAAATACAAAATTATCACTCCAGTCAACAACTTTTTGACATGAATTTGTCAATCTAAGCAGGACTTATTTTTCTGATCGGCAAAGTCCACTAACCGTAGGAACGAATGCCGAAGAAAATTATTTGGTTCTGTACCTTAACACGTTCAGCTGTGCTATTTGTTTTCTTGGCATGAAGGTGAAAAGGTAGTCAAATTTTGTGTCAGTCCCATGTGATAGAGTTTATAAAACATTTCATCCACAACAAAGCTTCAAACATAAATCAATAATCTCAGCTGGACACATCCGAGTGAATCAAGATTCATGAACTGTTTTTAAAATAGCCTATTTGGCAGGATCTCAAGTTAAATCTGTGCTGCTTAAGAATTTTTTGATTTCTTTCAGAATCTTTTGAATATCCAGACAACAATGAGTTGTGTCTCCATCATTGGCTTTGGACCTCTGCAAGTCAGTTTTGCTGTATCGGGTCCAATAGTAAGTTGGAGAATACCCTTTATGTCATGGACTTGAAGTTTGAAAAATTGGAAGTCAGGTAAATCTTTTATAACTGGGACATTTTATTGTCACTCTGCAGCCCAGCAGTTTAATCTGCTACCTCTTAACTGTCACACTATTCTACACAAGCTTTAATATCAAGAAGTTTGAACTTACTGTGAAATCTGGCCAAAACGAATTATGGATAGGATGAAATGCTGCTGAAGATGAAATTTTTCTTTAATTCTTAGACTCTGCCATAAAGCGCAATGTAAAAACTATGATTTAAGAGAATAAATGATTTTTTTAGTAAAAGCTGCGTATGTTAGAGAAAATTTTCCTAAAAACTTGATGAAATGTTGATTTGTTGCAAGAGAAAATGAGCAATCTCAAAAAAAGAATCAATACAAAACGTATGCCTTTTGAAAGTTCAAAAAGTGTCATCCTGACACATCAATTAATGTAAGATAATTTCTCTAGAATGATTCATTCATTACAGATTTCAAGTATTAACCTTAATTGCCAGTATCATAAAACTTGGTAGTGGAACATATTCAATGAAACATCAATACATAACTATTTTATTTTTAGCTCAACAGTCAAGTATCAATATTCAGCAAATCCATAGCAAATTCAAGCAGTGTATCCGTGACCAGCACTGAATCACTGAACACGCCTACCTAAATAAATATCTCTGTAAACATTTTCTATTACTCTTACTTCATCCTTTATGTTCACTATCCTTACAGGCACTCAATAGTTTTGGAAAGTGCTGTGTTCACGCTAACCAAGGTGATGAATGATCTACTTATACAGTTAGATGATTGGAAACTTCTCCTTTTTTGTATGAGTACTCAGACCTTCAAGCCTTTCTCCTCTGAAACACTTCCTGAGCCATGCAGCCATGTAATATTTGACACAAACCTGTTTGCTCTGAGTCTAACGCATCGACTGTATATGTATGACCAGCTGGTAGCGACTGGTGTAACCTCTTTGCATTACCAGAGACCATTTCTCATTGCAACAACTACAAAACATCGTCTTTTGATCTGCGAAAGTCAATCAAATAAAGTTGTGAGTACATCACCTCTGATTCTACTTTCTTCTTTCTTTAATTTCAAGCATTGAAAGTGGCTAAATTCCTGTTTTCATTTGTTCCTGGATCTGCCTCAAGTACATCATAGTTACTTTGCAAACTTCAAAACTCTGTAGTTAATGAAAACTTTCTAGTATGAAGTCGCAGTCTTTTCTAAAATTTGTTTGAGAAGTAAGTGCTTAGTTGAGGGCACATTCTTTTGATATTTTTTCAGTTTCATTCCTTTAATTTCTAATTAGGTTCATTTTTACACAACTTCAAAAAAGGAACCTCCTTTTTTTTCACTTGAAAGAAAAAACTTAATTGATCATGTTATCTGAAATTTCTGACATATTACCCTTCCCCATTAGGAAGTGCTATTTGTAATAATATGTAACATTCTCATCAGAAAAACATGGCAAACGCTAGCTGTAATCATGCATTTTAGAAAACAAACTAATCGAAAAGATAATTCGCAGTAAGTATCCAACCATTTGAACCAATGTAAGAGTTGTTAAATGAGTTGTTTTTTGAATACGGATGCTATTTCCAACACTGACACATGATGTCTTTTAACTTTGTTTTAGTGCGAGGAGGTGTCATTGCGAAATACTGAAAGAGGAGCTTTGATAGTGACAACAACAGGACTGTCGGTCATCCTCCAAATCCCCAGAGGGAATTTAGAAACTGTGCAGCCCCGTGCAATGACCGTACTCAATGCCGGAAAATTACTCGACAGCAAAAATTATCTAGCAGCTATGTCCTTACTGCGGAAACAACGAATTGATCTGAACCTTATTGTTGATCACAATCCTCATGTGTTCTTGCAAGACATTCCTACTTTTCTGCAACAGATTGAAGATATTGCATGGATTAGTTTATTCATAAGTGAGCTCCATAATGAAGACACAACACAGGGAATTTATGCAGCGTATTATCGGAGGCCCACCAATTCAGTTTTATCTTTAAGCAACAAGGTTGACACTGTTTGTAAAGCAATGTGCAAAGAAATGACTGCTAGAAGTATTGATACCTATTGTCACCCAATCTTAGGAACCTATGTAAAAACAAGCCAAATGGAAGAGGCACTGAAAATAGCCCAGACTGACAAAGCATTGAAACATTTACTTTTCCTTGTAGACATTGATACTTTGTATGAAACTGCCCTGGCAATTTATGATTTGGAGGTAGCTTTGAAAATAGCTAGCAAATCGCAGAAAGATCCAAAGGAATATGTCCCTTTTCTCAATTTGTTAAAGAGTATGGAACCAAATTATCGAAAGTTTACAATTGACAAGCAGGCAAGGAAATATGCATCTGCAATCAAGCACTTATCTGCATGTGAGAACAAGTTTGAAGAGCTTGAAACATTCATGGTCGAATTTTCTCTTTATTCAACCGCAATTACATTATTCCCTGCTGAAGACCCAAGGTACAAAAAAGTTGCTCGAAAATATGGGGAGTATTTGCTCAGCAAAAGACTTTATGAGGAGGCAGCATTCATGTTCGAGGAAAGCGACTCATTATCAGATGCTGTTTCTGCTTTTAGTAAAGCTGGACTGTGGAGAGAGTGTATCACTTTAACAGGACGCCTCAATTATAGTGAGACTGAGCTGAACACATTGCTCTCTGCTACCATTAAGACTTTGAGATCCATGGGTAACTACTCTGATGCAGGTTACATCAGTTTGCACCACCTGCACGATGCTCATCAGAGTGTGGATATTTATCTGGAAGGTCTCTTGTTCTCGGATGCAGTTTATGTTGCTGAATCTCATGCACCAGAATTAATCAGTAAAATTGTTGAACCTAGCATCTTACAGTACTCAACGGCCATGCTAGAAGTTATTCATCAATTTAGAGAAAAATTCAATAGGTATATAATGCGCTTGAAGCAAGTTCGAGTCAATAAAGTAAATGCTGCTAATCATGATCCGGACTTTCTTAGTGATATTCAGTCTGAAACAAGTAGTGTGTCATCCTTTAATACTTCGAATGCATCGAGTAGGTCATCACGGACAAGTTGTCGCAGTGCACGTAAGCAGCAGCGTAAACTTTGGAGTCTGAAAGAAGGGAACCCTCGAGAGGAAATTTCATTAGTCCAAGCGTTATCTGAGATAATTAAGGCAGCCTATAACATGACAAAGGAAGTGCACAAGGTCCAAAGATTTTTATTGAGATCAAAGGAAGGTAGCAAAGCAAAACTCCTACAACATAGCCTTGCTGAACTTTTGAGCCTTATCAAGGACAATCAATCTGTAATATGGCCTGCAAATGACGAGGATGGCGAATTGGTCTCGGTCGAAGACGCCATGTTGAAACATCCACCAGCTATTCAACTTGAAAAGCACTGGGAATGGTCGATTTTTAATTGAGTTTTTGCTGTGAATATTTTGTCGCAATTAAGTCGGTACCTTTTTATTTATAATGTACATACATTGCAAAATGTAAATACTTCTCTTCGATGTGTTAATGTTGTAAATAAAGTAGTCTTTAGGAAGCTTTAGTCTAGAGTGACTTAATGATAGATGATATGAAGAATTAATGATACAGAATTAGATCTTTGCCACGTAATGTGGTGACTGATGGACAGATTCAAGAAATCAGCCAGATTCAATGTGAAAAGGGCTGAAAAGCAACAGATTTTCAAGTGTCATAGGCTGATTACAAACCCAGTCACTACATTATTAGATTTTGTTTTTTGACTGGTATTTTTTTCTTTTGCGTCAAGGACTATTTTGCAGTACCTACCAAGGAAAAATGCTGTACAATCAATGAGATTCAATCTGAGAAAATTACATTTATAGTCTTGCATATCTCTATTAAGGATTTGCAAATTCTAAGTTTTTGTTTCAATTATTACAATGCTATTTTTCTGTAAGAAGTAAGTGCTATTTTTTCTCGAAAATTGTTAATTTTTTGTGTTAAAAGAATGTATTAAATCAAGCTTTTCGGCCTGAATGAAGTAATTAATTCTTTCCTGTCGAGTTAAAAACTTGGATTGCAGTGCTCCTTTAAGGCGCCGTAATGTGGTAATGTGTGGTGCCGTCTCTCCATGTCCAGATCAATTCTTGAACCTTTTCATTTAATTACAAAACTAATTATGAGATCACATGATAGGTGCAGAATAATTCTGCAATTCAAACTAAAATTCAAGGCCATGAAAAGGACTTGCCAGGTGACTCTGAAGTAAAGAATTTGAGCCCATCTTCCAAAGACAGCAACGCTGGTGTCATCACTAAGGTGCAAAAATTGAACTTTGCCTACATTAATTTTCTTTGTCCGGCAAATGGGATATATTTATCATTTTTTTACAGTTAGTTTTTGATTATGAAAACAGCAAGTTTACCCCACATTCTATCTTACATATGATGTCATCATAGGCTTTTCTTAACTCGTTTCTTACAGTCTTAACTTTCCTAATTCAATTTTCTGCTGTCTCAAGTGATTTTTGGAATTTGGCTTTCTACTTTGGATGGCTCACTGTCCGGTGAGTTTGAAGTGAGTTGCGTATGCATCAAACTACTATATCTAATCAACCTGTTTTATAAATCCTTAGAAGAAAATTTCCTCATTGAGGTATTTAATTTTGCACTTCTACAAATGTATAAAGAAATGCATAAGAGGAAGTATAAAAATAATTGAGATTTTAATTGTAAAAAACAGTAACTTTTTATTTTTAATGAATTTTATGAACAAGAAGTGATAGTTAAATAACAATACACGTACATACAAAATTTAAGATCAAAGGAAATTGACAAAATTATACCGACATAGTAAAAATTAGATTTTGAGAAGAGTATTGGCGTATTGAAATTCAGGACTGTTTTCATAGTCGCACATGTCTAGAGCAATCTCGCAGCTTTCCTTTACAACCACCTTATCATCCTCCAAGAACTGTCTTAAAACATCCATGCACTCTTCAGTTCCAATGGCGCCCAATGCTTCTGCACACTCATGCCTTACCATTTCATTTAGAGATTTGTCTCGTAATCCATCGATCAAGTATGGTACACTGACAGGCGATTGTAACTGTCCAAGGACAAAAGCTACTTCATGTCTGAATAGAGCACTTCCTGTTTTCAAACCTGTGGTAACAAGAAAATGAAGAACATGGTTGACAAATTTCAAAATTACAAATTTCGAAAACTACTTCTTTTCCACCCCCTCATCTCCAACAACTAGTAAATTTATAATTGAAGCTCGATTGATTTCATAAATTAAGACGACCCACAATTAAATGAAATGAATACACATCGTTCATGTTTGTATGATGCAGGGATCTTTTCAGACTGTTCTAATTTTGGTGGACAGCTCAAGAACAATGTTGACCTTTACTTTTCTTGAAATAAGGAGTGCATTTCAGACTTTGCCGATGCGCTCATTGTGATTTTTCAAACATTTTCCATGAGTAACAACTCTTATTCTTGCTCTAGCAAAAGTTCGCAACAGGCCCATTCCAAAATCTGTTTTCTCACCTGACTCGACAACAATCGCTTCACTGAAAATGTTGCCTGCGTGGACCTAGATCCCTTTCCCTGTGAAAGGTTACATATTGTAAACCATCCCAAGGGCTATCTTATGCGGTAAAAAACAAGGATAGTCGTCACTGACCACTATCATATTTTTTTTTTTGTATTAGACTTCACATTCAACTATGAGACAAGTTCTATGAACATATCATCTGAGGAATACTTTTCCACTTTTCCTTCTTTCACGTCTCTTTGGCATTTTTGAAATTTATATGGGATATTCTGAACAAACTTGTGGGAAAAAAATCAAAGAAAAGATTGATATAGAAGGATATATGAGGAAATATATGAATGGTTTTCATCTTCTACAGATACAAATATGTAACAGCAGTTAGTGAGGAAAATTGGTAGTAAAATAGCATAATTTATGAGATATTACAACTAACAACACGATACTTACCTTTGGATAAGGACAGAATGCATTCTGGGGTACCTAAGTCTCTCAAAGCAAACATTGCCTGATAACGATCATAGAGATCAACATTATTGTCTAGTAAAATAGATTCCAGTTCCTTCACGTTCTTGTTAAGGCTTGACGGCGTTGGATCGACCGAACCATAAATATTTCCTCCATCTTTACCTCCGGAGGAAATCCATTGAAGTCTGTCGACTGCCAACTGACATGTTTCTTTAACTTCTGGTACATCATCATTTTTGAACTGCCCAAGGACAGGCAAGACGGTTTCCAATTCGCATCCAATAGCTCCCAGTGCTTCGGCTAAGAATAAGAGAATATATGATGAGTAAACATAGGAAAACATTGCAGAGTCAAAAACTGAACGATAAGATTATAGTCTTCGCTTATTAAACTTCAAATACTAAATTGCTAATCACTAAATAAAGACCTAGTATTCAATCCTTTAAACCTAAATCTCTAATACTTGATCCTGTATGTTCAAAACATTACGAGTGCAGCTTTAACCTGTTCAGAAGTTAAGTAAGCAAGCTTCTTTCAGTGAAGGGGCTCAAAAGGAGATAGGACTGGAACAATGAAAAGGAACTCGGTTTTCTACCATTTTCGTAGACTCCGTCATGGTATGCTCGTTGTTTCTTGGAGAGAACTCTAAATAATTAAAGAGTGTAGGTAACTCAGTGGAGTGATCCTCGGACACTTTGCAGCAATTGTCAAAAATAAGTTGTTTACAAAATGAACCTGAACAGCCATTTGCACTGAAAATAAATCTGCGGACTTACCTGCTTCATGGCGAACCATTGGCTCCTGCTTGACGTCGCTTAAAATTGATGTGAGGATTGGAATAGCAGCTGGATCTTTCATCTGTCCTAGACAATAAGCTAACTCGTGTTTTAAAAGTGCAGAATTATCACTAAAACAGTCTGCAATACATTTGATTGCGATAGCACCACCTATATTTTTCAGGGTAAATAGGGCTCGAAATCGTTCTTTCAGGGGGCGACGAGGATCGTTTAAAACACCACCAATTTTAGAGATTTTTTCTTCGCTTATCATTTTCACGAAAAGATTACGAAACTGATTTATAACAAGTCATGCAATTATTGTAATATGTTTAAAACTGGAATAACGTAACCAAAGCACTTCATGAAACTGCACATAACCTGAAAATAAGCATGAGATCAAAACAAGTACATAAGCGGAGTTGTCAACTCTTCGTGATTTAAATTTGCACGTGTGTTTTCTAAAATCTTTGTCTAAAATAAATCAGTCATAAATTTATAATGTTCTCAAAATTTCCATCAATTTTTGAAATTCTCTTCTATGAATTTTCGTAGGGAAAATTATACAATCAAAATTATTAAAGATCAGATTTTTTGAATTTGAGGAGTTTGACAACAGCCAAGAGCGCATGCGGGGTTGTTTTTGTTTTGTCTAATGTGATAAGAAAGTTTGACAAGCTTGAAAGGGCATTTGGACATTTTCAAATATTTAATTTTTAATGTTCGAGTGTGATCGTGATCTGAGCAATTATAAAGCAAGTGAATTAAGTAAAAGCAGTTCTCGTGCGACTCTTCTACCGAAGGTTTCATTCATGTCTCATTATTCTTATTTTTTGAGTTGAGTAATCCAAGTTCATACCCAAGGGTACCCGCACAAGGTACTCAAACACCAGTATCGTGTGTCTTCAAAGTTATGTTTACTCCATGTAATGGTCATCCTATTATTAAAGGTCTTCCAAAAAAAGGTCTGTTCTACAATATCGAATCATAAGATGTGTCTCACTCTAAGTAATTATGAGTGTGCGTCCTCTAACGAAATTAATATGCTCACGAGTATGTTTTTCTCAGCAAGCTAACAAAGCGGTAAGTATCCTAATTTTTATGTCATATCTCTCTCACCGCTTTTACTTTCGAGCAGTTTTACCCCTCAAATTGCTCAAAGTGAAATTTGGCCTCGAAGGGTGGCCACTCGGGCAAGGCCGTTAGAATTCATTAATAACTCTCCATGTATCCTGAAGCTGCCACCCAGGCATTTGAGGCACCTCATGAGGTTATGCCGTACAGCATCGACTCGTGGCTTCAGCATTAATGCCGGATGCCGAGGTAGGAGCCGCACATGCATGCAGCTCCGCGCCTAATTTTCGGTCCCGCAACTCAGCTTAATTATCAACAGGGCTGACCCAGAAGACTGCCGGGGTATGTGACCCTTGGACTTGGCGATGAATTTGCGGAACACCTCTTTGTCTTTCCCATTGGCGCAGCGGCTTATATTGTAAATATTTATTTTTCATTTACGAAGAGCGTGTCAAGCTACAGAACAAGAGCAAAATAAAGTCCGTTCAATTGCTGGCTGAACAGTTACATTGTGTTCCAAGGATTTTTGGAGGAATAAAAGTGTAATTTATCGTCAATTTTACAATCATATGTATAACTAACAGAGCCATCAAATGCTCAGGGAATAATTTGTGATGGAGTCATACAAAATGGGACTTTTCCCCGATGATAAACGGTAATGAATAAATTCAGCTAATATCAGAGTTTATCCAAAGTGAAAAGCCGAAGTCTGAAAATTGGAATTCAGCATTTTCAACATAGTTTATATGCAAGTATTAGGTTGAAAACACAAAATATCCTTAAAGGTCGGTACTTAGCTTTTTTGGTATTTTTATTGTTCTCTTATGGATCAAAGTAATGAATGAGACTAACTTTTTTTTCTTCTGTCATTTTAGGTGTGCTCAACAGAGCATGCTAAGGAACTAAAGAATACTCCTAGAAGAGAAGATAACAGAATAGGTGGACACGACATGGTAGGAGAACCAAATCCACTAACAAATCTACGACCCTTGAAGTTTCATATTCCAGAAAATGAAACGGAAATTGAAAGAAGGTATCGCTTAAAACGAGAAGAAGTTCAGCAGTGGAATGATCGGTTTTGGGCCCGACATAACACTCGATTCTTCGAGGTATGTGAAAAATGTAGTTGCAACATAGCTCTCAGGAATGACACTTCATCTCTCATGAGTAGAATATTTACAAGAGAGAGATGTCCTTGTCCAGAAATTCCCTCAGCGTACTAATTGCTTAAAATGAGACAAAAATTCATGCTCATCATTCTCATATTTACACGCAATCCTTCTAAGGAACAAAACTACTATTTTCTTAAGGAATAATTTGTTTTGTGTAGACTTCTTTGTAAAATGAAAGTAACAAGTAGGCAGTAGAAAATGCATTAAGCAGAATGAATTTGTTTACAAAGAAAAGTTTAGAGCATCTGGTTTCTCAAAGGAGAACTGAAAGACATCATCTAGTGCTATATTTCCGCGGAAAATTTCTTTTTTTTATAAGAGAGCGATTGTAATAATTCTCTTGAAAATTTTTTAAAATTTACTTTATGCCATGGAAGAAGTTCCCTAAAATTTTCATAGAAGTTATTACTTCCGTTCTCTTGTAAAAAACGAATAGTTACTCAGTTCTGTTCCAAGAAACACTGCCCCTCTGATGGATTGAACATTGATTTTCGAAACCCCCTTTCTGAATAGACCCTGCCGTTGGTTCAATGAAATAGGTGAAAGCAGTAAGAGGTAAAGTTTTTCCTTCATGCCCTAGACACAGCAAAAAAATTTCCACAATTTTGGGTTTTGAACATACATGTATCACACACCCAGTCAAGTTTCACTGAGAAGGCGAGGTAAGGTTAGCCTATAAAGACAGATAGGTAAGTCACTTACAAGAAGATAAGTCACCAAGCGAAACTGGGTAACCGATGTGTGCTTAAAACCTGGATTATTTAAGCAGTTTTTAGGGCGCATTTGAAAAAACAAAACAAAAAAACACAGCACCATTAATTCATTGAAAGTCACTAGAAAAATTTAAGTGTAATCAGAGGCGGCAGCTAAGTTCTGCCTTTCTTCTTCCTTTGGCTTTCCTTGCTGTAGCCAAAAAATTAATGACTTAATTCCACTAATTTCATGTAACTGCTATTTTTCGTTCAAAATCAATACAAAATTTGCAGTGTGATGTAAACTCATTTGACTATGTTTGTTGCAGGAAAAGGAGAAGTATGTAGAAAGCATGAAACAAAGTAAGGCTAAGGATAGCAAGGAGAGTAATCAGAATGTCACTGCTGATGAAATGTCTTCTTTTTATGCACAATTTTTAAATGATAATTGGAATCGACATTTACTGTATAATTTTGAATGGTATAAGAAGAATATAAGCCTAGTTATATTGTCACTTCAAGTTAAATGGTCTCATTTAAAAGATAGAATATTCTCCAGGAGGAGAAAATCAGTGTAGTGAAGAGAAGCTTCTAATAAATGCTTTTGTTTTGTTCGCAATTTTTCTTCTCTCTCTCTCTCTCTCTTAAATTACATAGTTAAACACTTGAGAAAACATGTTTTCTCGGCTACTTCTTCATGGAATTTCTAAGGAAACTGGCTTGAAAATGGGAAGTTTATGCATAATAGACTAAATCAGAAGACTGTTAAAATTTTAAAAGATATGGCTTTAATAAATCTAACAGAGACAGCTACTTTTGGATTAACTTACAAAAATAAAGAATAATACGGAAAACAATAATTGTTGGTAACTGAGAAGACATTAATGTTCTGATTTTAGTTTACATGAGAACTAAACTCTCTTCAGCTGAATACACTGAAAAAAAAAAAAAGTCCCCAAATGCTTATCAGTTTAAGAATTACAAACAGAGAGTTTGAAAAAAAATTAAAAAAAGAGAAAAAAACCTTTGGGAAAATCCCCAATGATTTAAGCTATGGCTAGAAAATATTGCTCGCAAAATTATCGTGCGAGGACAAAAAACTTAAAATAAAAACTGCCACAGCCAAGGTAAAGAAAAAAAAAACAGCTAGCTACATTAAATCTATGATACTTAAAGTAAAAATTTCTTAAAATAATTGAAAAATAAAAAATAATGGTGAAGAAGACTAGGAAAAGTTATTGTTGATAACAAAAAACGTTTTCAGTTCATTTCAAAGAACCTCAGATTTTACCAAAATTTTAGGAAAGGGCCTAACATTCAAGATGATCAGATTATGAGATCAAAATTATGAATTACAGCACTACTTAGTCCGCAAGTGATATTCAGGTTTCAAAAGCTGTTATTTGCAGACATTGTCATTATTTCCTTCACCAAAGTGAATAAACAATGTACTGTCACTTGTTATTGGAATATCACATTGAAACTATGGTTTTTAGTTAAAGTCCAATAAAATTTTTGAAAGAGAAAAGAAAGTAATGATTGGTAAAAAAATATATAAATAAATAAAAAACTTAAAATAAAAACGTCTGGAAAGACTCATTGACCCTCATATTAAGACTCTACTAATTCTTTTTAATACATTTGCAAAAGCTGACCAGTAAAACGTAAAATACTGTCTATCGGAGATATAAAAATACTATGCTATCCCTTTTTTTAAGGGTCAAACAACCAGCACCTGTGACTGTAAAGATTCTATAAATGAGACGGTGAGAATGAAAACGCACCTACTTGGAAAAAGGAAAATGTTCAAGAGACAAAAAAACTACGCAGTCGGTGAAGAAGCTGGTTTAAGAAAAAGCTTTTTGGTGCAAAAGGAAAATTACTCCAGGACACTTTAAAGGCCCAAGTTGACATAGATGCCCCATCTTCAATGGCTTTTAAGAATATTAGGCATCTTCAATGAAATTTGGGAATTTTTAAGTTTCCGAGTTTGTGCGTTTTTATTCTCCTGGATTCAAATGGGCTAAATGTATTTTATTTTGCCTCTTCTTCCAACTATTCAAAAGCCTGTTTTAACTGAACAAAATATAGGTACAGGTGTGGTTAACGATTAAAATCTTGTTCATGTGAGGCTTACTGAAAAAACCTAATGTTTACATCAATACTTCAAATTGTACAAACATTTAATACTTTCATAGGAGGGAGAGTTGCTAAAAAGATAAAAGAAGAATAAAGAGATATTTGTTGAACAATGTTTAGCTGCAGTTCTGGAGGAAAAAATAAAAGCAAAATTTAACATTTTACTGGCTGTGCAAACCAGCAAGAAGAGATTGCGGGAGCTTTGAGCCAAAACGAGATACCTTCAGAAAAGGTTAAGAAAATCATCACCTATTATACATTGGACTTGAACTTGATTTTATAATGCCAACAGACTGCGATAGGTTATTTGACTGAGGTCTGCCCATCACATAACACTTGATGGTTTGTCTCAAGGTGCTCAATGAGTAATAGGTACCTTACTGACAAGGAGGGAGAGGGGATCTGCATATATTGTACCGAAGTATACCGAAGTATGCTATGCGGAAAGGGAGTGAGTTGAATCAAAGGTTAGAAAAGGTAAAAGATTCAGAAAAGTAAAAAAGAAAAATGGTTAAATTGTCTTCGTGATAAAACTTGTAGAGGGGGTCCTGTATGTATATACCATTCAACTTTACTCATGAAGAAGAGATTAAATCTGTGTTGTGGGGGTACTGTGAGGAAAGAGAGGGAGTAAGAAAAAGTGAAGTGTTGAAGAACACTGGGATAACATCCTAAGTACTACTATCTCCGAAGATAACTCTATTCAAAAGTATACCTCCACAGCCTGACTGTCTATTTCAGCATGACAACTCTCAGGCTCCCTAATTTTCCTTCCACTCTGATTGGAGTGGAGAACAAGTAAATTAGGAACAAACACTAAAAATTGAGAGAATAAGAATGAATTTAAAATTATTTCATAAATAATTCCTTGATTTGAACAGAATAGTTTAAATTTACAATTACTTGGATGAAGAAATCAATTATTGCACTAAGTTTTAGTGTATTTTTGGCAGGAAATACACGGCTTACAGTTTCAGCTTGGCGATCACTTATGAAAAAAACTTTAATCACTTAGTCCTATTTAGAAACGGGAAAAAGTTGGAAGACAGTGGATAAAAGACTTTAAAGAGGAATTTCATACACTCTTTGCATTACACTTTGAATTCAAAGATCATATGATTCTGAGCAGTGAGTGACCAACACCTAAATTTTTAAAAGGTCAATACATAGAACATGAACTAAAGCTTTTTACGATCATTTTTGCTCTTCAAAAATTCACAAAAACAATACACACAAGAAATTTCAAATTAATTTTGCAAGCTTTAAATTTAGGAAGCTGCTTGAGATGAAGATCCTCTGCGCCACTTCAGAATGAAATTTAACAATAAACGTTTTGCATATTGGTGCCTATTGATATTGTGATCAAGAGTAGGAATGTGGCATTGATTGACCCGTGAGTATAGAGGGTTGAGATTCAACTTAATGCTTTAAGACTTGAAACAGAAGCTCTTACAACACGCACTATAGATCATATTTGATACATCAAACAGATGAGATTATGTCGATATCGATTAGTTCAACGTTTAAACACAGCCTCAAAAGTCAATTGACTAATCTGGGGGAACGCGTAACTTGTGATAGATTTTTTATTTTTTTGAGTATAAAGGGGCGATTAAAAGTGAAATTATTAGGAATTTTCTTAATTTTAATTTTTCCTACTTAAATCTTAAAATTTTCGTGTGAGGTTATGTTCTATTGTTTTGAACTAAACGATACATCGAACCCTTATCGAATACAATCTATTGACACACTTGACTTCTGTTTTTTTTTCTGTTTAGCCCCAAGTAAACTGCTGCCGCACTAGCTCAGATATGCAGTTTTTCATACAACTCTTGCATTTCTGCTGTAGCAGAAAGGAATGCAAGAGAGACTGAAGGCAACTATTATTTCTTGGAGCTGAGGCAGCCTTTGAAATAAAGAAATGAAGACAGAGCCTCTATAACACCTTTCCTGAGCACTGCACAAGAAATAGACAGTTTTGCTGCTTCATTTGTTTCATGTTTCATCTTAATTTGTCATCTTTTTGCCTAACTTGACACAAATTTATAAAATTGGGCTTTTCAAGTTCAGAAACTCTTATAATATTGGGTTACGGGAAATATAATAGGAATTCGCTTGCCACTTTGCAATTTGTAATGCAAGCGCAATCTTCTGGTTACTTTCCCTATCTTCAGTTAACGACAAACTTCTGTTTCAAGTTTTGCTTGTCCAGTGGAATCTCTAATCCTTTACACTCTCTGCAAGGGACCTTTAAATATTTGGAAATAATGGAGCTAACAAATTTTTGGGGAGAGGGAACAACAATAGCTTTGGAACCTACAGAGGGGCCAAGAAAGTAAAAATATGGGCTATAAAAGTATAAAAATCAACATAAAAAAAAGTTATGCACCAAGAAGTTCTAATTCATCCAAGGAAGAGTTATAAGAGTCTGTAAAACTTGACATGGAGGAGAGTGAAGAATTATTCGATATCATTCTTGGTTCTATGACATCGCTCAATGTGGGTAAATACACCCGCTTTGACTCCTTAATTGGAGATCGGCACAGCGGGCAAACTTCGCATCTGCTTGCACAGTTTCCACAGGCAACAACATGGGCGCAAGGGAAAAATACTGTTGTTATGCTGCTATCCATACATATTCTGTGGGCGAAAAATATACAAATAGTAAAACTACTGACCAACTAAAATAATTGATATTAATTGAAAAGGAAGAATAATCCTACACATATTTTAACGCAAATCTGAAACGCATTTCCATTTAACTTCCTTCGGCTTCGTCATACTCCGGTTCGATTTTCGCATGGTCATGGCATGGTTCGTGCTTCCTCTTATGTGTTCCGGTGAGCGGTAAACATACAAAAATCGTAGTCCGACAGGCAGTAACACCTTCTTAACGCATTTATTTTGTTATATATTGAAAAAAGGAAAAGATGTAGTGACATATTACTGACAGTGGGTGATATGTTGATTATGCAATTGCTGCTGTTTCTCTTTTCTTTACCTCGCAAGCTGGTGCAAAAATTGAGCGTCGTGATGTTTTTTATGTTGACATAAGACACAAACGGTGATTTGCTCACTTTGACCTTCCATGAAGTACGTACCGCATCTAGGTTTAGGGGGTCAAGAAATTCCATCCGGAGGGAGGAGGGGGAAACCATCTTATTTTTAACCTTCTTTTTAAAATTGAAATACCAAAACTCATGAAAAAAAATTCTAAGCACTTCGCCAAATTTAGTTGCAATCTTCACAATCCTTATTCCTGTGTGCTTCATACAAAGTACTTAAGGAGAAAATCAAGGGTGTCACTACTATGGTGGATGACGTCATAAACCAAACTTTTCAAAGCGCAATATTTTGGTTGATTTTTACAGTAAAGAGGCTGTTTTGACAGATCTCATGTTTACCTAATCCTCATAAATTAAGAATCAAAACATGATTCTGTGACCAGGGCAACTGACACATTCGACCCTGGGACAAATCTCATTAAAATGTCCCATGAAGACAAGGCCTAAAAAAAAACAAGAAACCCACTTGATATTCATTTCATAAGTCTCCTGTTTGTAAAACTCAACGTCCGCTGACAAGTTCCTCTTTTTCTTCAAGTCTGATTGATTTCTGTCAAAGTCATAAAATTTCTGTTAATTTCCAGTAACTTATGAAAGATAACTTCTCATTGGTAAAAAATGAGACGATTTTGATTGAACAGACCTGCATGTGAGAGCATCCATGAGTCTGGCTAGCTTATCAGCATCTGAGTTCTTTTGCTCGATGCTAGACTGAGTCTCAATTTTGCTGGGAGCTGCTGATTGTTGAGAGGCATCGTACAAAGCACGGCGAGCATTGTCATGAACCTCTCGACATGTTCTTTGAATGTCAAAGACATACTTCTTGCCCAGAGGTGAGTGTTCGTTGAAAATTGAGACAATCGTTCCCTAAGCAGTTGCCAAAAAAATTTAATTAGTAAAAAATAGAGAGAACAAACAAGATATCTAAAAGATGGTAAAAGTTAAAACAAAAATAACTTGAGAAGCACGTCACAAGATGCATTTCAGAAAGATTACTCCTGACATTCCAGATGAACTTTGCTAGGAAGCTGAAGTAAGTAAAATGTGTCGAGGTAAAATAGTTTCATTGAATTTACGGTGAGTAATTTAGTAAAAAAAAGAAGAAGATATATATATCTATTACAATAATACATCAATAGTACTTAATAATTAAAAAGCCTTATTTGAAGAAAATTCCCAAAAATTACACAGAGTTATTAAATTTTACAGGGTGACTCAGTAACACAAGTAGTATCTTTATACCCTCTTTAAATTACTTAATTTGTGAACAATGTATTTTTGAGGTTATTAAGAAAAGCTGGCTGATGAATGGTTTAATCAACTACTCTCCTTTTTTCTAATCTTCTTATCTATGACTCATGTGGCATATATAATTTCCCAAACTTTGACGGCAAAGATGAAAAGAAGTAAAACATACCTTCAGGTCCCTGATAAATTGCGAAGTTACAGCCCCTCGCACAGTCTCACAACTATAAAATGCATGCTTCTCGGTTAAAGCTCTGTAGAGTTCATTAGCCGATAATGAGGAAGACAATTTTAATTCAAGAGTGGTTTCGGTGGCAAATTGATCGAAGTACCAAAGCGTGAAAGCTCGTTTTTGAGATGCAGCACTGCGAATTGCTGTAAATGGAATCCTGTATGAAAAAGATGAGAAGATAAGTGGCCGAGAATTTTTAGAGAAATTTGTTTGTGATGAAAACGATAATTTAAAAAAAATCCATTATTTTTTACTTTATAATGATTGATGAGAATATTATGAACTAGCGTTTTTCACACAGGGTATGCTTGGCTTGACACTCAGTGCCTCACGTCTAGATGGACCTTTAGTCACTGCCCGTGTGTATGACCTTCAACTTGCGAATTTTTTTCAAACACTTTTTGACAAAATTTTAATTGCATACTTTTGTACAAACTTCCCATATGTAAGGCAGGATGAAAACAGGGGTGCAGAAAGTTCTTGGCCTTCCCCACTTTATAATTTGTCTTCCCTAAAAGCAGCAAGTTAAAAAGTATCTTTCCACACAAGCAGGGCGCTTGAAAGACTTCCAGCAAGAAAAACAACTTGTTTGATATTTTCCTTTCCTTTGGGGAGGGAAACTATCAAGGTAAACTATCAAGGTTTGGTATGTGAGCAGCATGCTTAAAAGGCATCTAGCTCAAATAACAATGCACTTCCCTGTTTTTTCCCCCCAAAAAAGGAGGAAAAAAAAGTCTTCCCCAATTTTCAAGCCTCCCCCAATTCTCACGCAAGCGGCCATGCGATCATGATCGTGTGATCGAGGACATTTTGAACCCCTGGATGGAAAGAAGAAGTTCGCAATTTACACAGTAATAAATGCAGATTTTGATTTTAGATAACATTACTTAATGCTACACGTAATAATAAAACTCAAGGTTCAGGAACCCAGAGTCAAGGAATTTTATTGACCTTCAAAGTTTATCTATCATGCATTTGTACGCGGGTATTCAATACTCACAGTTGTTTTCGAGTTCCTTGGTAGACAGTAAGACCGTGGGGACCAACTCCCACTGACACAGACTCTGATTTTCTGTCTGTTTTCCCCAAAAAAAGTTCTTCGCCGAAACTTGGTAAATTTGAGACTTCCTTCACAATCCAATACTCAGCGGTGGACTGCTTCATACCCTAGGAAAAAAATTCAAACAAGCAGGCAAAGATGAATGCATGAAAGGTAACGATAGTTGTTGTTAACTATTACCATACCACTTGTTTTCTATTGATAAAGCGTAAAGTTTTTGAGCAGCGCTCAAAGAGCTTGCTCAGGATCTCTGCAGGAAAATCCTTGCATAGAAAACAGTCTGAACTAATGTTATCATGTTATCAGATCAGTAGCTATTGACAATTACTTTATCTTTATTTCTGCCCTAAATTTGATTAAGGTAGGTGGGATTACGCTGCTAAGCAAACATGGAAGAGAACAACCTTGTAATCAAATAAGAGATTTATTCAGCAGATTTTAGCCGCAGACTATTGTGAGGGGAAAAGGAAACAAACCATTTGAAACTTTGAAAGAACCTACCTTCATTTCTTTGTGCAAAGCGGCGATGGTTTCAAGTTCTTCTTCAGATGCTTCAATATTTAATTGATGGCACCAAGAATTGTACATCTGCATTGGTGCTATGCAGCTCTCATAATCTCCTAGCTCTGATTGAGACAAGAGGGCAATCAACTTCAGAGGCTCAATTTCTTGGCCTACTTTTAGTTTCCCTTCCATCAAATCGGATTTCGCATGAAGATAGAATTGATGCCTGCAAGAGAAGAAAATGAACATACTTTAGACTTTCTTATACCAACAACAGATAGGTATTCAATGAGAAGACAGAAAATACTTGTGTATTAGAGTTCAGCTGAGAGGCTTGAAAAAAGCTTACATTTTTTGAGCATAAAACTATGTGATACAACTTTTCTAAACCCCATCTCCCTCCAGGTTTATCGGTCCAGTTACAAATGGATTCTTATTTTGTTAAATCATTTAGTATCAAGTACACTTTTTCGGGCAAAACAATCCTTAATAATTTTGGAATAAGCGGTACATATTAATTAAGCAGTTTGTGGGCAATACCTGCAGAAAAGTCCTCCATCTGTTATTACTTAACACTAATAATCAGTCTTGAGAATAGATAAAATCTACTACGATTTTTCAGTATGATAATTGAGGCGCTCCATGCAGAAAGGGTATTTCTTGGTTGCAAGATTTTTGAATCTCCACCGCTAATTATATTTTGGAGAGAAAATAATTGGGTGAATTTTTTGAAATTATTCATTTCCAGCATTTTAAAAAACTATAAAACGAAAACTCAGTGTAAGTTTAAACATACATACAAACATACGCTTTAATTATGATGGATAAACGTTAGCAAAGATTCTGAGACACCGCAACCAAGAAATGCCCTTTTCGCACCTAGCACTTCGATTACTTTCAGAGACTTCTCGTTTTTAGGCTAAAAGAGAACCTTGTGACACTGTTTCATGAATTGGTTTTATTGATAAAATTGCCAAATATGACACAAACATTAATCTGCAAACTGCCTATTAGTAGAAACAAAATTATGACTGAGAAGGTGCAGCGCAAGTCGTCCAGATGGTTTATGTCCGGACAGCGTCTTACAAAATTATATGCTGCAACATCTCTTGGTAACCTTAGCGTATTGTCACAGCCAAGTATCTTCTATGCCATTTTCGGATTGATCAAAATTTGAAAAAAAAAGTATTATCCTTTTGCTACATTTCATGTGGACTTCCAAAGGAGAACTTGAAGTCATTTTTTGGGCTGCTATCCATTTCAACATACTACAGTCTTTGTCTAAAAGTTTAATGAAAAAAAAGATTGATAGTTAGGTCCAAATAGGGTAAATTCCAAAATTTGTTCTGGCTGTCAATTACTGATGATTGCAGGTTTTTTTTTATTTTTTTTTATTTTTTAGGAATTAGCTAAAGTTTTTAAGCATGGATTTATTTACCATGCAAGCAAGAAATTCCTTTGAGGAGAATACTGTGTGGGCAAAGGAGAAAAAACTGCAATTGGTAAAATAAGATTTGTAAAAATTTGTATGAGTTGAGACCTCATTATCAGTCTTGCGTTTTACTTAGCCGAAAAAAAAATAAAAACCTTGTAGTCTCTTGAAGCAGGAGGTGTGGAGGAACCCAGAATTTGACACGTAAACCAAATCTGTGAGGAGCAACTCCAACAACTTGCCGCTCGATGGGGTTTCGGAGATTGATCCACACATCATGACCTTTTACAGTGCGGTACTTGAGTCCGAAATAGTCCGATTCGTTGGTGATTCCAAGACAAGAGCAAACCTAACACAGTTAAAATATAAGTGATACTAATGGTAATCCTAGTGGTAACTGGTAAATGCTATTCAATCTAAGCAGGGGCGGACTGGCCCTAAATTAAGTGTGGGGCGGGCCCTTAGGGGGGTCTGGGGGGCCCCCCAGTAGAAAGGGGGTCCGGGGGCCCTCCCTCGGAAAATTTTGAAAATTAGGCCCTTTTAGAGTGAATTTTACGCTATTTTAGACCTTATTCTGTAATATTATTTTTGAAACATTATCCAAAAAGAGACCAGAAATGCAAAACTTAGTATATTTTCTTAAACTGGATGAAAAAATGAGAATCCGTTGTATACTTGGAATTCAACTTTTATTTTCCTCTTCCAACGAAAAATTGTGCCAAAGCTAAATTAGTATACAGAAGATACCTAGAATCAAGTAGAATAGTAATAGTGACAGTCTAAAAAGAAGACATTCTGAAAAACACAGTTCGGATTTTTTTGTTCGAGTTACGATGCGTTACGGAGGGGGGATGGGGGTAAAAAAATCGGAAAAACTGCGTTACGTATTATATGGACAGCCCCCATTATGGATTTCGCTAAAGAGGGGAAAAATCGCCGAAGGCCCCTACGAAATCCCTTAGGGAAGGTAGGAAAGGTTCCCTACTAGGGGCCTCCAAAGTTCAAAATTGCATAGAAATGCGCCCTCGAGGCCTCTCTGAATCAGTGCCAAAGGGCTCCCGGCAAAAAGGACCCTTTTGTCGAATCGGCGATAAAGAGCCCGGTGCCTTGAAGGTCCTTAGAGGCGGTATAAAACCGCATCAAGGCCTCTTCAAATCGGCAAGAAATGGTTCCTTGGAAACGGCAAAAAAGGACTCCTTCGAATCAGATAAAGGGGCTCTTTTGAGGTCCTTAGAAGCGGCAAAAAAAGGCTCCATCGAGTCTTCTTCGAATCGGCAATAAATGAGTCCTTCAGGGCTCTTCCGAAATGACAAAAAAGGACCCCTTTGGACTTATTCGAATCAGAAAAAAGGGCTCTCAAAATGCAACGCCCTTAGATACGGCAGAAAAAAGCTCCTTCAGGGCGCTCTCGGAATCGGCAATAAAGTGTCCTGTCCTCTCAGGAGTCTCGGGGCCCTTTCTCAAGGATGAACCGAAAAAGCCCTCGGGCGCTTCTTCGAAACGGCGGAATGCGGCCCTTCAAATCGGCCAAAAGGGGCCCCTTTTGGCCGATGAAAGTGGGGCGATCGCCCCATCGCCACCCCGGCCAGTCTGTCCCTGAATCTAAGATTTTATTCTAGAAATTGTTAATATTTGTTTCTGACCATGTAAAATTTTGATGAAGAATTCTATCTTCTACATCGTCCCCATTGACATATGACCCAATCTAAACGGAGCATTAGGATCTTTTGGTGAAACTGTAGTTAGGCAGCCCGGATTGCATTTAGTATTGGAAAAATTTGAGGAATCAGAGGCATTCAGGGCAAATGCAGCCGCACTCTTGTGATGGGCATCTCTGATATTAAATGTATGCCAGGCTATGTCAACTTGTGTGATGGCGCAGCTTTACCCCCTTGGCTGTCTCGCCTTACCTGCCTACAGTCAGGCCTAGAGCATAGTCTTGATTGTGTCATAAGTCGATGATAGTCCCTTTGTTATTCCCTGTGGAATGCCCCATTAGTAATACCATCAACTTAAAAAGAAAAAAAAAAACCCATGGAGATTACAATGGGAGAAAACATTTTGGAAGCAATGGGATCCCACATTGTTCAATATTCTATCTGCATAAGATAAATTATAATTAGGAAAGAAAAGAGGCAGCTTGGCCAAAAGTTCACACAAGAACGTACCGCAAGCAGGTAACAAAAATGGCAAATTTAGAAGAATGATGAATTGAGGATGCTCCTTGTGAGATGAAGACTGCTCAATATTAATTGCGAAGTTTTTCGAGGCAAACTAGTGCGCGCGGTACAGAAAGTAAAAACTTAGAAACGTAAGTGGTTACCTTTTCCAGGCATTCTTGTCCTTTCGCCTTTGAATCTACTTCCACTTCAATTATGATTGCGTTCGGCTGACTCACAAGACACCACATGATGGCTTGGCATTTCAAATTAAGGAGGAATGGGTAAGGAGCACTGGTCGTTCTTAGAAAATGGCAAAATTCAATTGATAAACGGCTAAGAAGGTAAGAAATGTTAAAGTAAGTCAAGTCTTCGTGCAGATGATAAAAACTTTCAACACTGGAATGAATTTAGCTACAACGGCCGTCAACTACAATGGCCGCGACACCCGGATACGGCGCTCCGCCGCACACTGGGCCCGGGTGCCGCGGACCATACGTCTTCACCGCCTACTCCTTTCCTACTATCCACATCCCTTCTACAATAGACAATAACGCTTTCCACCTCCAAAAAATATCCCCCCCCGCGGATTTTCTCGGAAAATCTCCGAAAATTCCTCATTTTTTAGGACGCCGAGAAATCCTTACCTACAATGATGAAATGATTTTTCCAAGGGAAACTGTTGCAAGTCCATTCGGTTTCGGGGCTGAAACCTACTAACGAGCATCCTAGGAGTCCGACTGAGCAAAAAAAACACCATGTCACCGCGGAGAATCTCGGAAAATTCTTCATTTTTTAGGACGCCCAGAAATCCTTACCTACAATGATGAAATGATTTTTCCAAGGGAAAACTGTTGTTTGTCCATTCGGTTAAGGGGCTGAAACCTACTCGGGAGCATCCTAGGAGTCCCACTGAGAAAAAAAAACATCATGTCACCGCGGAAAATCTCGGAAAAGTCTCTATTCCTTACGCCTATCTATATTCGTTACCTACAATGATAAAATGATTTTTCCAAGGGAAAGCTGTTGCATGTCCATTCGGTTTGCGGCCTGAAATCTACTCAGCGGCTTCCGAGGAGTCCAACTGAGCAAAAAAAACATCATGTCACCGCGGAAAATCTCGGAAAATTCTTCATTTTTTAGAACGCCCAGAAATCCTTACCTACAATGATAAATTTATTTTCCCACGGGAAACCTGTTGCTTGTCCATTCGGTTTGGGGCCTAAACTCTACTCAAGGGCATCCTAGAATTTCGACTGAGCAAAAAAACATCATGTCACCGCGGAAAATCTCGGAAAATTCTTCATTTTTTAGGACGCCCAGAAATCCTTACCTACAATGATAAAATGAGTTTTCCGAGGGAAAACTGTTGTTTGTCCGTTCGGTTTGGGGCCTAAAATCTACTCAAGAGCATCCTAGAAGTCCAACCGAGCATAAGAAACATCATCTGACCGCGGAAAATCTCGGAAAATTCTTCATTTTTTAGGACGCCCAGAAATGCTTACCTACGATGATGAAATGATTTTTCCAAGGGAAAACTGTTGTTTGTCCATTCGGTTAAGGGGCTGAAACCTACTCGGTAGCACCCTAGGAGTCCGACTGAGCATAAAAAACATCATGTGACCGCGGAAAATCTCGGAAAATTCTTCATTTTTTAGGACGCCCAGAAATGCTTACCTACAATGATGAAATGATTTTTCCAAGGGAAAACTGTTCTTTGTCCATTCGGTTAAGGGGCTGAAACCTACTCGGGAGCATCCTAGGAGTCCGACTGAGCAAAAAAAAATCATGTCACCGCGGAAAATCTCGGAAAATTCTTCATATTTTAGGACGCCCAGAAATGCTTACCTACAATGATGAAATGATTTTTCCAAGGGAAAACTGTTGTTTCTCCATTCGGTTAAGGGGCTGAAACCTACTCGGGAGCATCCGAGGAGTCCGACTGAGCAAAAAAAACATCATGTCACCGCGGAAAATCTCGGAAAATTCTTCACTTTTTAGGAACCCAGAAAATTCCCTACCTACGATGATAAAATGATTTTTTAAGGGAAAACTGTCGCATGTCCATTCGTTTCGGGGCCTGAAAGCGACTCAAGAGCATGCTACGAGTCCGATTACGCAAAAAAAAAAAAAGAAGAAAAAAAAATCATGTCACCGCGGAAAGGACCGTCGCGACAGGAAGTCTGCGACGTTATTACGCGCATACTTTATTTTTTAATAGAAAAACTAATCAACGCAATTCTTAAGAACTGCCGTGATTTTTCGTCTCAATGCTAAGAAAATTCTGCAAAAACTTCAAGGAATGATATCGATTTATTCTTTTTTTAAAAAATAAAGTAGAGGTGGGGATTTTCAAAGACCGCAAAAGAGATCTATGGCTGCGGACTTAAGCCGTTTATGTAGTAATTTCACAGAAAATCGGAGGGAGATTATATTTTTTCATTAGCTCCCTAAAAATGTAAATCAGGAGGATTGTGCACCTCTTTCTTATAAGATTACATCATTAATTAATTGTTTTATAGAACAAATGAAGGACTTTAAAAGAAGCCATAGTCAATACTCCGTTTTGATAGGGTTCCCTCTGAAAAATCTCTACTCAGCCAGCAAATAATTTATTCCGTTTTCAAAGTTGGAATTTTTTGCTTCACTGGGCACTAAAAGGATTTGGTCCAGCTTTTGGCCCTTTCCACACGTTGCAAGTTTTGCTGCAAGGAGTGGAAAGGGCTTTTAGTTAAACCTCACGATTCAACGACATTCTAGGCCACTAAATAACTGAAATATTGAAAGGGAGTTTATGCCGCATAAGGATTGTACCTAATTAAAATATCGATTAAGTGCCAGATGAAGGAGCGGAGAATCGAGAAGTATTCTTCAGAATATTTCTCACAGGCTCAATGGCACCCACCCTTCTCCTTTCTTTAATCATTAGATGATTCCTGCCTTAATGATGATTCAACTTCGGCAAAACATTTGCAAAGGACTTGTAGGGAGTCAAAAGCAAATAAAAGAAAAAATGTC